TATGTATATTGGTCTGTCGGGAAAATAATGAGCAGAAAGTCGCTAGCCAGTCGTGTCGCTGAAGTGAAAAGCAATTTGATTTTGTCGCGAGACAATTTATTTTCGGCGATGCGATTTTTGATGCGACAAAGTGCTCATGATTTTTCCGACAGAGTAATTTCATTCTGTCGGGAAAATCATGTGCATTCTTGGCGCTTTGAAATCGCCCATCATCGCGTTGTGACAGCCCACCGTAGCTGGGGAATTGGCGTTGAGAGCGACAAGGCGAGAAACTTGGTTGCGACAAATCCTAATGCGACAGAGTGGTCGTTATTTTCCCGACGGACTAATATAACAAGGGAATGATACTTGGCTTACATAGACCAAGTATCAATTCCTGAAAATTTTAACTCTCGCTTTGCAGACGCGGCCGAGATTTTGAACGGTCTTTTCCATCGATGGAGCATGCAGAACTCGGAGAGCGGCCAGAGAGAAAAACACTTTTTGCCCATATCTTTGCCATTTTCATGCGGAGAAAATCATTTTTTGTGGAAACATTACCCTCTACAGTATAGTAGAAGTAGCCATGAAACTCTTTATACCCAAAATTGCAGAGTTCCAAAAATTGGAATACTTTCACAGAACTCATCGTAGGAAAAAATAATAATATTAGAGAAATATTATTATTTTTTCCTGATGACATCTGATCCAAAATTTAATATGATGTGATAGATGAGGTGTCAGATGAGCTCAGTAGGAGACAGCGAGGGACGAAATGACTAACTGTCAAAGAAATTGGTAAGTGCAAAATGATTGGTCAATATTTTTGAATATTTTATCTAAAAATCATGTAAAATACGTCGGCAAAAATTTCAAATCTCAAATAAAATACGGATAACCTAGCGATATGTATCATAAAAAACAAGATTTTTTTCTGTTAATATTTTCATAAAGTGCATCCATGCACTTTATGAAAATACTAATAGTACTAACAAACAGCAGGTAGATGTAGATACTACCCAAAAAAAATTGAAATTTTTTATATTTTTTCCCTAAAAATCGAAAATTTCTTATTTTTTTCCATAAAAAAATCGGCATTTTTCCCAAAAAATCCACAAATTTTTTCATTTTTTTTGCAAAAAATCGACCATTTTTTAATTTTTTTTTCGACTAAAATTTTTGCAAATTTCCAAAAAAATTACATTTTAGCCCATAAAAAACACGTTTCCGGCCCTCAAGACCCCTTTCCAATTCACGGTCAGCAAGCCCACCAACCCACAACATTCAAGAAGCATTCATAATCAACATAACCACAACAAAAGACGGAGCCGTAATCGCGAAACAAAAGGCCCTACAATAACTGTTTCCTTCGTATAAAACATAATTCCTCCCCGCGTTGCGCAACCGACCTTGTTGTGGCCAAAGGTCCGGCCAAACCAGCGGACGCGAGAGGGAATGGAGAGAGAAGAGAGAGGCAGAGAAAAAGGCTGGAGATTTGGAGAGTTGATCAAATAAAAGGATGGAGGGAAAAATTGAGGGAAAACAATGAAGGAAAGGTGGGAAATTAGTGCAAGAGGGGTTGTTTAGATAAGCTATTGGGCGAGGTTTTAAAGCCCTAAATTTTGGCCGACTTTCGGGCTAAAAATCTCGGTTGTTTCTGCAAAGCGCGAGCTGGGATTCTCGCATACATCTTAGAAAAAATTATTCTAAATTTGTGCCACGTTTCATCAAAATCTGAGCGTCGAACTTGGAGTACTTCCCTTGTTAGATAGTCTCATACTATCTAACAAGTTAATTTTGGCTCCGCAATCTCTGGCTGTAGAGCCGTGCCAAAAACGAGTAAAAAGGCTAGGTCGGACCGACCAAGAAAAAATTTCGGCCTAACCGTGCCGGGATTGGCCCAAAAAACTCTTGACGGCGCAAGGCGGCCCTGGGAGCAATTTCTGGCCCGGCCCTTTTCAAACTTTGAAAAAAGCCTCCCAAATGCCAGACACTAACCAAGTCTCTTGTAAAGAGGTTTCATCGTTGTCCAAGAGCATCGAAAATAAATCAAAATACGGTTCAATAACTCTAGAAACTTTCCGAACACTCCTATGACTTTCAAAATCGCCCATTACCATATTTAATCCGTAAATCTCCAACAAAATCTCTTCCAAATTTGCGCCCGCAGAACGCTGCATTCATTCGGAAGGTTGTCGAAAACTCATTTACCCCGCGACACCTCAAGGTCAGACATCGTTTTGCGAGCACAAAACTAGGTCTTGAAGGTGTTTTCCGCACAAAAAACGAATCACATAACCGTAAAGTTGGAGGCGCAAAAGACCAAAAATTATATTGTACTTGGGGGTTCAGTGAAAATATCTATGATTTTCAACTGAATGTCCATTCCCTCTCTTTTCCGGAATCGCGAATTGAAAGGAAATTCCCTGAGGCATTGTTATGAATCGGGTCATAAAAATCGAATTCGAATTCGAAATTCAGTCCATTCAAAGGGTCGTCCGCATAATCGACTTGAAATCGAGACTGCTGCGACTTGATTAAAATTCCAATCTTCGGCGATTCTGAGTCAGCGAGAAGGATGAAAATAACTGGCATCATGTATGTACTATATATTTATATGTTACAAAATAGTCGATCCAAAAACAAGATAGGTCATCGGAAATAATGTCAGAAACTCAGCGTAATTGGATAACGTGGGATCTGCACCGGCTTTGAGTTTAGATTTCAGTCTGCCGAGAAGTCCTTATCGTTAGACATATCAGTGTCGGAGAAATAATGGGGATAATGTCGCTGGTCCAATCGCGTCGCTGAAGTGAAAAGCAATTTGATTTTGACGCAACATTATTCATGTTCTCAGCGGCGATGCGATTATCGATGCGACAGAGTTCTCGCTATTTTCCCGACAGACTGACATTATAAAAGTAAGCATTGGAAAAAGTTTGCCCACCGAAATTTGAATAAAATCCAATTCTTGTGTCTTTTTGGCAAGCCTGACTTTATTGACGGGAAAAATAGATTCTAAATTTGATTGACGCGCGTCTGGTCGAAAAATGAGCGACTCCGGAAAAGTTCTTCCCAGCCAGAGGTTAACAAACTTTTTTCGGCTACCAGTGGCTCAAAAACTTGATTCGGTCTAAAATTTTGATTCCGACATAAGCATGGTTGCTATAGCTCGATGCCTGCAGAAAAGGTAGTCATCACAGTCATTGCTAGAAAATCTGGGAAAACTCAGCCCAAAGCCATGCCTAATAAACAAGATACGCCCCTGGTTTGATCTGCTCTGAATTTTCATAAATCTCTAGCCAAGTTCTAGACCACTCTTTTTGGCAACTTAAGGTCACGTTGAAACGCTTGGCCCATCAGTTAAACATTGTCGCTGAAGGCAAGCTGCAAAGCCGATCCAATTTTTGGCCAACCATTTGGGGAATTTCAAAGCTTTTTAGTGCTTTCTTTTAAACGTGGCCCGAGTTGTGACCCTGCTAAACTCCCAGCTTCTGCTCCAAAACTCATTTCGCACCTCTAAAGTCACAAAACCCACAATTCCCTCACAAAAATCTCCAAAAACCCTCGTCTGCCCTGTGCCCCCTCTCACATCACATCACATAAGTCAATCTCACGTCACGTTTAGCCCCAAAGACCCGTCGATTATATGCAAACATCCCGCTGCAAACTCGGACCGAGCCACAAAACACGCTACTCAATAATTATCGCGCTCTGCCCATGGAATTGGGTCGGTTCAAAGGGGAGTATTGTACAAACAAATACGAAAAGGTATTCTTCTTCCTCTTCGCTCCGTTTTTTTCTCTCTGTGAAATCAAATCCGATTTTGAGGGAGTGGGAAGAGCATTTCGTATTCGACAAAAGAGAAAAAAGGGCGATCACACGGTCGCTGATGGAGAAAAATAGATGTAAATCAATGTGGGAAAGCTTCCCAATGCGACGGACAGATTTTGTTTAAATTTGGCTCACAAGTCGGACATAGAGCGCACATCAACTCCAGAAAATTTTAGCTTGCGCTTTGCAACCGGAGCCAAGATATTCGACGATCAACATTCATGTATAAGAGAAGTACATGTACTTGGCCCATCCGGAAATATGCCGCATATCAATCCTTGTTTTCCGTCAACATATTAAGCAATAGCGGCCGAAAGATTAAGCCGTCGAAATATTGAAAAATAGCGGCCAAGAGACAGCGTGAAACGCGGAGAGCGGCCAGAGAGAAAAGCGTTTTTTGGCCATATCTTTGATGATTTCTACAAAGCAAAACTATTCTCAAATAGGTCGGAGAATAAATCATTCTAAATTTGTTTCAAGTTTTATCAAAATTTGAACGTACACTTGGAGGAGTTCCCCTGTAAAGTTACGGATACTTCAAGAACTTCTGATAGTAATTCCAGAGTTAAATGTCAGTCTGAAACCAACATTATTTTGGCTTGAAGCAGTGTGCTCAAATGTCTGGCTCTTATTTAATTGTACATGGGACGGTTCTACATAGTTTACAAACTGACAAGGGACATACCCCAAGTGTGACTCACAGACTTCTTTAAATTTTGCATTGTTGCGACATAATTCATTTTCTCGGCGATGCAATTTTCGATGCTGCAGAGTGCTCATTATTTTCCCGACAGACTGATAATGCCCTAGAAAATCATGCTCTAAATGTGCTTCAACTTTTATTCAATTCTTTTTGTCCCAATTGAAACTCTTGTCTTGTTAGCAAACTTTTATTTTGTAACGACCGCAGCTTTCACTCCATGACAAATAGGATGAATATTTGTCACAGAAAGAAGCCTAACTGTCCAGATTCTGCATCCCCATTTCGCAACTTTCCACAGAGTTCTCTGAAATTCCACACAAACTATAGCAATGCCGTTTGTTCACGTTCATCCTCCCCTTCAGTGCGGCCGACTCTTCGGCCCCGAATCCGGCTCCAGGCAACGATGTTTGAAACTCCCCAAAGAAGGGAAGAGACCCCAAATCGACCTGTATAATTACATACCGGACGCGGGGCAGTCATTACGATGGTGGTGACGAAACCCAAACGGCCGAATATGCGCCGTTCACGGACGGTTGTGCCACGGCGGAAGTTCGACGAGCAGAAGAGAAGTGCGCCCGTCGACGAGAAGCCCACGATTCTGCGGCACTCGGCCAGTGTGGATGAGGTAAACAGGAGGATCTTGACTTGTTTTATGACATTTATGACATAGAAGATTCACGTACCTTCGGTCAGATACGGACATTCCGGTCTGTCGGGAAAATAATGTGGATTTGTCGCGCCTTTGAGATCACACATCCTCGCCTTGCAACGGCTGGGATTTGAGATATATTATTTTCCCGACACAATAATTTTAGAGCTCTTCAGTTTGTCGGGAAAATAATGAGCACTCTGTGGCATCGAAAGTTGCATCGTCGCTGAGAAAATGAAATGTGTCGTGGCAAAATTAAATTTTATTTCCGTTCAGCGACGCGATTGACGCAGCGACATTACACACATTATTTTCCCGACAAGCTAAAAAGGTCTAAAATATCAGTCTGTCGGGAAAATAATGTGGATTATCGCGGCTTCAAATCGCTCGCTTTGAAACGGCTGGGAATTTGGTGTGCGGCTGCGAGAGGCGACAAATCCTGGGAAGAATCAACATTATTTTCCCGACAGGCTCAAAAACTCAAAAAAATCGGTCTGTCGGGAAAATAGTGTGGATTATAGCTTCTTGAAATGCTCATCCTCGCTTTGCAACGGCTTGACGTGGCTAAGGAAGGAAAAAAAACCTGCGAAAGAGCCAGAAATTTTGCTGCGACAAATCCACATTATTTTCCCGACAGACTGATATATTATAAGTTGCAAGTATTAGTAGGCGAGCCCAAAAAATCTTTGCATCTTTGCACTGTACGCTATAGCGCTGAAAACTTGTCTCATGACGGCGAGTAAAAGATTGTTTCTCTAATGATTTGGGTATACAACGATTTTTTATCGAACATATACACAATGTTTCTGACCAAAAATATCCGCATGTATATCAGTATCCAAAAAAAAGAAAACCACAGATCCCCATAGTATTACGTAAAACGCCCCAAATTTTCTCTAACCGAGAATTTTCTCTAACACAATCAATAGCTTCTAATTTCTCCTTCAGCTCTACCCCATCTACCCGCGCCGACAGAAGCGACAGCGGGGATTCGAATTCGAACGGCTCAAATGTCTCCGTGACCATCAGCTCTTCGAAGACCCCGAATTCCCACCCGAAGTGGCCATCGAACACCATCCCAAGACCGAATGGAGACGACCGTTTGTAAGGCTTGAGGTTTTTTTTCGTTGAAACGAGAAGGGGAACGGACGACTTGGGTGGTCTTTGCACAAGCCTCTTTTCCGTCTCGACTCCACCTCAGTGGAAGGATTGAAACAGTGTGCTCAGATAGCCCAGCGGTTAGTGAGTCGGACTGGAAATCCGACAAGCCAGGCGGAGGGTCGGGTTCGAACCCAGGTCACATTTTTTTCATTTTTTGTCCGTTAAAAGAGTGGTGCAAGATGAGAAGGTCAACAGTTTTTTTGTATGAGTCTGTCGGGAAAATAATGAGCATTCTGTCGGATCGAAAATTACATCATCGCCAAGGAAATGAATTGTGTCGCGATAAAATCAAATTGCTTTTCAATATGTGATCGGCGCAACGAGATTGTGCTCATTATTTTCCCGACAAACTAAATCAAAAAACTTTCAACCTTCTCATCTTACACCAGTTTTTCAAAACACAAAAAATGATCAGTGGTAGCGACACTTTTGAAAGTTTTGTCACACGATCTTTCAAGCGGCAGGATCCGTTTTTACGCAGCACTTGCTAAAATTTAGAAACGAGAAATCGCAAAGGTTACTTTAGTGTATAAGTGCAGTGACGTATCTTACCCAGTGGCAAAAAAAAGTACCATTTTGCATCCGGGAAGTATCAAAAAATGTGGCAAAATGCCTCCATCGCCAACTAGAAAAACTTTGTTTTTTTGAAGAGCGCGCATAACATAGCTCATTGTACTGTCATAATCATTCCGTCATCAACAGAGCAGGCGCCCGTTTGAAATCGGAATTTCTTTGCTTGAAAAGTTAGTCATTTTGCTACATTTTTGATACTTCCCGGGTGCAAAATGATACGTCTTTTGCCATTGGATCAGGTCCGCCACTGTAATGTAATACAGGGTGGGGCATCTTTGTGGCCCGATTTGAACTGGACACGCCGGGAAAGACCGAAAAAACAACCGAAAAACGACCGAAATAATGAACTCCAAGAATAAATCCAATAACTGTAGATGACACTTAACTATGCAAACATATTTGGTATCAAACAAAATGGGGTTGTCTGAGGATTCAGGGAAAAAAAGAATTTTAGAATTTGGCCAAAAACTAAAGAAGTTATAGCCAATTCAAATCGGGCCACAAAGATGCCCCACCCTGTACATACTCTGCCTCAACCAGAAAACTAAGCCGTGAATAAATGAATTAGCTCTCCGCAAAATTACAGGCGATTGTCAGCAATCCCCGCTTCTTTACCGCGAACGTATCGCGACACGACGTCCAACAGATGGGCCTTGGTGACTGCTTCTTCCTAGCGCCGTTGAGCCTGATTGCCGACCGGACCGAGCTGATTCGACGGGTCGTTCCGGCGGGACAAAGCTTCAACAAGGATTTTTATGCGGGTTCGTTGGTTAATTCAAGTTCGAAGACCTTGTTTTAGGTATCTTCCACTTTTGTCTTTGGAAGTACGGGGAATGGCTGGACATTGTGATCGACGACCGGCTTCCGGTCAACGTCAGAACGGGTCAACTGCGATTCACGAGGGCTCGCTCCTACAATGTGTTCTGGGTTTCGTTGCTGGAGAAGGCGTTTGCCAAGTAAGTCGGAATGTCCGTCTGTCGGGAAAATAATGTGGACTGGTCGTATCGAAATGACTCGCCTTGTAGAAGGCGAGCACCAAATCCCAGCGGCGGCTTGCCGTGGCAAAGCAATGATGGGTCATTCCAAATCGCGACAAATCCACATTATTTTCCCGACATGCAAGTATGGCAGTCTGTCGGGAAAATAACGTGGATTTTTCGGCGTAAAAATGCCCAAGTCCCTAGCCGTCGCAAAGCAATGATGAGCGATTTCAAGGCGCATCGAGTCCACATTATTTCCCCGACAGACTGACAAGAAATTGAAAAAATTGGAAAATTTAGACTCTACGGCTCTTACACAAACATCCAAGGTGGACATGCGGCATTCGCCATGCAGAACTTGACGGGTGGCATCAGTGTGTTCAACCTGTGGTCGAACCATTCTCGTGGACATCTGGAGAAGGTGTGGAAGAAGCTGGTCATGGAGTTTCGACTGGGAGTTTTGTTCTGTCCGAAGAGCGCCTCAACCAAATGGTGGTTGTCCAACGAAACCTCGAAAGTCTCGCCTGAGGACTTGGGAATTCAGCCGGGTAAACGTGCTAAAGCAGTGACGGGCCTGATACAGTGACAAAAAACGTACTATTTTGCATCTGGGAAGTATGAAGAAATGCAGCAAAATGCTCACAAAAAGAGCGGGTTTGCTTTTGAAAGCGGAGTTTTTTGCACTTAGGTTTTTTGCTGCATTTTTTGATAGTTTCAGGATGCAAAATTGTACGTTTTTTTTGCCACTGGATAAGGTCCCAATGCAGCGACATAGCGCTCATTATTTCCACATCAGACTGATAGCTACTTCCCCTGTAAATAATACAACCTATTGCAGTTATATTTTATTTATTTTTAGGGCATGCATACGCCCTGACCGGATTGAAGGAAGTCCGAACAGTCAACGGAACGGTACGGCTGCTCCGCGTCCGAAACCCGTGGGGTCGGTTGGAATGGCATGGCGATTGGTCAAGGACGTCCAAGCTGTGGCAAACCGTCGTCGACCCTTTGGAGCGGCGAGAAATGGTGGATCTGCGGATCAATGGGGAGTTTTGGATCAGTTTTGAGGACTTTACACGGTGCGTTTGAGCTTAGTTAGGGCCTTGACTATTACCTATTACCTAGCAGGTTTGTAAAGTCGCTGGCGCGATTTTTGACAGGGCATGCCGCTAACAGGCACACCATCAGCCATTTTGCGGGCAGCTAGAGGACACGGAGATCTTGCAGGCGCTTAAACCAGGAAATTCTAGCGCTGGTCTTGGAAGTTAGATGTTGCAAGTGAAGTTTTTTCTCCAGCCATCTATTTGTGTATAGATGGCTTGAATAGCAACCGCAAGGTTAACCAGGCATTTTTATAACGTCAGAACCCATTTTTGAGAACCGACTTCCATAACTTTGGGAGCCGTAACGCCCGCCAAAAATCACATAAACGACTTTGTGAATGGAATAATATCAGTCTGTCGGGAAAATAATGAGCACTCTGTCGCATCCAAAACCACATCGCCCGCGAGAAAATGAATTGTGTTGCGACAAAATAAAATTGCTTTTCACTTCAGCGACACGATCGGCACATTCCTTATTATTTTCCCGACAGACTAATATCTCGCATTTCAGCTACTTCAAAAACGTCGACCGCTGCTATCTCGGGCCGGAGGTCATTGCCAAGTCGAACGAGATGGGAGGGAAGATCACAGCGTGTCATTTCGACTACGTCTACGCGCACGGCGAATGGAGCACCTACAAGAACACGAACGGCGGCGGATTCCCGAAGGCGATTCGCCGTGGGACCTTCTTTTTCAACCCCCAGTATATCGTGACGCTGAAGCCGAGGCCGGATTCAATGCCCGACAGCAAAGGCCGCGTGCTGGTCATCTGGCAGATTGTGCAGAAGTTTGCGCGGGAGCACAACTTGAAGCAGTTGTTCAGCAGCTGTGTTGTGTACAAACTGCCGAATGAGCTGGCGAGTGCGACGAAACGACTGCCAAACCGGTTTTTTCAGCGGGTCCCGCCGATGAACAACATTGAATATAGCATTTTGGTAAGGGTTTTTCGAATTTTTTGATTGGTTTTTAATGGTAATATCAGTATGTCGGGAAAATAATAAGCGCCCTGTAGCATAAAGGACATTGCCCCCATTATTTTCCCGACACACTGGAACCTGTTCAATCCAAAAGTAACCTACAGTGGCGGACCTGAACTAGTGGTAAACAACCATACCATTTTGCATCCGGGAACTATCAAAAAATGTGGCAAAATACCTCCCTCTCCAAGTGAAAAAAAGCTCCGATTTCAAAGGCGCGCCCGGCCTTTTTGTGAGGAAAAAGAGCGCGCTCTTCAAAACGGAGTTTTTTAATTGGACTGGGGAGGCATTTTACTACATTTTTTTATACTTCCCGGATGCAAAAGGGTATGTTTTTTGTCCCTGGATTAGGTGCGCCACGAGACTTGTGTCGGAGTAACTTTTTACGTCCAAAAACGGGGCTGGCGGCAATGTTTTGGCCATAACTTTTTTCTCAGTTAGTCCAGGAATACACTTAATAATATAAAATGAAGCTGGCAGATTCTGCTATCACTATGACTATTTTCAAGTCCTACCTGCAAAAACTCGTCTTTAAAAATAGCTTTAAGACGCGAACTTTAAATTTTAAAGAAAATTTTCAAAATTGTAGCTTACAGGGGTAGTACTCCAAGTGCGACGCTCAGATTTTTTTAAAATTTTGCACACACGTCGTTTATGGACTAGATATCAATTCCTGAAAGTTTTAGCTCGCGCTTTGCGGGCGCCGCCGAGATATCGAACGATTTTTGCCGCCGAGAGAGCACGCTAAACGTGGAGAGCGGTCGCTTTTTGGCTATAACTTTGGCAGTTTCGTGCGGAAAATTTTGAAATTTTGATCAAAAAAAAATAATAATCTTGTATTTCTCACCAAAAATTATTCTAAATTTGTGCCAAGTTTCATACGAATCTGAGCGTCGCACTTGGAGTACTTCCCCTGTTAATACACCGTTATAAAATAAGGCCTTTCTATAGCATTTTTTTTGCTTCCATTGCGATTCGCTGTGACTGTAATTCATTCACTTCAGACCAGTCAACGAAAGAAATATGCCTATGGATCATATCTTTTTGTCCCGTTCTGCCACAAATTCTCCTACGACGGTTACTTTTTGCTTCGAATTTACGCGAACGCGGCGCTAAGCATACGGTAAGCAATATTTTTTTAAAAAAAAACGCTAATTGTGAAGCGTTTTTTACGAATCCAAATTTTCAGAAAGCTCGACATTTTTGATGACTAATCACCACATATCAATTCAAATACAGAACATATTTTGCAGCCCTTACGGTTAGGTAAGTAAATATGTATTTATATTGTATCATAATCCTCTTAAACTTCGGTGACTAGACACTTGAACGTGCGGAATTACGAAATTACTTGATAAAAGTCGACCCGAGACTGTAATCAACGGGTTCGATAAAGGGTCGACGAACGTTCAACCGCATAGTTCGAGCATTCGAGATAAGAGCTCTGTGAAGACCTCTCCTTGCCTCAGGAAAAAATGTTTTTATCAATGCGAATTTTTGCTTTGCAAATTGATTTTTGGGCGAATTAGGGACTAAAGAGGAAGATTTTTTTGGCGATAGTGTTTGGGTTACCACTATTGAAAAGTCTTCAGGGTTTCCCACAGCTTCGGACCGTGCATTTTGTGGTACGATTTTTCAAAGGTTTATATACCAAGCCGTTTTTACTGTGCATTTCGCCTCTTCGTGCGAAGCCTCTCCGAAAAAAGCCTTAAAAAAACTCATGCGAGATTTGGTGCAACTGACCAAATTCACAGTGTAAAATGGGAATTTTATTGCACGGTGCGGTTCTGCGAACAAAAATTTTTTTTTTCAATTCCCCGTTTTTGCACTAGAGACATGTACCTCCGCGTGAGCTCCCTCTAATTTTCGTGCGCGAAATCGGCGACAAAATTGTCAGAACTTATGGCGTACACCACTCGACAACTCAAAGTGTTTCCTGGCTCCTTTCGGCACTTCGCCCATTTTGTATCGGTTGAAATCAAACAAAATGTCACAGAAGAATTTTTCGTGGGATTTTCCGACCGAACAATATTTTTCTCGGAATTATTTTATTTCTTTTGTCAATTTTGACACTTCGTTTGGACGAAACTCAAAAGTTGGCGGGAAACATTTATCTTCTATTTCGTGTTGCCGTGCACCAGTATGTCGGGGAAATAATGTAGATTTATCCGGGCAAAATGTATTGCCTTGTCGTAGAAGCCCGCTAAATTTTCAGCCCCCGCAATGCGATGATGACCGATTTCAAGGCGCGACAAATTCAGATTACTTTCCGGACAGACTGTTAACATCGAGCGTATAAAATGTATGAGACATGATCTTGCAGTTTTAGGTTATAGTAGACAAATATGGAGCGGCCAACGGGTAGAGAAGGCCTCCTTGACACTTCAATCCCAATTTATGAAGATCCCTGCTTCACAGCGCCTTCGCTGAAGAAACACAATGTAATCGTGGTTCATCGGCCAAGACGAAATAAGTTGTATGTCCGTAAAGGTCTTTACTGACAAATCACGGCTTTTTAACCCACATATCTTTGTCCGTTGCAGCTCTTACTATGATATTCTCATCGTATTCGGCCTGGTGTTTTTGCTCTCTCTGACTGGTCGATGCATTTACAAGAACTTCCTCTATAAAACCCCAAAATTTTTGGATGAATTGAAGAGCGAGGCTTCTAATATCGCCAGAGCCTCACAAGATGTTGTGGAAGATGTGGAAGGCCGATTTGAAGAGTATTTGAGAGAATTCCAAAATGAACTCAAAGGTATGACGAATGAAATAAAAGAGATGAAAAAGAATGCCTTTGAGGAGAATTGGAGAGAAATCGAGAAACTCAAGGTAAAGTACGATAAGCGTTTAAAAATTTTTATAAAAATAAAAATTATTAGAATAAACTAACAATAAATGGTGACTTTTTTAGAACGCCTTCGACGGACGAACTGAGTTTGGGCTCAATAAATTTTCACATATGACTGAAGACGAGCTGAAAAGAGTAGGTCATATTTTGACGTCTGTTATTTATCTAATTTAATATATATTATCAGTCTGTCGGGAAAATAATGTGGATTTGTCGCAGAGAAATTTCTCGCTTCGTCGCAGCTTTTTTCTCGTACCAAATCTCCAGCCGCGGCTAGCCGTCGCCAAGATGGGCGATCTTAAGACGCGACAAATCCACATCATTTTCCCGACAGACTGTTAATATTTTCATAAAGTGCAAGGACATTTGGGCGTTTGTTCCATTTCGCACAGTGCATTTTGAACTTTTTGTCAATGCAGTGCCATACCACAACGCAGTGCGGACAAAATGTCTATGCACTTTATGAAAATAGTCATAGGAGGATGAAATTATGAAATTTTCACTTGCCAATGTTGATAGGTCCTTTTGCCGTAACCAGAGATTGCCACGGCTCCGGAGCCGGAAATTTTGGGGTCGGCTGCGGCTCCCGAGCCCAAAGTCGGAGCCAGGCTTCCCAGCGGTCAGAAAAGTAAAAATTTCGTGATCTTGTTAAACCAAATTGCTTGAAAAACACTGTGGAGGATGTGACTTGACTGCAAAAACGTTGGCTGTATGATCTCTGGCACTAATAACTTTTATTTTTGGAAAAATATTTAAAAAAACATTTTGCATAGGATCCGGGATTCGGACCCGGAGGCCTTTTTAAATTTTGCACGGAGCCAAGAGAGCGGAGCCGGAGCTGCAAATTTGGCCTCGGCTCCGGCTCTGGGAGCTCAGAGCCGGAGCTGGAGCCGAAATTTTGACCGTGGCAGTCTCTGGCCGTAACCCAGTCGGCCATTTCCTCCTCATCTCCAGCAAAATGTCGACAAAAACTCAAACTTATGTGTTTCCGCGCGAGATCTTTTTTTTGAAGAGTTTTATGTCCTCAGTGATCGAATTTCCTCAAATTTCAGTACCTCATCCCCTCCGGGTTCCCAAAACCAAGGTATTTGGAGACCGCCAAGCCCTTCGACACTGCTCCGGGCTACGTCATCGATCAAGACTTGAAACGGCCGGAGCAGTTTGATTGGAGAAAAGTTGGAGCCGTCACCGGCGTCAAGGATCAAGGTGAGGAATTACAGAGAGAAAAATAGTTGTATAACAAATTGGAAATAGCGTCTGTCGGGAAAATAATGAGCACAACGTCGCTGGGACGTTGGATTGAAAAGCAATTTTATTTTCACCGCGACACAATTCATTTTCTCGGTGGTGATGCGATTTTGCGATTTCCGAAGCAACAGAGTGCTCATTATCAGCCTCTAGGGAAAATAATGTGGATTTGTCGCAGCAAAATGTCAGAATTGCGCGTCAGACCCTCGATTTGGGGTCTAGACATGTCATATTTTCATAATATAATAGAAGCAAAATTTTCAGAAAAAATCTTAGAATCGCATCCAGAAGAGGTCGTATTTTAAAATTTATCAGTCTGTCGGGAAAATAATGTGCATTCTGTCGCATCGAAAATCGCATCGCCGCCGAGAAAATAAATTGCGTCGCGGTGAAAATCAAGTTCATTTTCATCTCAGTCAGCCCGACCAACGCAGCGACATTGTGCTCATTATTTTCCCGACAGGCTGAAAAGCTCTAAAATTGCTTTTCAGCCTGTCTGTCGGGAAAATAATGTGGATTCGTCGCGCCTTGATATCACTCATCATCGCTTTGTGACGGCTAATGGAGACGTGTTGCGAGGCTGTGACAGAGCCAGAAATATGGCTGCGACAAATCCACATTATTTTCCCGACAGCCTGATACACTGTCGCTGCGTCTTTGAAGTGAAAAGAGATTTGATTTTCCCACCTCATAACTCATTTTTTCGACGGCAAATTTTCGATGCGACAAATCCACATTATTTTCCCGACAAGCTAATACACTGTTGCTGCGTCGTTGAAGTGAAAAGAAATTTGATTTTTCCACGACACAACTCATTTTTCGACGGCGAATTTTCGCTGCGACAAATCCACATTATTTTCCCGACAAACGAATACATAATGTCCATCATTTCTACAACGTTTCAAGTCAATTTTTATTGCATCAAAATATTTTCAAGACAAGAAATTCACCATAAAAAAGCGGTTATTATTCCCCAAACAGCTCCACCACGCATTTCACATTGACTTCGTCCTTTGTGACCGCATTCACCACCTCATTCCGCTCCGCCAACGTCTCGCATCCCCACGACTTCTCGCCCTGCGACTCGAACATCATGTTCGAGGTCCATCGAGTCTCGCCGGCGCGCAGTTCCAGCCAGGTTTCGACCAGAAAGTCGCGCGGTAAATGCGAAAATCGGACGAATCCCGAGATCTTGCCCCGCGTTTTTGGCCCGTCCCCGTTCGGATAGATGACCAGATGACAGTAGATTTTGCGCGCTGAGATGGGAGAGATTGGAGTTGAATTGGCAAAGGGAATAAGCTCAAATTCCGGGCTCACCCGCTCGCTGAGGCCGTTCGAGAGGAAGCGGTCGATTTTGAAGTCCATCTCGCCTTTTAGCTGAAAATTTTAAGCGATTGGTGGTTAAAACTCTAAACAAACGTTGAATTTGTCATAAAGGAGGGTTTTCTTTGGCTTAGAAACAGGAATTTTTGTGTTTTGGAGATTTTCAAGTTTTCGTGGTGGGACCAAAAATTTAAAAAAAGAGTTTCTCTCTCATTACTTGCACTTTGCTTTTGTCGGAAAAATAACGGCGGCTAATTTTGCGCAAAAAAACTGTTGAAAAAAAATTTTATGAATAAAGTCACAAAAAATGTCAAGATTTGGCCATATTGGAGCCTAAAAGTCTTGGTTATCCCGGAAAGCACGAGTTAGGGCACAATGTCGCTATGCCAAACGGGTCGCCAAAAAAAATCAGTCTGTCGGGAAAATAATGAGCATTCTGTCGCATCGAAAATGGCATCGCCGGTGGGAAAATGAATTGTGTCGCGGTGGAAATCAAATCGCACGTCAATCCAAAATAGAAGAAAAAATTTCCCGCCCCTTTTTTGGTGATTCGTTCAAAATCCGATAAAACACATTTTCTTATCTTTCTTCTTCCTTTTCGAGAAAAAAACAATTATTTCGGCCGAGAAAAAGTGCCGATAATTTCGCGACATTTCGTCTCTCTTTTAAACCAATGAAAACGGTACGAAGTTTCGAAACGTTCAGGAAATGCGCTGGATTGACGTGAATCGCCTTTCACTTCAGCAAAAAGCGATCCGCTCAGCGACATTGTGCTCATTATTTTCCCGAAAGGCTAAAAAGCTCTAAAACACTGGTCTGTCGGGAAAATAATGTGGATTTGTGGGGCCCTGAAATCGCTCATCCTCGCTTTGCAACGGCTGGGATTTGAGGTATCGGTCTGTCGGGAAAATAATGTGGATTTGTCGGGCCTTCAAATCGCTCGCTTTGTGACGGCTAGAGACTTGGGTTGCGACAGGACCAGAAATTTCGCTGCGACAAATCCACATTATTTTCCCGACAGACCGGTATTTTAGAGCTTTATAGGTCGCATATAGTACTAGGCGGTGCGAAAAGTCTTGGCATGTTTGTTTTATTTTGTTTTTTACCGACACCGATATTAAATACCTAAACGCCGCGCGCTTCTCTTTTTTTAGTCATCAAAACTTATCGACCGCGGACTTACGTAAATTTTCTCCATTTTGCCAATATTGTCCATGCGACCCATCTCGAAACAAGATTGTTCTATCTATTTGCAAAAATAGAATAGCTGAAAGAAAGAATCTTTTCCCTTCCAAGCTTGCTAACGCCTCACGGAATTTTTCTGTCAACATTTATCCTTTGACCGCCTTCTTCAACCAACTTTTCTGCTCTCCTCTTTATGACAAGTGCAATGCCCGGAAATCGGAATGCGGTAAACATGGGGATGCGGCGTTCTTCTTCATATGAAATGCATGGCAGTGGGAGATGTGTTTGGGAAATTGGAAAGGTGTTTATCGCGCTTGCATGGGGGGTTTTTGCAATCACAACATGCGTTTGATGAAACTTTGGACCGTTCGGTTTTTAAAAGTCATGCGATCAGAGTTTAGAAAGCAAAGTTTTTTTGCGGAAATTTGATGAATCTTGTTGTGAATGAGGAACAAAATTTTGCGATTATTTTTTTATGGAGACTTATCAGTCTGTCGGGGAAATAATGAACACAATTTCGCTGCGCCAATCGCATCGCTGAAGTGAAAAAATTCATTTTCTCAATTGCGACAGAGTGCTCATTATTTTCCCGACAGACCTGTAAGTCTCTGTCCAGAAAATGTGTCACGATGACACTGCCTTAAAATGTTGTAGTGGTATAAAAAATGGCTGCAGATGGTTATCAGTACTCTCCAGAGCACGACAAAAAAAATCCGGGCACTAGAAAAGCGTATCGCCGCGGAAAAATCCAAAAAAACCTACAAAATTCGTCATCCAAATTTTTGCGAAACCGTCTCAATACGTAGTGAAAAGCCGTATTTAAAAAAAAACAAAATTTTTTACAACACTTTTCACCACCAAGTTCAACAAAATCACGTATTTTACATTGCGATTTCAGGCCAATGTGGATCTTGTTGGGCATTTGCAATTGTTGGAGTGGTTGAAGCCCAAAACAAGATTTTCAATCACAAACTGGTCCCATTGTCCGAACAAGAGCTGATGGACTGCGATCATCGGGACAATGGATGTGGTGGAGGCTTCAGAGGATGGGGATTTGAGTAGGTCGCATTTTTCTTCGAAATTTTCATGTTTTGAGTCCCACCACGAAAACTTGAAAAAGGCCAAAAATGTGTTTATAATCTGATTTAGGGTGTAAAATTTAAAAAAGTAACTCTCTTTATGTCTAAACTGTTAGAAATTCAAATTTCCCGGGGATTTTTTCAAAATTTTAGGTCTCAGCACGAAAACTTGAAAAAAGCCAAAAATGTGTTTATAATCTCATTTAGGGTGTAAAATTTAAATAAGTAATTCTCTTTATGTCTAAAATGTTAGAAATTCAAATTTCCCGGGGATTTTTTCAGAACTTTTTGTCTCACCACGAAAACTTGAAATGCCCGAAAATGTGTTTATAATCTGATTTAGGGTGTAAAATTAAGACAATTAACTCTCTTAACATCTAAAATCTTAGAAATTCAAATTTCCCAGGGATTTCTTTCAGAATTTTAGGTCTCACCACGAAAACTTGAATATCGATAAAAAGCGGTTTCAAGAGCAAATTCGGTACTTCTGCTTTAAACAAACACTTCGCAAGGAATTTTTAATAGCTTTTAAAAAGCCTATAAACGAATTCTTCGAATTTTAGGTCCCACCACGAAAACCTGAATTTCTCTAAAATCATCGAAAAAATATGTTTTCAGGTTTGTAAAGAACACTGGATTGGTTGCTGAGCAAAATTACAGCTATCAAGCAATGGTTGGCCAGTGCAAATTGCCCATGCGAGATCAAACTCGAGTCTTTGTCGACGAAATTTACAGTTTCGATGGGGATGAGGAGGAAATGGCCGACTGGGTTGCCACAAAGGGACCTATCACCATTGGTAAGGAAATTTTTTTAATTTGTCCTATTAGTATTTTCATAAAGTCCATGGACATTTTTCCGAGGGTCCGCACTGTGCACAAAAATCCCCCCGTTTTGCACCGTGCATTTCATCTTGGTCTCGCACTGTGCATTCGAAATATCGCTGCGATATTTTGCTTTTTTCAACTGCGTCGTCGCGGGTTTTCTGAAGAATTTGCACAGTGCAGACGGCTTTTTTTGTGGTTTGCACTGTGCGAAAAGAAAAAAGAAAAATGCACTGTGCGTTGGCGACAAGCGTGGGAAAAAGTTCGAAATGCACTGTGCGTCGGCGACAAGCGTGGGAAAAAATTTCAAAATGCACTGTGCTTTGGCGACAAGCATGGGAAAAAGTTCGAAATGCACTGTGCGTCGGCGACAAGCGTGGGAAAAAGTTGAAAATGCACTGTGCTTTGGCGACAAGCGTGGGAAAACTTTCAAAATGCACTGTGCGCTGGCGACAAGCGTGGGAAAAAGTTCGAAATGCACTGTGCGTCGGCGACAAGCGTGGGAAAATGTTCGAAATGCACTGTGCGTTGGCGACAAGCGTGGGAAAAAGTTCGGAATGCACTGTGCGAAAGAGAAAAATGTCCACGTACTTTCCTAGGGAATAAAAGCGTAAATTTTAGGGACAAAAACGTTTAAAAAAATTCCCCAAAAAAATTTTTTCCTCAAAAAATGTAAAATACGAAAAAAATAATAAAAACAAACAAAAATAATTTTTCCAATATCCCAATTTTCAGGAGTGAACGTAACCCGTGGAATGTTCGCCTACAAAAGTGGGGTTTTCGACCCCACTCCGGAGGATTGCGCACAAAATTCGTTGGGCTCTCATGCTATGGCCGTGATCGGATACGGTACGCAGAATGGCGAAAGATACTGGCTGCTGAAGAATTCGTGGGGACCGGCGCACGGAGAGGCCGGCTACATAAGAATGAAGCGGGGTGTGAATTCGTGCGGCTTTGGGAACAATGTCTACACTGCGCTGATTACCAAGCATCATTAGAAACGAGATTTTTTTCATTTTTTATTTCATTATTTCAAGCTCAAAATTTTTTAAAAATAATATAAAACATGCCGTACAAGATAAATATGATAATAGAAATCGCTCCTAAATTTCGGAAATTACAGAATTCGGTACTAAAAATACTAATTATCTATTCTAACATGCTAAAAAATAAAGATCTATCTAAAACAACATAATTAATATTACAGCCGAGATCGCAGCTGAATCCATGAAGACTTTATTGTTCAAACTCTCTTTCATCGGAGATCAGAATCTCTGAAAATAAACAATTTTACAATTCAAAAAGCTGCTAACGCAAAAGGGACACTTTATACGATAAAACATGTCCAAAAATGTAATTAGTAAATTTATCGTACGATTTAACCGTCCAAATTTGTTATGACATCAACGAAAAGACTTCCAGAACGCTTCTATTCCATTTTCTGCCATTTCCAGAACCAAGTGACATTTTATACGATGAAACCTGTTCAGACAGTTTTCATCGTATAAAATGTCTATCAAAGTTACAAATTACAGTAAAAACCCCTTAGCCTTCCGGAAACGTTTCCCACACCAAATCAGGTTAATTCAGCCTTCAAAATTTCTAAACCTTACCTTCGACATCGATAACATCCAGCTCCTCTTCTTCCCCCATATTTTCATCAACCACAACTTGCATCGGTGGCCTCTTCACTTCCCCACCCATATTCAGCCCTCCTGAGTCATCTCCCGTCATTTTCCGATGCTTTAAAGTTTTCGTGGTGGGACCCACAACGGATTTTTCAAACCCCTTGCTTCTAAAAAAATGTGAGCTATGTGGTCGTTCAGGGGCATAACCTTCCGCATAAACCATTTCTTCACCTTCCTCATCAACATTTTCCACATCAATATCGAAATGTTCAGCTTCCAAAGAGCTGAGTCTCGGTCTCTTCGGTGGTGAGAGGACGTCAGTTAATACCAAATCATCCAAGTAATCTTGCTCATCCTCATATTCCTCCTCTTCCTCGTAGTAAGCATATTCACTCACCTCGTACTGGTTCTTTTCGTCGGCCTTTGCTTCTTTTTGCTTTTCCACGAGGAATTCCGCATCTTTGTGGCCGGGGATGCCGCTTCCTCGGGTCGCCGAATACACAAACTCATCCGTTTTGGTGGGGGCGCGATAACTTCGGCGGAATGAGGTCGCGGAGTCGGGGGAAGCGCGGCACACATGAATCTGGGCGCCGTGGAATCGAAGCTCTCGGAGAAGGCGAATTTGGTCCATCGAGAAGTCCACACCCATCAATTTGGCAAACTTGTGATATTTTAGGACCTGGAATTTCGATTTTCACACATGGTGACAAATTATACGATAAATTTTCTTTCCGGGGAAAAAAAATAAAAAAAATTCATCGTACAATACGTCGACTTCTTAGCAAAATCAAATTCAACTAGTTCGGCGCTGCTATTTCATGGATTTCAATCTCAACCTAAACTTTTTTGGCGGAGACATTTTATACGACAAAAAATGAAATAAACACCTTTCATCGTATAAAATGTCCACAACAAAAAAAGTATTCTGCGACCTGCATTTTCATTCAAAAACTTGAAATACTACAGGGAGACAATTTATACAATCAAAAATATTTAAAAAACATCTTTCATCGTATAACCTGTCCCCTCCTCAAAATCATCACCTACCTTTGAAATGTCGTCGCACATCGCTTCATAATCGCTCTTTGCGTGTTTCTTCTTCATCTGACTTTTGAAATTATCGTCCATCACGCCGTAAACGCCCATTCTGTCCATTACTTCCACATGATTCATATAAAAAGCGTTCGAATCTCTGATGGCCAGTGGACTCAGGTCAAATGTGAGGCCCGAATAGGGTCTGTAGCCCTGCGTGGCATGACTCGAAGGGGCGTTTAGTTGAGAATCAAGACGTTTGAGCATCGCCGGGGCCGAGTTATAATCAAACAACATTCTTTCTGAAATTCCTCTAAATCTCCAAAACTGATTGCAATGTCGAGTCGAAAATGGAAGGTCTTCTTCTTCATTGCATTCGTGTTCTTCAGATTCATCCAGCTTAGCTTCTTTGAAGCCAGCCTGAAAACCCAAAAACTAAAGCATTTAATTTTAAAAAAATCAGTTTTTCCCTACCAAAATAAAAATATTTGTCCACAAAATTAAAAATTCATTCCTTCCGGCTGACAAATACTTCAATTTCCGTAAAATCAGCGCAAGAGAAACACTTGACTCAACTCGTCTTGGTTGGGTCATGTCTTCCTCTCATGCAGAAATTGGGCTTTATGGTGATTGGACAGAGTGAAACTCGACAGAAATAACTTGGACAGAGTGTGAATTTAGACAGTGGGAAATTGGACAGATTTTTTCAGTGCAAAAGCTGTCCAATTTCCCTCTGTCCAGTTTCCACACTCTGTCCAATTTATTTCTGTCGAGTTTCACTCTGTCCAACTTCCATGAAGCCCGAAATTGCACTCACAACTCAAAATCACATTCAGAAATCAGCCATCTCCGTTGACGACCATTACAACCCTACTTACTTCATTTTCGACTTCATTTCCATCTACATTACCTTCTCCTTCCATGGAATCTCTCGGGCCCGAAATTTCATCAACTTGCAGCAGACTGATGTCCAAATCTGATGCCAATTTATCAAACCTGTCCTTCACGGTCAGCCCATACGCTTTTCTGATACCGAGCAGTCCGGCTTTCCCCAAGGCACTATTAATTTCGGCCAATTTTTGTGGTTCAAAGACCTCAAATGCCGATTTCTCATTCTCCACTTCCAATAATCCTCCACGTTTTGGCGGTTCGATCTGCAGCTTCTCAATCTTGTGTACTGCAAAGGGGTGAGAAGGAAGGTGTTCTGCCAAGTCGCAAAATTCATATTGAAGCTGAGTCATTAGCTGGGAGAACTTGAAGCCATTTTCCATGAGGTAGGTGTCAACTGAGCTCATTTTGAAGTAATCTATGAACATCGAGGCGCACCAGGCCTTAAACAGACCAAATTTAATAAATTTGAAATTCCGCCAACATTTTATAACACGATTTTTGAGTCACTGCGTCAGCCAGTAGTGGGGCCCGGTCTTAGGAAAAAATCGATTTTGAGATTTTTGGCTTAAAATAGTCGGTAGCACTTGTGGAAGAAAAGCTAAAAATATTTTTGCCCAATTTTGCCCGGAAGGCATATTTTTTTACAAAATACGTTTTTACACTTCAAAGCCTCTGGAGGCCGATGTGATCCGACCACAGAGATCAAACCTGGCATACAGGGGTTTTTGACACCCAGGAATCTGAAAATCGTAGCATTTTTACCGTCAGATTACTGTAACATGGTCATACTGTAATCCGGTCGATAAAAATCGACGATAACTTCTTTAGATCAAAAATGCCACAGGATTTTATTGCAGATTCGGAATCAGCATAAAATTCTGCTTCGGATACATGTAAAATATGTTCAAAATTCCGTGGCCCAACCTCTGTAGTATAGTGGTTGTGCGCCAGGATTATCAATCTGACGACCCAGGTTCGATTCCCGGTGGCTGCAAATGGCATAAAATGGACTATAAAAGGGCGGAAACATGGAAAAAAGGGAAAATAAATTACAGAAAATTAATTTTATGCTACTTAGGAGCAGTTTAAAAGTTTTTGCAAGAATTCCGCATAAATTACGGTTTTTATGGAAAACGCCTCACAGCATTCGTAAGATCGCCCCAAATGGCAACTAAAGAGTTGTGGTGAATCTAGATAACGCTTGCTATGCAATATTCTTCAAATCCGTCGAGGAATGTAATACAAAACAAAATAAAACAATTATTTGGTTTTCAGAAGGAAGCACGCATGTTACAGTCCCGTAATTTAGCCTCTGTTCCTTATCAACTGAGTCTTCATGTAGATTTATCATTAGAGCGTCCACGCGCTCCGTTTTTCGTGGGATACGCAAGACGGCCTAAGTTTTGCAAGCTGTGTGATCCCGGTGCTGTTAGGGAATCTTATATGACTTTTTGTGAATCTTATATGACTTTTTGGTCGAATATTGTTCCGTTCGATAAACCTCGGCCGCAGCTCGCCTTCTTAAAATCCCGAATTTGAAAGAAAATCCAGGCTATCCCAAAAATTTAACGAAATAAGCAGAAATGGACTTATTTTGTAGTAGGAAGCCTCAGTAACCTCTTCTGTAAATTTTAACCAGATTGCTCCACTTTCCGGCAAGCTATAAGGCGTTTTCCATAAAAACCGTAATTTATGCGGAATGTTTGCAAAAACTTTTAAACTGCTCCTAACAAGGGATCGGCAAATAGTTGCACCCTGCTTTCTTAACAAAACATATACCGTTTGAAAGAGCATTAAAAATAGTGCACAGCGCAAAAAAAATTAGCTGCCTAAATTACCTTAGGGCATAGATACGACCGCTTTTTGAAAGGGGTTATATGCGGCCAAAACGCCGGTTCCTTATATTACAGTAATCCTGGCGGTTTGAAATCGTCTTTATTAATTTCCTGGTATCCAAAAACGTCTATCACGGTCGTTTTATGGCTTTACCAATCCTCGGTTATATGTTATTAGACATTACTGCTAGTTACAGTAAATTGTAAATAAAACTAGGTTAAAGGGAAAATTGGAGCAAAAAGCTTTGGAAATACACTTATATGATCGTAGTGGTCATTCACAAACGAAAATTTCAAAATTGAAAATTTCTTATGTCCTCGCCTTACCAATGGTTGGCCCACTGTGTCAGCAATAGTGTCTTTGGCCGATTTTACAATTTTATCTTCGTATTTTTTCAAAAAAAGTATATTTATAGGCCCTTCTAAATTGAATAATCCTCCAGTAATCATAATCGGTCAGGTTACTGGCACAACACCCTTGTAATACGATAGTGACATACCCACTCTCATCACCATCAAATTTGTGGTCGTTTCAAAAAAATTCAAAATCTCAGAAAAATTGCGTAACCATGGATTTTGTCTGCGGGGGAACAAAAATTGTTAAAAAATGTCAACATACCATGGTTTTGTGGCATATAAGAGACGAAACGCAAAATGATCACAGAGACCGGATTCGAAACCAGGACTCGCTGAGCCCGAAGTGGGCTCACTACCACTCGGCCAACTGGACACAACTTTGTTGCCATTCCGAGAGCTTATAAAGCGAGGCGGAAATTAGGCTAAAATCTGTATTTTGGCCATAACTTTGTCCAAAGTGAATTTAGGCAGCTGATTCTTTTTGCGCTGTGAACTATTTTTAAGCCTCTTTCAAATGATATAGGTTTCGTTAAGAAAGCAGGTTACAACTATTTGCCGATCCCTTGTAAGTAGCATAAAATTAATTTTCTGTAATTTACTTTCCCTTTTTTACAAGTTTCCGCCCTTTTATAGTCCATTTTCTGCCATTTGCAGCCACCGGGAATCGAACCTGGGTCGTCAGATTGATAATCCTGGCGCACAACCACTATACTACAGAGGTTGGGCCACGGAATTTTGAACATATTTTACATGTATCCGAAGCAGAATTTTATGCTGATTCCGAATCTGCAATAAAATCCTGTGGCATTTTTGATCTAAAGAAGTTATCGTCGATTTTTATCGACCGGATTACAGTATGACCATGTTACAGTAATCTGACGGTAAAAATGCTACGATTTTCAGATTCCTGGGTGTCAAAAACCCCTGTATGCCAGGTTTGATCTCTGTGGTCGGATCACATCGGCCTCCAGAGGCTTTGAAGTGTAAAAACGTATTTTGTAAAAAAATATGCCTTCCGGGCAAAATTGGGCAAAAATATTTGTAGCTTTTCTTCCAAAAGTGCTACCGACTATTTTAAGCCAAAAATCTCAAAATCGATTTTTTCCTAAGACCACCGCTGGTGCCCTGACTCAAAAATCGTGTTTTATACGACAAAACATGTACTCGGAAAAACACGCCAATTTTAGGTGTAAAACATCCAATGTCAACGGCCTAATAAGGCCGCCTGACACATACAAAAGGTCCTGAATGGACATACTGTCCACACTCGGAGACATCTTATACGATGAAAAATGTTTTTTTACGAAAAAAAATTTCATCGTATAAAATGTCGACCACTGCAAAAACCGAACTTACCCGAAACATCAACTTGAAATCGGACTGAAAACAATTGATTGGGACGATTTGAGAAGGTATAGATCTCTTAATTCGATTTGCCATATCCCATGAAGACACTGCAATAATAACAGGAGCTTTTAACTGTGGAACTTGAGCCTTCAACTTCGAAAAGAACTTGAATTCAACTTCCTGAGACTCGAATCTATCAACCTGAAACACAAGGAGTTAAACTTTTACCAGATTTCAAACGGGAAAACATTATTTTAGCTTACATCATCAATAAATACAACGCTACCCTGGTCCGGGATGAACTCCAAGGCATTCAGGGCTCTTTCCGCGTCTTCGTTGGGATAATATTTGACTTCATAATCTTCTTTGATCATGTGGCGGAGGTTCGACTTGCCCGAGCCTACCAGTCCATGAAGAATGACTAATTTTGACTCGATTTTATTCGCAGAATCCCTGGCGTAAAGCTCTAAAATGTCGCAAATTGAATTTTCTCCCTATTAGAAGACCAAAAACGGGCATATTCAAATCATAATGAGGCAAACGGACATTATTTTAGACATCCATGAAGGTCATGGATAACATCGAAAAATACAGAGGAAAAATCAAAATGAATGGATATTATTATCACTTAAAATCAAGTTTAAAGCACTCAGCGACTGTTGAAAGCAAGAGTTGTTTAAAACAAGCCACCTCAATTATTATTTTTGACATCAGTTGGTCATAGATAATATCAGCTATTTGAGCCTAAAAACAGGATCTCCTCAACACCACTGGGCATTTAATTTTACGCTCATGAGGTCTATTTACTAACAACATCATCGATTGTCCATAAAAAGCCACAACATCCACCTACCATCAAGAATTTCGTCCAGTCTAACATAAGTCTCATAATTCATATTTGACAAATGCATGTTGGTTGGAATCACATGATCCGTCCATAAAACGTTCGGAAATCCTTTCAGATTCAATATATAGTCGATAAGAACTGTTGGAGCACTGAAAAATGACAACGATTATATTATACTAGACATATCTGGTAAACCGACTCTAAAAAGCCTATAAAACAATACTTTACCATGCTTCAGATGGCGAATAATAACAATCATGCTTTAGTTTCTCTGCGAAATAAATGGCCCTCTCTCTATGAACCAAAAACCGGGGCGTCCTTGTCAGTTTGAAGTACACCATCAACAGCGGTGCGTATCTCTCCACACTGGGGTCCATTCCACCATTCTGGTCCTTGAATTGTTTAAAAATCTGCCTCATCTGATCAATAGCTTGATTATCGTCGCTCACATTGCGCAGAATTGCGATCTAAAACCATAAACATCAATTTTGAGATATAAAACAATATAATTTGAAAAAATTTGGAAAAACAACGATTTTTTTGGGTTAAACATTCTAAAACGACCGTGTGAGGCTGTAGCTGAGCATTATTTCAGAGAATCCACGTCTAAAAGTTGAAGAACAAAGAAAAAAATAGAAACTCACAAGTTCATCGCACTTCTTGCGCCATACTCCGGCATTTGGCTGAAATCGACAGGATTAGGAGATAAACTGGCAAAGCTAACGCAATATAAGCTTCGCAGCAGTTTGTTTTAGCTATTACAACACTTTATCCCCTTCAACACATTGAAGATTAATGATTCTCAGCTAAATACCCGTGAGCCACCAGATGATTCATGTATAACATAAAATTTCAATGCCTTTTCAAATGCGGTCGCCGCAAATCCTTGAAAAAGTAGGCTCACTTTATCAAGCAGCTATTTCTAAACCGGCAAAGACAAAAAAGACAAATACTTACGTCAATCTTCCTCTCCTTGTGCTCCTCGATCAGCTGGACCCTAACTTCGTCGGCAAATCCAATTCGAGCCATTACAAACACATGAGAAGCCTGTCACTAATTTTCCCGACTGAAAGCTGTTGCTTACATATAATTTCGATCTTTGCGAGAAAAAATTGCAAAAACTGGTCTTCCATGGTATAAGATGTCTACCGCGGGTTACAAACGCCGGGCGCAGCTCGGAAGTCGCAGAAATGTTGATCGAGGAGAGAGTACGGGAAATGCGGAGAGGTCAGAGAGAAAAACATTTTTTGGCCATATCTTTGCCAGTTTTTTGCGGGAAAAATTTATTTTTTGTGGAAACATTACCCTACACGGTAGAAATAGGCAGGAAAAATTTCATGACAAAATTCATAAAAAATTGTGACATTTTTTAAATTTTTTGACCTAAAAATCCGTTTTTTTTTGCAAAGAACGAGATAGAAGTCTTGCATATGCCTTGGAAAAAATTATTTTAAATTTTTGACAAGTTTCCTTGACATCTATTACCAAAAAAAAAAATAAAAAAATCATCGTATTTTATTTAAAAATAAAAACTGTGAAAAATGAACATAACTGTTTCAGCTATTTTAACAATTAAAATTACTTCAATAATAGCAAATAAAATCTAATAAAACAATAAAAAAAATATTAAATTCAGACCAAACGTCCAACGATTAACAGGTATATACAGATAAATAAGACATCCAGAACACCCAATACTGTGAGGCTTCAGAGCCGTGAGAGGAGCCACGCGAACAGCAGCAGGCCCTTAAACATGAGGACACGGCGATGCGGCGGCGGCAGCGCCATCGGGAAATGGGGCGCGACGTCGATGGTAGGGAAGAGGCGTGGTGGGGCGTTGGCTGTTCGTCGACAGGGAGGGCTGCCATTTGTGGGGTCGGCCCGTGACGGTGATCCTGAAAGCGGCCTGTAGGAGTGTAATCGAGAGCTGTTGGGGTTAGAGGGGGGAAAATTAGAAGGTAAAGAAAATTTTTTTTGCTAAATTATTGTTCTTCTTTTCCAAAATCTCCGGAAATTCAGGTCAGAAAATTTTAGTCATCTATATTTTAATAGTTAGTTTTCGTGGCGGGACCAAAAATTTCGGCCAGATGTCCGAAAAATGGGTCATAATGACAAAACTTGATGTCATTGGTCAATAAAAAAGCATATCTAACATCATGATAATAATCACAAAGATGTCAGACGCAAAAAGTCGACAAAAAAAATTGTGTTTTGGTCCCACCACGAATGTTTGAACTTCTCTATTTTTTATTGAAATGGCTTTGAAACGCATAGATAACCGTAAAAATTGCGATTTACAGCATTTCCCGCCTTGATGTTTTATAGATTTTTTGATTTTTTTCAGATTTTTTAATTTTCTATATTGCACTTGACATCTGATGTTTGACAAAAAAAAGTATATAAATACGTTATATTACGCTTCTACCTCTTCCATTGCATGTTCAAATGTCAGAAAAATTACTATTTTCCAAAATTTTCTTAATTTTCCTCATCTTTGGTCTTTTTTCAAATCCTAGGGCGCAGCCCGCCAAATGTTAAAAAAGGATGACTAAATGCGAGATTGCTTTAGAACTTTTTAAAATACTCCAATTAACAGCTATATGGCTTCAACAATACGAAAAATTGAAATTTCCCATTATGGCCTGCGAATTTGAAAAGGCGTAGGGCGCAGGCTGCCAAATCAGAAATAGCCTCAGGAGTTTAAAATAATATTAAAATTGACGCCGCTTCACTAACACAAAAACACCAAGATTTTCTTTTCCAATAATACACTTTAATAAAGATTTTTATAATAAAAATGTAGGGCGCAGGCTGCGAGATTAAAAATTAAACTTTTCAACGTCCACTTTAACGGATGCAGATTGCTTATTTTATAAATCATCGATTAGGAAAACACCTTCTGTTTCAAAAACTTACGTCTTACTCAGCCGATGGAACGGCTCGGCATTCGTCTTCGACGTCCTCGCCGTTGGTTCGCTCTCATTCTTCAAAATCCTCTCGATCTTCCGCAACAACTCGCTGTAATCCGCACTGTATTGGATATAAAAAGTAGGATTTAATGCGTTTGATTTACACGGCAACCCAGTTGTTATACGCACATCAAATTGGTGTTAAACTTTTTACCGCTACTCTATGTATTGGCCACTTTTAGGAGTTTACTTATGCAGCAATTTGCTCGAGGCGGAAACTTTCGATTTTTCTGAAATTTTGCGTGCCTGGTCTACAGTGGGAGACCTGATCCAGTGGCAAAAAAAGTACCATTTTGTATCCGGGAGGTATCCAAAATTGTAGCAAAATGCCTCCCTCTCCAAGCGAAAAAACTCCAATTTCAAAACCGCACCCGCTCTTTTTGTGAGGTCCCTTCAAAACGAAGTTTTTTCACTTGGAGAGGGAGGCATTTTCCCACATTTTTTGATACTTCCCGGATGAAAAATGGTACGTTTTTTGCCACTGGATTATATCCGTCACTGTAAAAAGCAATTTGATTTTGCAGCGACACAATCCATTCTTTCGGCAGAATTACGATTTTCGATGCGACAGCTCATTATTTTCCCGCGTTGCGGCGGAACTCTCCCCCTTTTCTGAACTCTCCCCCTTTTTGTTGAATGAACCCTGCCCCTTTTTGAACACTCCCCCTCATTTTGAAAATTGAAAAAAATGAGGTGTGACATGTTATACGATGAAACTTTTTTTTCAAATTGAAAAATGCAGGTTTCATGTTTTTATTTTTTTCTACCCGTTCTATCGTGTGAGATGTCACACCTCATTTTTTTCGAAAAAAAGTTTCATCGTATAAGACGTCATACCTCATTTTTTCGAAAAAAAGTTTCATCGTATAAGATGTCACACCTCATTTTTCTCAATTTGAAAACAAGTTTCATCGTATAAGACGTCACACCTAAGTTTTCCAATTTGAAGAAAAAGTTTCATCGTATAAGATGTCACACCTCATTTTTTTTAATTTGAAAAAAAAATTCTATCGTATAACATGTCACACCTGGTTTTTTCAGTTTGAAAAAAAGTTTCATCGTATAAGATGTCACACCTAATTTTTCTCAATTTGAAAAAAAGTTTCATCGTACAACATGTCACACCCCCCGTTACTGTTAAATTTCCCTTCAAATCACTCAATCTCTCCTCTTTGACCTACTTTCTATCCGCTCCATACTTATCACTCAACGCTTGCAACGGGTCGTGCGTCTGATTGGGTTGCGTGACCGCGATTTGCGGCGCGGTCGCGGCTTCCTGTCGATAGCTCCAGGTGGTGGGAGTGAACGTCTTCCGTCCCTTCTGTCCCACAAACACAGGGATCTCCTCGTCCTGGGCGCAAGGCTCATTGCAATCGCCTCTGGTCAGCTTCTCATTGGGCAGTCGGTACTTTTTCATCTGAACCGTCGGCTTCGAATGCAGACTGTCTTCGGCGTCGCCGGCTTCGGTCACTTCCTGACTTTGCATGGGACTAGTAGCTTCTGTGGAGGCGTCAATCGCTTTCGATTCGCCGAACTGGACTCGAGGGAAGGAGGCGGTCGCTTTTCCGACCTGTCGATTCCCCGCGATTCGCAGCGAATCCACCGAAGGAAGCGGCATTATGGAGACGGGGGCCGGTGTGGAAGCCGCGATCGGGGAGATGGGCAAAGATTGAGGGGCGTAGATTGCGGTGGAAGTCAGTTCATTCGCTTCGACGGACTTCTCACTATAAAAAATGGGGCACATTTTATATTGTACTAGGTGGAAATGGGAAAAAAGTTTGATTTTTGATAAAATAATGTCGTTTTGGACAGCCCAAAAGTCTTTATATAGACTAAAATGATTTATTTCACCTATAAAAAGCCTTTCGAATACTAAAATTCAATAAAAAAGTTTTCGTGGCGAGACCAAAAATTTCGACCAAACGTCCAAAAAATGGGTCATTACGACAAAAATTGATGACATTGGCCATCACAAAAACTATATTTAACATCATGATAGTATTTACTAGTATATTAGATGCAAAAAGCCCGAAAAAAATTTTTTTTTTGGGTCCCACCACGAATGCTTGAACTCAGCTTCTTTCGCTCAGAATGGCTTTGAAATGCCTAAATAACCGTAAAATAGCTATTTACATCATCTCTCGCCTTGATGTTTTTAACAAAAGTCAAAAATTTCACTTACGGCGCCACCGGCAAAGATGGCCTCAGGCAATATTTCTCGTCCGAGCCGTCCGGACAATCCTCTTTTCCGTCGCAAACCAAGTTCCGGGCCACCTGATCTTTCCGATTTTCGCACACATACATCTGACTTGCGTCTTTTTTGCAGAGCAATTCGTCCTCGCCTTGGGGACAATCGCTGGTCCCATCGCAGCGCTGGATCGCGGGGATGCATTTATTCGACTTTCGGCAGAGGAAATTTCCCGCGGGGCATTCTGAAAGATCGTTTCTAGGTCGTCGAAAAATCGAGAAAAGAAAACAAAGTAAATTCTTTCAAATTTTAAAACCGCGTTATGCAGAAAAAACATAAAGAAACAATAAAAAAATCCTATTTTTCCATTTTAATAAATCGCTTTTTTATCCTGGATTTGGTAAAAGATCATTTTTACGATTTTTTAAAATCGCGTTATGCAGAAACCGCATAAAGGAAAAATTCAAAAAATCTATTTTGTATCTCCAAAAAAAATTTTTTTAGGTGCTTTGAAAAAAAATTGTTTTTCGAAGTTTTAAAACCGCGCTATGCAGAACCCGCATAAAGGAAAAGCCGCTTTTCCAGCAGTAATTTGCTATCAAATTTATTTTTCCGAAATTTTTAAAAAAATTCAATGACTAAATCTCACCTTCACAATCCATTTCGTCAGTCCCATCGCGACACTCCTTGATCCCATTACATCTTCCAGTCATTGGGATGCATTGCTCCGACTTAACGCATGGGAACTCCTCCGCCTTGCACATGGCTAAAAATCATTTAAAACGAATGTAAAATACGTCTCTGAAGGGTTTCAAAGGTATCAGAATTCCTTACGGCAATTCTGTTCATCCTCTTCCAAAATGCAGTCGTAAGCGCCGTCGCACCGTTGTCCCAGCGGAACGCAGGTCTCGGACAGGGGGCAAGCAAAGTCCGTGGCGTTGGTGCAGGCTTCTAAAGGGGAGATTAACAGTTGCAAAGGCCCTGCGAGAATTGGAAATGGTCTTCAGACCAGAGATTATCGGTCTGTCGGGAAAATAGTGTGGAATTGTCACGCCTTGGCCCATCATCGCTTTGTGGCAGCTGATGTCGATTTAGGGCCCGACTGCGACGAGGCAAGACATTTGACAGCGAAAAATCCACATTATTTTTCCGACAGACTGATAACAACGCCTTGCAACGGTAAGCCGTTGACGTAAGACATGCTGAATTTCGTCAAGGTCGGGACGTGGCACGTCAAACTGAGGAGTCCGGTGACCGGAATATACTCTTCGCTATCGGTTTTTTACACTTCGTCTTGACTTCGCAGAGAAAGAGAGAGAAAAGGCACGCAAAAACGTACTCTCTCGCCCCAAAAATTCCCCATTTCTTCCCCGTCAGAACGTTTTTTCGCATCTTTTTCCGATCCAAGTTGCCGATCCATTCACCGGACTGTTTTAGCTTATCTCAGTTTGACGTGCGTGGTCCAAGTGGAAATGCTTTTTCGGATAAAATTTTGGCTTACCTGGTGCAGACTGCAGCCCACAAGTCTTTACGTTGTAATCGTAGTTGCAATTTTGGGTTCCCAAAGTGTCGAACACAAGTCCTGAAAAGCACATGCAACAAAATCTGAATCATGTGGGACATGAGCCACCTATCATTTGCTGAAAATTTTAGCTCGCGCTTTGCAGCGACAGCCGACAAATTTAACGGGCTTTGCGACCGAGAGAGTACCCGAAATGCGGAGAGTGGCACAGAGATAATTTCTTGGCCATATCTTTGCCAGGTTCATGCGGAAAACATTGATTTTTTTGTGGATAAATCACCCTCTACGGTAGAAATAGGCGTGATTTTTATTATGAAAAAAATTGCAAAAAATGTCACTTTTTATTATAGATGCAATAACTTCTTTTTGTCAAGACTTTCTAACCAAGAGATTGCCACGGCTCCGGAGCCGGCAGTTGGCTCTGGCTCTGAGCGGCTCCGGCTCCGAGCCGGGAGCCAGAGCCGGAACCGGAAATTGGGGTCGTTTGCACGGAGCCGAGAGCCGGAGCCGGAGCTGCAATTTGGCCTTGGCTCCGGCTATGGGAGCTAACAATAAGAGCCGAAGCCGAAATTTTGACCGTGGCAATCACTGTTTCTAACCAACTTTTTCGCCCCGATTAACCTACCGATCCGACAATTCTTCTTGTAAGTATGGAACCCGTCGCTCTGCCAACGGCAATGATAAAATTCGGGCGAACAGGAATAGCCCATAAACTGGCCCATGCTCGTCTTCTGCAGCCCATTTTCGGCCGCCAGCTCGGTCATATTGCAAAAGTTGAGTGGGTGTTCTTCCAGCTGCGTCTGACTTTGCAGCACATCAATGGCTTTGGGGTTGCAGAGCGTCCGAAGCAGTTGGAAAAGAAGGAGCGCCAATGAAGGGTTGGTCCGTAATGGACTCCGCATCGCTGTAAGATAGGGGGAATTGTGATTTTTGGAGTGAAAAGGGAAGAATGATATCGAAATTCCGGGGAAACAAAATAAAAAAAAAATAAAAAATATTTTAAAAAAATTTAATTTTTGGTCGTAATTTTCGACCGAAAATTAAAAGTTTTTTTTTTCTTAATTTTTTTTATTTTCAAAAATTAAAAAATTCATTTGAACAACAGAAAACGTTGCAAAAAATTTTTTTGGTTTAAAAATTCGAAAAACCCCCTTTTTTCATTTTTTTTGACAAGGAAAGTACTTCTATGGGGTGTGGAGTTACAAGTCGAGATGTATATCAAAAAATTCGCAAAAATTTTCTGATTCAGAATATATAAAAATTAGCTGGTCTGATGACATGTTTTTGTCCTCAGAAGTTTTCTCGCGACACCATGCAAGTGTCTTTTTGACCGTGTTTTTACCAATAAAAAAATTTTTTTTTGTGCTAAAATAAATTCTGAGGCCTTGACAAGCCTTAAAATATCAAATTGGATTACACCTACACCTTAATAGTAGTTCCAATGTAAAAAAGGGGCTCTGCGGCAAGAGGGTTCGAACCCACGGGGCAGCTTTCCCCTTGGATTCTCAGTCTACCGCTCTAACCACTCGGCCACACCGCTCTCTTCCGAAGGAAGAGACCGAGCGCGCTTTTGTTGCCGGAGTTTTTTTTTCTCGAGAAATACATTTATTGATAAAACTCGTTGATAAACCAAAATTAGGCAGCTAATTTTTATATATTCTGAATCAGAAAATTTTTGCGAATTTTTTGATATATATCTCGACCTGTAACTCCACACCCCATAGAAGTACTTTCCTTGTGACATAAAAATCTCGATGATTTCTGCAAAGCACCAGCAAAAATGCCATAATAAGTCTTTTGGCCAGGTAAAAAATCGGATTTTCAGGCGCAACTCAGCAAAATCATCATTTTTTCAGCAAAGTGACTGAAAATTTTTTTAAAAAGTTTGTTTTTTCACCCAAATTTTCGTTACAAAAGATTTTTTGACCGATTTCTTACCCACTTTGGCAAAAACCGAAACTTTTTTTGACAAAGTAGACCATTTCCAAGCCTTCTGAATTTTCTGAGACTTGTTTTGACCGGTAAAACCTAGAGGAAAACAATGAAATCCCAGTTTGAAGAGTCTTGTTTTCAATTTGACCCGAAAAATCGCAAAACTTTTTTCAAAAATTCCAAAAAATCTATTCCAAAACCAACACACCGAAACTACCGTAGCCACGAGAAACGGCGATGAGCTGCAAAAGGTAAACAGCAGCCAAAAGCGCTCGAATTATTATGCAATAACAGCGCTCGGAGAGCGCGCGATTTTAGGGACCGATGGAGCAAAAACAGAGGGAAATGTTGGTCATTTCCGTGTTTCACGTTTCAGGCCCCCCTCTCTCCGTTGTAATGGATATCGCGCGCTGCACAAAAGGCGGATAAAAATAGGTCCCGGCCGAGGAAATTGGGACACAATAATTAGAGCGGCGAGCAATTTTTGTTTCGAAATTTTTGGTGGAAAATATTGGTAAAAAGATTTTTTTAATATTAAAAAGGTTTTTTTGGCTCCGTAACGGCTTTACGGAGATTTTTTATTTGCTTTTGAATTTTAAAAAATTCTCTAAAAATGCAAAAAATGTAATTTATTTTTAAAATCTTCGAAAATTAATTTTTTGTTTCTGAAGCTGATAGAATTTGAAATGTTGTTTTGCATCCGAAAATTTCAAAAACTGTTTATTTCTATAAAAAATCGCGTTCGAATTTTTCGGGTCGACGACAGTTCGGGCCAACAAAAAATGGATCGCTACGAGGCCTAGGGCAGGTGAAGACCAAAAAAAAAGGTTGTAGTGAATGCCTATGAGGCTTCTCATAGCCGTTGGATACTCGTTGGACGCTCGGCGAAGACTTCCAGTACAAATGCTTTTTCTAATCTTAGCTATTACCAGAGATTGCCACGGTCAAAATTTCGGCTCCGGCTCCGGCTCTTAGCTCCCAGAGCCGGAGCCGAGGCCAAATTTGCAGCTCCGGCTCCCGGCTCCCATGAAAAATTTAAAAAGTTCTTCGGCTCCGAATCTCGGCTCCCGTGCAAAAAATTAAAAAAAAATATTTTCCAAAAATAAAAGTTATTAATGCCAGAGGTCATACACCCAACGTTTTTGAAGCCAAGTTGTATGCAACACATCCTTCCCACTATTTTTCAAGCCATTTGGTTTAACAAGATCACGGAATTTTTATTTTTCTGAACGCTGAGAAGCCTGGCTCCGACTTTGAGCTCAGGAGCCGGAGCCGCACCCAAAATTTCCGGCTCCGGAGCCGCGGCAATCTCTGGCTATTACTGACCTTATTGTGAGCAATTATAACATAGAAAAGGCAAAGACTTGCTCCAACAAACGGAATCGTTGGCAAAATAAAAATTTTATATATCTCTTAGAACATTCACGTCTCGTTTGTGCTGTTTCATCGACGTACAAGCGTGATTCTTTTGGCAGCCTGGGCCGTACATACTAAATAGTCGCGCCATAAAGTCCGTAGAATTTTTTTCGCCGACGTCGCAGGTGCAATCGCCGAAAAGATGCACGGACTTTATGTCGCGCCTAGTATTTCCAAAATTTTGGATGACATAAAGAAGAAAAATCAACTTTTAAGACGATACGAATATAAAAAGATTAATTAGAAACCCTTCTGTAATAATGATTAGTCATCACAAGCGATTTTCCTTTTTGGCAGGCTGCGCCCTGAGATTTCAAGAATGACGTAAAACAGATCCAAGTTCTGGATTTCTGAGAAATTAATGGATCATTGGGCATTTTTAGCATTTTAAACACGAGCTAATGTCACCAAATGCCTCATTTTTAGCGCTTAAAAGATCAGATCTCAAGTGTAATATCCGAATCTCCAAAAAATCTCAAAAAAACTTATAAAAACTGAAGTAGTATCATCAATAATAACAAGCAAACCCCAGCGAACTTCCATTAGAAACGAACCGCCCGCAAAAACATAAAAAAATCATGTCCGGTTTCCGTAAAATTTTTCGGCCGCTCAACGAAAAAATTAATGACCGAGGTTAACGAGACGAACGAAGCGCGCTCAAAGTTTCGGTACTCATTTCCTGGTGAGAGGGCTCAAAATTTCGGTGATTTTTACCCGTCTTCTCGCCCATTATTTCGTGGTCAGCGCGCACCGGAAATGAGTGGAGATTGGGTCGAAAAATTGGGGGAAAAAACAAAAATTTTTGTACAAACAGTTCGGAAATGGGGGTGTTCACGTGTAAATAGATTGATGGGAGGGCAAAATACGATCATTTCAGTAGTTTTTTCAAAAAATTTATCAATTTTTCTCCTAGTGTAATATAAATTTTAGTCAAAATCTTCAAAAAATCTCAAAATTCTCCTTCTTAATCCTTATGAATAGCATTCCAAGTCCTTTTTCATTCTTCACCGTACATTTTGACACATTTTCCACCCCAAAACAACCTCAAAATTACTGTAAAAAATCGAAAAATTTCTATTTTTGTACTTTATGTAACAAATCTGGAATTTTTTTTCGGAACAATGTAAATATTTAGAATTAGCATTTGACACAAAAAACGAGACAGGAATTGGTGGATTAAGTGATTGAGGGGATTTTCAGACAATAATTAAGGCAAAGAAAAGAGTTTTTACCAGTTTTCTCTCGAATTTACGGATAATACAAGGCATAAATTAGGGGGGAATGGTTGGATTTTAGGCGATGGTGTCGTTGGCGTGCACGTCGTCGAGTTGGCGTTGGTAGGCGCGAGCGCGCGCGCGTTCGCGGCTCACTTCTTCCTCCAGTTCGTCCACCTGCCGACGCATTTGACGGGCTTTGGCGTTGGCGCGGTCCGCCTGAAAGGAAACAATGAAAAAATGGATATTTACTGTAATCTTTGTCCTTCATCTTTCTCGAACTGTATTTTCCAACCTTTTCAAGACCTATAAACATCCTCCTAAAGGCCTAAAACTAATCTGGTGACCAAAATTTAAAAAGAAATTTTTGAAGTTATGGATTATAATAGCTGAATTGTAGGTTGGAAAAGGCGGTAAGGATGACTGTTAAGGCTCAGAGGACATTAAGACCGATATATTTTGGACTGGTCAGGGCGTGGTAAAAAATGTGGTAAGAGGGGACCAAAATTTTTTTTTTCGTTTTTGGAATTTTGAAATGGCAAAGTGGCATACCTAATCCAGTGGCAAAAAACGTACCGTTTTGCATTCGAGAAGTATCAAAAAACAAACAGCAAAATACCTCCCTCTCCTAGTGAAAAAAGAACGCTCTTCAAAACGGAGTTCTTTACTTGGAGAGGGAGGTATTTTGCTGCGTTTTTGATGCTTCCCAGATGCAAAATGGTACACATCTTGCCACTGGACCAATCCGCCACTTTACTACTTCAAAATTTCAAAAATGAAAAAAAATTGGTCCCCTTTTACCACATTTTTTACCACGCCCTGGCCAGTCCAAAATATATCGGTCTTAATGTCCTCTGAGCCTTAGCAATCATCCCTATCGCCTTTTCCAACCTACAATTCAACTAAAAAATCCAAAACTCTTCAAAAATTTCCTTTGGTCAGCTCTTGCCCCACTTTTACACAAGTATTTTGCCGGGCTAAAATATAAATCTAGACATCACAAAAGCCATAAAAATGGCCTTTACTCGCTTTTCATCAAATTTGTTTACTCAAAATTACCCAATCCTTCAAAATTACCACCTCTTCGTCTACTACAACAAAAAAACTCTCCCTTGTCCAACATATCCACCCCTTCACATCCCGCATTCCATCCAAAATCTTGCTTACCGCTTCCTTGAACTGTTCCACAGCTCTTCTCTCCTCTTCGGTTTGAGCATTGGCTTCGGCGACCCTCTTTTCCATTCTTCTCAGCATTCGGCTCGCGTTCTGCCGTTCCTGACTTTCCGCGGTCAGCTGATCTTGCAGCTGCTTGACCTGCGACTCCAACGATCCGATTTGAGCTCGGGTCCGCGTTTGAGTAAGGGTTTCAAGTTCGACAACTTGTGAGCGGAGCTCTCGGTTCTGCCGTTCGAGGCTCTGAATTTCGGTCTCCAATTTTTGAGCGTTCGCGCGTTCGGCGTTGAGTTCAATTCCGGCTTGATCGGCCTGAAATGAAATGGTTTGAATTCCGTTTCTAGCAAAGTTATGCCTTTCATTTTGGCTGGGATTACTGCAAAGATATTGCGACAAAAAATCTGCCGCACATCCTACGAAACCCTACATTTTGCTGGGCCTTTCTGATCTTGTCTTGAAGCTCGAGGAGTGCCGTTTCTCCCTCCTCCACCTCCTCTTGCAAAACTGTGATTCTATTTTCCAATCGTCTCTTCTCGTCGGATGAGATGCCTCCTTTGCCTCTCAGCTCCTCCAGCTCGTCTCTTTCGGCTTCCAGTTTTCGTTTCTGCGCGGCCAAACTCTCGGTGGCTTCTTGGAGTCGGATCACCTCTCCTTCGGCCTGCCGCATCCGGCGTTCGGCTTCGCGGAGAAGGGCGGCCATCTCTTCTCGTTGCTTTTGTTGTTCGTCCACTTTGACTTGCTGTTCCTTGATGTGTTGTTGGAATTTCTTGAGCTGTTTGCTCATGTCATCCTTTTGTCGGATGTGCTGTTCGAGTTGTTGTTGGAGTTCTAGGACCTGGCTTTCGAGTTGCTTCTTTTGACCGACGGTTCCGACCTGAAAAAAGGGGAAAAATTGATTTTTTCGAAACTAAATTGTATTTTTAGGAGAAAAATGACTAAAATAATATAAAAAATTCTGTATAAATTATAAAAAAATGTCTTAAACATCTTAAATTCCCTACAATTACCAAAAAAGGCTGAATTATTTATGAAAAAAAATTAAAAAAAAAACAAAAAATTTCGGCCAAAAATCTATTCCAAACCCATCTAAAATCAATTTTTGCCACTCTATCTATCCGTACATACCATTATGATACAATTCACTTAAAATAATCACCAATTCCCAGCCTTACCTTGCTTCTTCTCTCCTGTTCCAGCTCCTCTTCCAATTCTCGGACCTGCTTCAACAAGGAGCGCCGCTTGTCCTCATCTTCTTGTTCCTTCAGCGCCAAAATCCGCTCAAACTCGGCTTTCTGGCCTTGCGAAGTGACTTCAATTCTCAGTCTCGCATCTTCAGCCAGCTGAACCGCATCTTCGAGCTCTTCAATCTGGGCTCTCAGATCAGCGGACTCTTGTTCCAGTTGGCGTTTGGCGCGTTCCAATTCATGAACACTCTTTCCGACGTCATCCTTGGAAGAAACCTGAAGGAAAAACATAATTTTTTCGCAAGAATCATCAAATTTTATATTATACTAGACAAAAATTCTCAACTTCCTCACCGACTCTTCCAATTCGAGTTGAAGCATTCTCTTGACTCTTTCCGAGTCATCCAGTTGGGATTTGAGTTCTTCAAGTTGATTCTGAAGTCCAAGAAGTTTGGTTTCGCGGTCTCTGGCATCCTGTTCCAGGGCATCTCTTTCGGCGACCACCTTTTGGAGGTTGGCTCTCTCTTCGGCAAGCTGTTGGTCAAACTTCCTTTGGCGCTTGTCGGCGTCTCTGGAGGTAGTGCGGACATTCTCCAGTTCGATATTCAGATCTTCCACCTAAAAATTAACTCATCAAATTTTTTTTGGGAATTTGGGAGGAAGGATGAAATAAACCATAAAATTATGGCCCAAGACTTGTTTCAATACATCTCATTCCCTTCTATATTAATTTTTCCTTCCCTTGAGGCAATATAAAGCCAACTAATCTTACTTTTAGCCTCTTCTAGGACATTTTTTATATTACACATGACACTAAACCTCTAAAATTCTAAAAAACCCCGTTTCTCTCTCAAAACCGTCTTCTCCTTGTTTCAATACATCTCATTCCCTTCTATATTAATCTACCTTCTCCCTGAGGCAATATAAAGCCAATTAATCTTACTTTTGGCTTCTTCTTGGACATTTTTTATATTACACATGACACTACACCTCTAAAATCCCCCAAAACCCCTTTTTCCTCCCTCAAAATCCTCTTCCCAACCCCCCTCAGTCAACCCAGCTTCTCCTCACCTCTTGCTGGAACTTCTTCTTCGCCCTTTCGGCCCGATCTCTTGCGCCAAGCAAGTCTTCGACTTCTTTTTGGACGTTCTCCAGTTCCTTTTGGAATTTCTTTTTCTGCTCTTCCAACTGGCCCACAACCGCTTCCTCGGATCGTTTCTTCTCTTCGCTCAATTGTGCCTTTAGGGCTTGAATGTCGGCCTCCAATTTTTGCTGCGCCAATTCCATCTCCTCTTTGGTTTCGAGCAAGTTTTGGATTTCGGATTGAAGCTGACGGACTTGGCTTTGTGCAGCCAATTTTTGACGAGTCTCATCGGCCAAGAGCTCTTGCGCTTCGGTGACCTGGCCTTCCAAGGAGCTGATCTTGTGTTGCTGGGAGTTGACGAGTTGTTCGAACTCTTCTCGTTGGCGTTGGGCGACATCGAACTCGGGTTGAATCTAAAACAATGTCAAATTAAATGCAATTTCCAAATTCAAAAATCACCTAATCATACTCGAGTTCTTCCTACAATTTATCAGTGGCTTCTAATAAGTTTTTTGTCGGTTTTTTGAGATTAGTCGTTATAAATATTACAGTAGGTTATAGTTTGAAAACGATAAGTGGAATTTGCGACTTGATGACTAATTCCCAGTCAGCATGACGTACAGTGGGGTCCTGATCCAGCGGCAAAAAAAGTCCCATTTTGCATCCAGGAAGTATCAAAAAATGTGGCAAAATACCTCCCTCTCCAAGTGAAAGAACTCCGATTTAAAAAGTGCGCCCGCTCTTTTTGTGTGGGAAAAGGCGCGATCTTCAAAACTGAGTTAGTTTTTTTTTCACTTGGAGAGGGAGGTATTTTGCCACATTTTTGATACTTTCTGGATGGAAAACGATACATTTTTTGCCACTGGATCAGGTCCTTCACTGAACATTACATTGACTTGGAATTAGTCATCAAATCGGAAATTCCTTTTATCATTTTCAAACTATAACCTACTATAATATTGACAATGACTAATCCCAAAAAAAACGGCAAAAAAAATTATTTTAAAATCAACTGATAACAAGCCCAAATAAAAAAAGGCCCCAAAAAAACCTCTATTCCTTCAAAAAATTCCCTCTCCTCACCCTATTCAGCTGTTCCTGAAGTCCGCCGATCTGCTGTTCGGCCGTTTCCAGCGATGCTCTCAGGTCCAGTACGACTGCTTCGGCTTGTTTTCGTCGATTCTCGGCCTCACTCTTCTGTGCAGCGATGGTTTCGAGTTCTGCGCGGAGTTCTTCATGTTCTTGTTCGAGGGTCTCCTTCGATTTGTCGGCCTGCGTTTTGAGGCGTTTTTGTTGTTCAATTTGATCGATGAGTTCTTCAACTTGACGCTGATACTTTTGTCGGACTTCGTCCAGTTTCTTTTGGCCTTCTTGACTCACAGCTTCTATTGTGCTCTGAAAAATTGAAAGTTTTTTTTGGATCTCATTGGTCCATCAAGTATAACATCAAAAAATCTAACACTATCCCCAAAAATCTCCTAGATTATAGCCGTAAATCCTTCAATATGGCTTTTTATCTTCCTTTAACTACCTAATTTCCCCGTTATCCACCCAAAATTCCTCTAATTTTACCTGCAACTGCCTCAATTCATCATCCTTTTTCCTCTGAATTTCCATGGCCAATTGCGACTTATCCACGGCTTCAACACACTCCGTTTTGAGCGTCTCATATTCCGCAGCCAAGTCCTTGCGTTTGTGTTCGGCTTTGATGCGAAGTTGACGTTCATTTTCCAAATCATCACGAATTTCCTCAATCTGCGCTTCGTAATCGCGGAGTTGCTTCTGGAGATGGGAAATCACCGCATTTTCTTCGTCGGACCTCAAATTAAAAGACGTTTATAGTAATTCTAGACAATATAGAATCATTTTTAATTGCCAGAAAAAAATTGTTTACCAAAAAATCCAAAGTTTTTGACAAATCATCTAAACCACCTAAAACAATATAAAATGGCATTTAAAACTTCTCAAACACTACAAAATAAGCTTTCATCTTTCTTCTCATACTCTATTCAGCCCATAAAAATCAATTTTTCTAAACTTTGAAAATTTTTTTATATTACACTAGCCCATCTTCCTACCTGCAGTACAAGCTGGTCAATTCCTCTTGAGCCTTTTGATAGTGCATATTCAATTCTTGGATCTTATTCCTTTTTTCTTCCAAAAGTTCGCGTGTCTCTTGCAGTTCCACATCCGTTTTTCTCTTCAATTTCTCCAGTTCCTGCTTTCCAGTCTTTTCCTTTTCCAACTCTCCTTCCGTCTCCTGACACTGTTGTTCCCACTTGGCTCTGAGCTTGTTGGCCTGTTTGGTCTTTTCCTCTTCCTCGACCAGTTGATTTTCCAGCTGGTTGGCGCGTTCTTCGAACCATTTTCGTTCTTTCGACAGCTTTTCATTCGCGTCCTAAAGTAATATCGATAAATCTTGAAATTTCACTGCAATTGCGTTCAAATCCTCTCAAAACCAAACTCACAACAAGTTCAGCGATCTGTTCTTCATTTCTGACCAGACGATCTTCCAGTGTAATCTTGTCGAGATGGGTTTTTTGGCGTTTTCTTTCTTCGGATTCCAGTTGTTCCTCGAGGTCGCGGATGTTTTCCTCGAGCTTTTTGAGGCGGTCGGACGACAGTGTAGATCGTTGTTCTTCTTCTTCGAGCCTAAAATCGAAATTTTAGCAATTTCCGAGGCTTTCAACTTATCATACAATTCTTCGTATAAAATGTCCGCCAGGCTCGGGCGCAGCTCGAAACCGCTAATTTCTCAAAATTCCTTACCTAAACTGTAGATCATTCACCATTTCACTGAGTTCTTCATTTTTCACCAACAATCTTTGCCGGAGTTCATCAATTTCGGCTCTTTCCTCCGTTTCTTGTTGCAATTGGTCTTGTAATCTGGTTCGTTCGGCATGAAGACTCTCCAATCTTTGGTTCACTTCATTCAGTTCGGCTTCATACTTCCCGACCTTTTCTTTGACCACCTTCAGCTCATCATCTCTCTGTTGGAGGGCCAGTTCTTGATTGGTGACTTGCAAGAGTGGCTTGACCTTGGTGAAAAGCCGCCACCACTCCCAGTTCCTCAGCTTCAGCCATGAATACGCGTTTCGTTGGAGGACTCGGATGGCGCTGCTCTGCTGCACCCGTTTTTCGTAGAATCTTCGGGCCAAAAAGGCGCGGCAACGGGCCTGGAAATCGATGATCAGGCCGGTGATTTTGATGTCCCGATCCTCCTCCAATTTGGCCAGTACGCCGGCGCGGAAGAAGACCTTGGACATTCCGATCCGATAGCTGTTGGGTTCAATCTCCAAAGCATCTAGGATCTTTCTGAAAAGTTGTCAAAATCACTTCTCCAACATCAATTATATTATCCATGACATCTAATACCAAAAAATCAAAAATTTCCCTACTTAACGCTCTCCTTTCCGTCCATAAATCCTCTGGGGATAACTCCAGGGGCCAGGAGCTCATAGCGATGACGGAATTCCTGGAATGGAACTCGATTGGGGAAGCCTTGACGGCAAATTCGGATTCCTTCCAAGACTCCGTTGCAACGGAGCTGTTCCAGGACCAATAACGGGTCAATTTTTCGTGGCTTTTTCTCGTGATTGGGGATGATACAACGGACAAAGTTGGGGGATGTGTTGCGCAGGGTGGACATGAGTTTTTGGAGCTGTTCTTTGTACATTTGGGAGACTGTTCGGAACATTCCTTTTTTGGTTCGGACTCCGCCAAAAGCGCTTTCCGCGACTTCGGTGGCTCCCATTCCCGCAAATTCGGCTGGAAAATGGATATTAAGAGCGTAAACTGTAAGATCACACCCAAAAAAATTCAAAATTCAAAAAAATTTTTGTCATCAAAAATACAGTATGCCAAATATTCATGCTAAAAGTCGAAAAAAATATAAAAAATCTCACAAAAAGCAGAAAAATAATAATAAACTTCCGAAAAAAATCTAAAATTTCCATCAAAATCTTCAAAATTCCACAAAAAAAAAACCCCAAAAAATCGGTCAAAACTTCAAAAAAATCCTCAAAACCCCGCTTACCATCCTTCCAGATGCCTTGGACGAAGGGATCCGACGAATTTTGCATCAACGCCACCACGTTTTCATTCAACGGGTCCATATTCTTCATGAGCCACTTGTCCGCGCTATAATCCACCCTGCCGGCGTAGTGGACGACAGCAAAATCGGAGCGGGACCGCATCTCGGGGATCACAAACTTGGGGTTCTTTTCGTGGTTGGCGGTCAACTTTTCCACAAAACTCTTGTCGGTGGCCTTCGGGAAGAGGCACTGTTCGTCGAGGAGGGCGAGAATGCCCATCGGCTTCTCGATGAGGTCGATGGTGGGCTGCAGGTCGAGGCCAAAGTCGATGAACTGCCAGTCGATGCCTTCTTTTTGGTACTCCTCCTGTTCGAGGATGAACATCGTGTTGTTGAAGAGCTGTTGGAGCTTTTCGTTCGTGTAGTTGATGCAGATTTGTTCGAAGGAGTTCATCTCAAAGATTTCGAAGCCTAAAAATCACCCAGTATAATATAAATATGACCCAAAAAAGGTCTCAAAAGCTCCAAAAACACATCTTTTTTATGTCAAATCAAAAAACACCCTCTAAAATTCAATTCTGTCCCTTTTTCTCCCCCAACTCACCAGCAATATCAAGGATTCCAATGAAAGAAGTGCCCTGACGACGAGTTCTGTCCAAACTTTTATTGATCCGCTGTACCAACCACTTGAACATCCGTTCGTACGATGCTTTGGAGATGGCCTCGACCGAAAACTCGGCTTGCTCTTTGTTCTGGGCTTTCTGGACCGTTTCACGGCCAACTTTGATCTTCGGCTTTAGGAAGGCCTTGCTAAAATCTTGAACCGAAAGTCCAAGAAGATGGCACACCTTCTGAGCCACTCTGTCATCGGCCAGACATGCCTGTTCCGACTTCTTTTCTTGCACCAATTTAATGTTTCCGAAGAGCATTACCGAAGAGATGATTCGAAGGATCGCTGAAGGACATTATTTTAGTGATTTTTCGACCAAAAAATCGTCAATTGGGCTCTCAATTTGTTCGAATTTGAATGTAAAAAAACTTCGTCAATAGGGAAAAAAGACAACTGGGGAAACTGAAAGACAGTATTTTTCATGCGTGTAAATGTCTAAATTAAGATAACCGATGGCGCTGATTTCATAAATCATATTCATTTTTTCTACTCGTTACTTTTTTTCTTAAGCAGCACTGTAGACTAGTACTTTATTGAACTTTTTTGACAAATCCTCGATTTAGGGGTTTCCGATAGTGCTGTTTTCAAAGCAAAAAATGAATAAGCTTTTCGGAATCAGCACTATCGAAATCCCTTGCAGTGACCTGATCCAGTGGCAAAAAACGTACTATTTTGTATCCGGGAGGTATCAAAAATGTGGCAAAATGCATCCCTCTTCAAGTAAAAAAAACTCCGATTACAACAGCGCGCCCGCTCTTTTTGCGAGGGAAGCGGCGCGCCCTTCAAGACAAAGTTTTTTTTTCACTTGGAGAGGGAAGCATTTTGCCACATTTTTGATACTTCCCGGATGCAAAATGGTACGTTTTTGCCACTGGATCAGGTCTGTAAGGGATTTCGATAGTGCTGATTCCCAAAAGCTTATTCATTTTTTTGCTTTGAAAATAGCTCTATCGGAAACCCCTAAATCGAGGATTTGTGAAAAAAAGTTCAATAAAGTGTTAATTTACAGTACTGCTTAAGAAAAAAAAGTAACGACTAGAAAAAATGAATATGATTTATGAAATCGACGCCATCGATTATCTTAATTTCGACACTTACAGGCAAGAAAAATACTATCTTTCAGCTTCTCCAACAGTCATTTTCCCCAATTGACAACGTTCCATTACATTCAAATCCAACCAAACTGAGAGCCAAATTGACAATTTTTTGGTCGAAAAATCGCCCCAATTCTCGCCCCATGCATTTTAACGCCCTCAGAATTTCCCTGCCCAACTTACAAGTGATTTCCTCATCACTAAAGCTCATAATCTTCATGGCTTTGATTGTTTCGTGGAATTCCTTGGCATCATCGACATTCGGGACAGCCACAGCGCCATTATTCAAGAAAGCGCAGTTCCCAATGTCCTCCAACAGGTAATTCTGCTTCTCTTCGGGCGAGGTTCCTCTCAAAAATTGATAAAATATGTGGAATGATCGCTCGTTCGGCGCTTGACGGCAACACCTCGACTTCTCGAGCAAGTAAAAGTCAATGTTGGCGCCCGAAATGTAGCCAGACGTGTCGAAATTGATGCGGATGAACTTGCCCTAAAGTGATTAGGCAAATAAAATTTTAAACTTTATTTGGAAATGGGTCTTACAGATACGCTTTTTTCAAAATAAACTTACAAATCTGGATGAATTGTCGTTCTTGACGGTCTTGCTGTTTCCAAACGCCTCCAAAATCGGGTTGGCTTGGAGAAGCTGGTTCTCTAATTCCCCCTGAAGAAAAATACGATATAATTTTCGTCATAATTTTGGAAAAAATCGCATCCAAAGCCAAATTTAAAGGCTTTTTTTGGAATTTTTGGTCGAAAAAGTAAGAAATGACTAATTATTCGAAAAAATAAACTTTCAACTGTAATAAAACAGCTTCAGGCAATGAAAATTAGCGAAAAAATCTAATTTTAGGGCATTTCGCACCATCCACATGCAGAAACCCGCTTCAAAATAGAAATTTTAAGTCATCAAAAAAAAAAAAAAAAAAAAAAAAAAAATCAGAGGAAAAAATCAAAAAATTCTAGTCTTCACTTACCTTTCCTGGCAAATTACTCCCTTTACTGCCTCTGTTCATTCCAGCCACATGAGCCAGATATTGAATCACTTTTTTGGTGTTTTCCGTTTTCCCGGCGCCCGATTCTCCAGTACACAGGATCGACTGGTCTTCTCTCTCTTGAAGCATCGATCTGTAGGCCACATCAGCGATGGCGAAGATGTGCGGAGGTCTCTCGTGACGTTTCTTTCCACGGAAGGCGTCGATCAGCTGTTCGGAGTAGATCGGAAGACGTTTGTAGGGATTTACAACGACGCAGAAAAGACCGGAGTAGGTCTGAAAGGTTTTTAATTAATTTTTTATTCTTCTTTGAGATAGCAAAGGCAATATAATGCTTGTAACGTCTGTTTTTATCTTCTAACTTACATAAATAAGGTCGGAGTAGTATCGATCCTTCAAATTATGCAGAACCGACGCTTCATTCAGGCAGGTTAAATCGGCCATGTCTTCTACCTGAAATATCAACCCAGTTAGTATCTAATAACACAATTTTCAACCTCAAAATATCTAAAAATCATCAAATTCAAACAATCTTATCCTTACTTTATCAAATTTGGGTGGATTCATCTTCTGACAGTCGTCCTTGCTCAACTTCAACTGTTGGCCGGTCTCAACCACCTCCACAATGTAGGTTTCGTCCTTGTCTTCCTTGATATGCGCCGCAACGAAGCCCTCCTTCTCATGCGGTACCCAGACTTGTCTCTTCTGCGCCCACTCCGCTTGCATTGCCGGATCCGCGACTGCCGTCCGTTTCACAATCAAATAGTCGAGCTCCGAGGTGGAGGCATCAACTGTCCCATCCGGTTGGACTGATTCCCTCTTGTGAAGATGATTCTCAACCGAAGCCAGCGGCTGTTTTGAGTTGGCCATCGATTCTTGACGGCCACGGCCAGCTGTGGGGTCCTGACGAGTGCCGCCGAAACGTGCGTCCGCCGCCGCGCTCACTCGCGACATCCCGATCGGTCAAGAGCAGGATCAACAGGAGAGAAGATGGGGAATGCCTTCGAATTCTACCAGTTTTTCCGAGAACCTCAACTGTAAGTTTGTACTGTGAAATTTGGAGGAACAACTAGACGGTAAACAGTCACGGTAAAATCATCTGGAATCGCTTATCAATTACAGTGAAGGATCTGATCCAGTGGCAAAAAACGTACCATTCTGCATCCGGGAAGTATCAAAAATGTGGCAAAATGCTTCCCCAGTCCAATTAAAAAACTCCGTTTTGAAGAGCGCGCTCTTTTTCCTCACAAAAAGAGCTGCCGCACTTTTGAAACCGAAGTCTTTTCACTTGGAGTGGGAGGTATTTTGCCACATTTTTTGATGCTTCCTGGATGCAGAATGGTACGTTTTTTGCCACTGGGTCAGGTCCCCAACTGTAATTGATAAACGATTCCAAAAAAATCGAAAAATATTAAGGATGAAAATGGCTATAGCAGTGAAAACCACAAAAATGTGACATCGTTTGCAAATTCTGAAAAAAAATTTCAAGCCTATTTCTACCATAGCACAATTTTTTCCCCATGAAACTGGTAAAGATACGCCCCCATCCCAAAACTCCAACAATCCGGCTGATTAGTAATCACCCAATCACAAAATGGTCCATAAATTTCACGTAACGCTTCCAAACGCCAAAAATTTCTTATCACAACTTCGAATTCCGAACATTCTGTTGACTAGACACCAAAAAAGAAGCTCTTTTTTCATGTGACCAGCGGCCACAAGGGCTAGTTTGCGGTTCGTTAGGGGCAAAACAAGACAGAACTGGTTATTACGACTTGTTTTTCTTCTGGGGGGAAAACATTCTTACAGCCAGAAAATCAGAGAAATGGGTGTGCTACGCCTTCTTAGGGCAAAACAAACCGTTCAAAGTGCATGAGATTCGAAGATTGTAATTCTAGCTTCAACACAATGTTTAAAACGATCCGCTTACACTCAATGTGTACAAGATAAGCCGCAAAAAAACTGGACAAAGTGAGAAATGAGCCGCAGAATGTGAGAAAAACAACAAGTTTGATAACCCAAAGTATCAAAAGCATTGCCAAACCCTCAATTTCCTCATTTTAATCCCCAGTTCGCCAAAATCGAGCTGAATATGCAAGGATAAATCGAATGAGTCAAACGTCAAATCACTTTCGGGCGAATAATTGACCAACTCTTCATGAATAATATACAAAAGTCTCGAACGTTTTCTCCATTTTTCGCCGGTAAGAGTCAGCGCGAGAGAGGAATTCGGGGCGGAAAAGGCGAGGAGTCGAAGAGAGAAGAGACACCGGCGACAACAACCACCACGATGCGCTCCTCACTATTTTCGATAAAAATAATCGCGGACCTTAGAAAGCCGTTGCCTTTTTTCGGGAGAGAAAATGGGCTCGGTGATTCACGACGAGCCCCCTCAGCTAGCTATTAGGTTAAGGAGGAGTGCTGCAGATCATGCGGAGACGGTCGGTCGCATGGAATCAGAGATAAAAGTAGAAAGGACAACAATGGGGCAGTCTAATGATGGGACCATTGAAACCTTAGTTCCGTTCCTTTCTTTGGAACAGATCTTTGGTCAGAAAGAGGGTGTGTAGCCTCGATCAGACCAAAACGTTTTGAATTAGGTAATATTCCATCGGAAATATTCTGTTCGACCTCTTCCGAAGCAATAAGATTAGTCATAGCAACAGTCTGTCGGGAAAATAATAAGCGCTTGCAATGATGTAATTCTGCCGCTGCGCAATTAATTTTTCCGCAGATATTGCATCAAAAGTTCAAGAGTTCACACATAGTCGATCCAGTAAAGCCAGAAAGAACTCGTCGCAGAGAACAAACAACCAACTTTCCCTCAAATAACCTTAAAATCAAAATCAGCCAACCCACAGACCGTAAATGACAACCCAAAAACAACGTCGAGAACAACATTATCAGAATTTCAAAATCCCATCCAATCACAGAGAGCCGAACAAAGAGAAGAGTCAAGTTTCCCATTAACCAAGCCAATCCCAGCCGTAAACTTCGAATCGCATTCCATTCCCTGGCTTGTTTTAACCCTCCGAAGCGCACGCCAGCGGTCAGTTACCCCATAAAAGTAAAAATCAGCCCAAAACATCCTCTCTTCAAATAGCTCTTCCCCCCAAAAAAGCGAACATTCCATCATTCCGGGGGTGCTTTTTCCGATTTTCGCTCGAATTTTTTCCCACTCCCGCTATGAAAGAACCGTTCCCGGTTTGATAAACAAAAAATGACTTTGAGGCGACGAGAGGGAAAGTTTCCAATTCAAATTTAGACAATTTGAAGGCCGTTGGTCATTAGGAGGGGAAGCGGATTTGCGGGCTCGGGGATTAACGGGAAAAATAAAAAGTTTTGATAACAGCCCGTTCTCAAAGTCGCTGGGGCGATTTCTGGCGTTTCAATTGTTCAAAAAAAGTTAAGATGCGAGAGACAGCCAAAAAAACATATCGCACTGTGCCAAAAGCCGAGAATTGCACAGTCCAAAGTGTACTTTTGTTTTCTCGCAGTGCATGTCGCCGAATTGACACTAGCGCCTTTGCGAACCGACTAGTACACATATTCAATATACCGAATCAAAAGAGGCATGTTTATAAACAATATCCTCGATAAACTACAAGAAAATTCCACCGAAATCTCGACATCAAATCGCCCTACCTTACGTTGCAGATAAAATCTGCAACTCGAGTTTAATGGCCCATGAAACTCCGAATCCTAATTGGATGAACAATATCTGACAGCAAAGTCAAGGAGCCACAGCAAATTCCACGAAACCAAAAACTAACTCGCTGTAGCGGATTATGACTAACCTAATCAAGAGATCAAAAAAGCGAACCCCGAAGCTTTTAGATCAAACATCCCGCACACAGCGGAAGGAGTCGTCTTCTTCATTGGAATTCCTCTTTCTAGCTCTAATGTATTCCGCACATCCTTTAAAAACATCCTAATCCTTCGATGTTTTACCACTTTAATCGCCATGGGTAACATACGAAATATCCCTATGTCGGGATAATTCGATGTTATCCATGAGCAAAAAAAATGGTAAAACAAAGAAGACATGTGTTAGGATGCTTCTTGATGGCCTTAAAAGACGATTTTTGGCTCGCTGCGTCAGCCGCGGACATTCAAAAAAATTTTTTTTGAGTTTTTTAGCCTAAAATGTTGGTATAGGTCACTAAAACACATTCCCAAAATTTTTTTGCCCAGTGATGCCCGGAAGGTAGAAATTTGCATACGGTTATAACCGTCCTTCTGAGCTCTGCTGTTGCCGTCGCAATAAAGACAGCTTGACGAAACCGACACCATATAGGTTTTGGTGGATGGCGAATTCAAAAATCGCAATTTCAAGTTGGTAGGATTACTGTAACATGCAGTTTTTGACCTTCGGTCGATAAAAATCGACCGTATCTCCTTCAAATCAAAAATCCCACACGATTTTATTGCAGATTTGGAATCAGCGTAAAATTCTGGTCTAGGAACATGTAATTTGCATCCTTGATTCCGTGGCAGATAAATCATGTCGCAGTGGGTTTTGACGAAAACTAGTAATCTGACGACCCTGGTTCGATCCCCGCTGGAGACAAATATTGTAAAAAAAAATGGAAATGACATTTAATGGAATTATGAGGGTTATATGAGCAACGCTGAGTATTTTTAGACATCAATGGAACATGAATTTGAGGTTAAAACAGGACTTATATTACTTTAGTCTCGGAATCCGTGAAAAATAAAACTGCTTCAAACGGGCTGAAATTGATAACACCTATTCTAGGCCTAATTTTTAGAAACTTTTGCGTTAACTTTTTTTCGTTAGATTACTGTATCGTGGATTACGGTAACATAAAACCCAATTTTGTTTTTTCATGCCACAAGGCGCAGAGCCATCGGAATATCACGAAGATTGTAGGAATGGTTAAGAACGAGTGGGCTTGCGCATTAATAGTTCGTTTATGGCCGTACGTTTTGAAACACCTGAGTTATCTGACACAATATCACCAATGGATGATGATATTAATTCACACTGAAAATGAGTTAAAATTGCATTTTAAATATGAGGCATGCCCGCTTTCTGCCGTTTGAATAATATAACCAAAAAAAAATTTAATTTTATTCGAGAATTTTGAAGCAATCGCCTTTAAGGAAGCCGAGCTTTTTGTTACCGTAATCCACGATATAGTAATCTAATAAGAAAAAGTTAACGTAAAAGTTTCTTAGAATTAGGCCTAGAATAGGTGTTATCAATTTCAGCCCGTTTGAAGCAGTTTTATTTTTCACGGATTCCGAGACTAAAATAATATAAATCCTGTTTTAACCTCAAATTCATGTTCCATTGATGTCTAAAAATACTCAGCGTAGCTCATACAACCCTCATAATTCCATTAAATGTCATTTCCATCTTTTTTACAATATTTGTCTCCAGCGGGGATCGAACCAGGGTCGTCAGGTTACTAGTTTTCGTCAAAACCCACTGCGCCATGATTTATCTGCCACGGAATCAAGGATGCAGATTACATGTTCCTAGACCAGAATTTTACGCTGATTCCAAATCTGCAATAAAATCTTGTGGGATTTTTGATTTAAAGGAGATACGGTCGATTTTTATCGACCGGAGATTAGAAACAGTATGTTACAGTAATCCTACCAACTTGAAATTGCGATTTTTGAATTCGCCGTCCCGCAGAACCTATATGGCGTCGGTTTCGTCAAGTTTTCTTTATTGCGACGGCAACAGCAGAGCTCAGAAGCACGGTAATATCCGTATGCAAATTTCCACCTTCCGGGCATTTCTGGGCAGAAAAATTTTGGGAATGTGTTTTAGTGACCTATACCAACATCTTAGGCCAAAAAACTCAAAAAAAAATTTTTTGAATGTCCGGCCCCTCGTATTGGCTGACGCAGCGAGCCAGAAATCGTCTTTTAAAAACAACCATTTTGTATATTGAATCCTCTAATGGATTCAGCAAAGACATTGCGTCTTCTGTTGTCTCAGGCCGAGTATTATTTATATGACTTCCTTTTACTCGGACCCTGACACCGGCTGACCCTCAAAAACGTCTTTTATATCCCATTCGATGTTAATATTAACCCCGCATGGTCCTTAAAATGGAATTCTTGCGGGGGAAAACAAAGAAAGAAAGACGTTTTTGGGGAGGAAAGCGATGAGGATTAGGCTCGAGTGACCTTTCGTCCTTTTTCACTCGTAAACCATAATTTCTTCCCATTCTTCGAGTGCTTAAAGCCTTCCAGAAACGCTATAAAAGTGCTAGGTGAAAATTTCAGGTAAACTGGGCATTCAATTGGCGATAAAAACGCCTGGAGACGAAAATGGCTTGAAAAACGGTTTTATGGAGCAAGATTTTCTTGCTGCTCGTTCCATGACCTATAAAAACAACCACAAAAACATCGGACTATCGGAATCCAAATAAACACAAAATAAATCATGAAGGGAGTCGGGTAATCCACAAAGAACAAAAATTCTGACGAAAATTTATATTACACTAGACAAAAAGGGTAGACATTTCGTGTAAAAAAAGGTAAAAACAAGTGAATTAAATCCCAAAAACTCTTAACACATTCATTTTTTACCCAAAACCCCTATTTTGATACTCAATATTATCCGCAAAAGCAAGAGCAATTAAAAAGCCGTAAAGAATTCAAATAAAAATTTCAAACTTGACAGACACACCTTAGAAGCCATAATTCACGAGACGAAATGAATTTCTCGCAACACTGACTCGTCTATCAAACGAAAATATTATCCATGATAAGCCGCCCACAAAAAACGCCGATAACACGTCAAACAGCGAAAATTTTGAAATAAAATCATAAGAATGAAAGTAGTTGAAGATCATTAGGCTATGTCGAGCTTAAAAACAAGTAATTATCATCACAGAGGACTAATTCGATTATCCTTCCGCCCGTTTTTCCCATTTTCGGTATACAGACAAAGAATTGACACGCAAGCAAGTTGGGTCAAGTGTTCCCCCATTCTAATCAGATGCGGGCGCCGCCTGCAGCGGGAATAATTTCATTTGTCGGACGATAATTTCGAGATCAATTTGGTAGGCAGGTCGTCCCCCCGTAGGCTAAAATTGATAAGTTTAGGAGAATTACTGAGTTCGGAGTCTACAAAAACTGATGTTACATTGCCCTTATCTACACCCTCGAACTGAATTTAGGTATAATCCACCTCTCATCATCTGCGTACAGAGGTGTTTCAACTGTGCAAAAAAATCAGACCATGTTTCAGTACCCTTTCTCGAGAAAATTAGAGTTTATATTCTACTAGGTAGCCCTTGCCAAGAGGTTCCTAAAAATCAAAAAAAAAGCAAACCCAAAAACTCACTTGCTACCTCCAGCTTCTACACCAAATTTCGAGCTTTTCTCTTCTGGTTCCGACTGGAAATGGTCGATTTTTGGTTTCGCGGTAAATAAAAAAGTTAATTTTCTGATTTTTGCACAACGCCAAGATTTTTGGCACGGATAAAGTTGGTCGTGGCGGGACACGACCAAAGGAGAACCATATGAACCGACCTGCGCCCGAGCTGCGTCTCGTTCGCGATGCAAAATTTTCGGAAAAAATCTTTGTGATACGAAATTGGCCCCAATGTTCATGTTTAGCCTGAATATCGTGCTGATTGCAGTTTAAAATCGTTTTACTTTATCATTTCCGCCTTAGAGATGCATAGTTTACCTGTTCAGTCGATTTTAATACCGTTACTTTCATTTCAGAGATGTTAGGAAGGTTTTCACTCGCAACAGAGACCTTGTCCTCCAATATACCTGGAGATGATGTCTTCAAGAAGCGTATGAAAATTGCTTATTACAATCGAAATAGGCATGGACGCATTCGAAGGGTGGGTTGTTAAGTTTGCAAAATATTGTATTCAAAATTTAGCAAATCGTCGAAAGATACGTTAGAAACGATGCCCATTGTGGGTTGATGGCCTGCAATTGCAATGGGGGAACTTCTGAGACGAAGAAGATTGACCCAGTTACCAATCAAGTTCAGAACAAGGTTATGAATCTTCCACATGTCGTTATTGTTGATTCTCAGGTGTTGTGGAAGTTCCTGGACATCTTTGTTGAGGGTAAAATTGAGTAAGTGTTTCATCGTCTTTTTCTGTTTTGTGTTTAGGGATTTTTTCAAGGGAGACGTGAAGGAGTTTGTTAATCTTGATATCAGAGGGTCTAAATTAATGTTTTCGGGTTTTGATGTTAGCCTGGCATAAAATCGGATTGGTTTGAACGTTTTTTTGTTAACTAAAGACACCTTTCTTCTTTTGTGACGCGTTTCGGGAGCGGTTTCATCTTAATTCGTATCGAATTCAGCGAATTTATATTCACCATGCTATTTAACGGATGAAGTTGAGAAAATATTTTTGTAAATTCTAATGCATAGTTTTTTACTTGTAATTTTTGATATTTCCACACTCCTTGCTTACTTTGCTGTAAAATTTCAGAAACGTTATCATCCCCTATTCCGCCTGGCGAACAATAAAACAACGGAATCGGAAGGCCTTCGCTCATCTTCAAGATCTTTATGGAACAGTCAACGACAACTATTTCTTGTTCAATAACGAGTTCTTCGTTGAAACGTTGCCAGAGGAGCCTTTGAGCCAGACTGATGGGTAGGATTTTTTTTATCTTATTTATGGTTTCAAACTTTAGAGAATCAATTTTGATCGCCAAGATGGCCAACTATTTATTGGAGCACTGGAGAGGCCACAAGGTGGTCCCAGTCGTCCTTACAGCAGATGAAACTGCTTTAGATCAGATCAAAGGGCTTTATAGATATTCAACAACGTTTTTGAGTTATGTTCGAGGTAGGTCAAGGACTATGTGGTAAAAATACGTTTACTTCCGTGTGTGCAAAGGGTAATTAAGTGTCTTTATTGTCATGATTGGACATCTCACAGCGGCATATACAATTTTCTTCGGGGTTTGACGGAAATTTCGTCGCATTTTGCTCTATCTGAAGCGATAAATCGCCGATTTCTTCGGAATTTTGTATATAGCCGTTCTCCGAAACGTTACAACAGGGTACATTGACCTCTTCAATGTGGCCATTTGACATATTCCGAGACATTTGGTCATTGTTTTCACCATAGCAAGGTGTTGAACTTCCGGAATCACTCGAATTTGGCCAGCAGCACATTGTTTTACACCACTCACAGCAGCTAAAATTTCCTGAAACTTCATGCGCAGCGCAGCCGGGAAGACACGAACAGTCACATTTTGCATTCTGTCCCTCAGGGCATAGTTGACTGGCGCAGCAACAGATCAAACACTTGTTTTGAGTTGATGTTTCCTCCTCATGGATAATATAATCGGTATTCCGAGTGAACACATCCAACGTGTAGAGCAGGTTGATCTTGGCGAAACATAGAGGAATCGCACAAACAATGAGCAATGGAAGCAGTAGTAGACAGATTATGCTAGTTATTGGGCGGAAGCATGTCTTACAAGTTGATCTGCACCTCGACGAACAAGATTTTTTGCCTCTGGAGCGGAGAATAGGCTCGGAGCGTTCGAAAAACTCCTTGAATTGGATGTAGAATAGAGTGATCTTGTCGTTACGATTGTTGGGTTGAGAGTTGAGGGCAGTGGAGAGGTGTAAAGACTCGTTTATTATGGATAACACCTTCTGAAATATAATTTTTTATTTTTTCTGATTTTTGTATAAAATTTTCACCTTTATTTGATCGCATCTCGCTCCGATTTCTTCCTCGGTCAATCCTTTGCGCTTTTTGATCAAGTCGAACTCCTTGACACACCAATCTAACATTATTTGAACTTCTACGTTGTCTCGAGCCAGGCTGACTTTAAATTTGTCTGGAGAAAGTTTCTCCCCTTTCCGTTGCAACCGCTGGTTGCGTAGGTCAATCTCAACTGGCTCATGATTGAGAATTAAAGGCCTCCGACGTCTTGTATTAATAAGGAAACGAAAGAATCTGAATGGTTATATCGTGTAGTGACGGATCTGATCCAGTGGCAAAAAACGTACCATTTTGCATCCAGGAAGTATCAAAAAATGTAGCAAAATACCTCCCTCTCCAAGTGAAAAAAACTCCGCTTCGAAAAGCGCGCATTTTCCTTCAGCGAAGGGAAGGGTTTTGAGACATTTTGGTCCCTTCCGGGATGCATAATGGGACGTTTTTTGCCATTGGATCCGGTCCCTCACTGTAATATATTGACGGACCTGATCCAGTGGCAAAGAACGTACCATTTTGCATCCAGGAAGTATCAAAAAATGTAGCAAAATACCTCCTTCTCCAAGAGAAAAAAGTTAGTTTTGAAAGGCGCGCTTTTCGCTCACAGCGCTTTTGAAATCGGAGTTTTTCACTTGGAGAGGGAGGTATTTTGCCACATTTTTTGATACTTCCCGAATGCAAAATGGTACGTTTTTTTTGCCACTGAATCAGGTCCCTCACTGTAATAGTAGCGGTATTCTGGTTGAATATTCAAGAACTTACTGGCTAATTCTCCTCCATAGACCTTGAAATGGCGTGAGAAGCGCTGATAATCCTTCGGTGATGCTAGAAATTAGAAAAATAGGGTTAAAATACGATGGTTTCTTTGAAAAGTTTCAAAATTTACCGTTTTTTGATGGACTTTCGAAGCGATGAGGTATTTTCCGGCTGCGACGTGATCGTTGTTTCACATATAGTAATCGTTGATGCATCTTTCATAATGATAGAGCAAAATTTTTACAAGATTTTTATATTATACATGGTGGATGTGGGAATTTTTGGAATTTTGTATGGCTTTGATGTGGTATTCTTTGTCTGATCGTTGAATTAGCTGGCATAGAGAGTATCTTGCCGATTGGTTTTTGTGAAATGATTGGATCGACAGTCTGAAATTATTTCCAAATTTTTTTTTATTCTAGGCTTTCCCAAGTCCGATGACAAAAAACTTCTCGTTCAACGAGTCAAAGAGCTCGGAAAGGTGGAGGAAAAAGGCGGCAAGAACCCGCATTATCCCTACTACATGACCGAAAGAGAGCTGGACACCGCCGTCCGCGAGGGAACCGTCCGCGTCGGCAAATTCATGGTGACCATGGAGAACAGACAAGAAGCTTACGTCCAAGTCAATGATACCCTCAAAGTTCTGGTTCATGGAGTACTGAACATGAACCGAGCCATCACCGGCGACTCGGTGGCGGTCTATATCTTCCCGGAGAGCAAGTGGCGGGCACCGGAGGGACGTTTCAGAACGCAGGAGGTGGAGGAAGAAAAGAAGGAGGAATTTCTGGAAGAAGAGGATGAAGAAAAGAAGAACAAGAAGAAAGAGAATGCTGTCCCTACTGGAAGAGTGGTTAGCATTGTGAAAAGACAGTTGAAACATTACTGCGGAATTTTGGAACCTCCGAATGTGAAAAGTAAGGATTTTTAGGGGAAATTTGAGATTTTTAGAAAGTTTGAAGTCAAAAAAGATGTTTTTAATATTGAGACTTGATTTAAATTGGGATTTAGAATGTAAGCTAGTAGATTTTGAGTAGATTGCCTCGGGGGATTTAGAGAAAAAGGGTCAAAAATTGAAAAAAATTGGTGTAAATGATCATTTTTGAGGGGAATTGGCTAAAATTGCCGTTTTTGTAAGATTTTGCTATTTTAATGAGCCCTTTTTGACCTGAATTTGAAGGAGAGTGTAGTAGAAGTATTGCAAATACTTTTAGATGGAAGTCGCTGTATTTTCCGCCCCGCCGATCGCCGCCTTCCATCAGTTATCATCGACACCCGCGCCTACGAAATGGCCATCGGAAAGAAGGTCCTGGCGTCGATCGTGAGATGGCCCGCGGACTCGTGGCTCCCTCAAGGATCCCTGGTCCGCGTTATTGGACAAGTCGGAGACAAGGACGCGGAAAATGAAGTCATTCTTCTCGAGCATGACGTCCGATTCCGCGATTTCACCGAAGAAGAGCGCGCCGAACTCCCAAGAGCGGACTGGAAACCCGCCTCACCCCTTGAACCCTACCGCAGAGACCTCACTTACCTGGACATTTGCTCGGTGGACCCGGTGGGATGCACGGACATTGATGATGCCCTTCATTTCCGGGAGCTGTCGAAGGGACGCTACGAAGTTGGTGTCCACATCGCTGATGTCAGTCATTTTGTTCGAGCTGGATCTCCCCTGGACCTGGAGGCGTCGAGACGGTGCACTACGGTAGGTTTTTTTTCATCGGCCAAAAGTTCTTGCGCTTCGGTGACCTGGCCTTCCAAGGAGCTGATCCTGGGTTGCTGGGAGTTCACGAGTTGCTCGAACTCTTCTCGCTGGCGCTGGGCGACATCGAACTCGGGTTGGGTCTAAAATAAGGGCAATAAAAAATAATTTTTTAATTCGAAAACCACCAATCATACTAGAGTTCTTTCTACAATGGGGGATATGATCCAGTGGCAAAAAACGTACCATTTTGCATCCAGGAAGTATCAAAAATGTAGCAAAATACCTCCCTCTCCAAGTGAAAAAATCCGATTTCAAAAGCGCCCTCTCTTTTTGTGAAGAGGGGGCCTTCAAAAAGAAGTTTTTTCACTTGGAGAGGGATGCATTTTGCTACATTTTTGATACTTCTCGGATGCAAAATGATAAATGTTTTGCCACTGGATCAGGTCCGTCACTGTAGACCATTTTTGAAGGTCTTTTTTTCAGCGATATTATCCATAACCATCAACTTTTTTTAGGTCTACCTTTGTGGAAGGAGAATTGATATGTTGCCGGAAAGATTGTCCTCTCATTTATGCTCCCTGAGAGAACATGAATTAAGGTATGCATTCTCGGTGATCTGGGAGCTGGATGAAAACGCGGACATCCAAAGAGTTGAGTTTACAAAATCCCTGATCAAGTCCAGAAGAGCTTTCACATACGAGCAGGCACAACAATTGGTTGATAAAAAAGATGATGTAAGTGCTGAATAATGTGGTCCCTTTATGATAAGGAAAAACTTGCCAAATTTTGCAAAAAGAATTGTACCAGATGTCTAGTGTAATATAATTTTTGTAATTTTTAGCTGTATTTTTTCATTTTTCAGCAATCTGTCCTTGCCCTATCACTCCGAGGCCTCATGAAGCTCTCGAAAATCATGCGTGAACGTCGTAGAAATCGAGGATCCCTCACTTTGGCCTCGATGGAAATTCGCTTCGATTTTGATGAGAAAACGGGAAATCCAATCGGGGTTTCGCAGAAGCAATCCCTAGATACAATGTCGATGGTGGAGGAATTCATGTTGTTGGCGAATGTGTCGGTTGCCGAGCGGGTTCTCCATGAATTCCCGGGAGCAGCGATGCTCCGAAGACATCCAGTCCCGAATCAAGAAGCATTCAAGCCATTGTTGGAAGCGGCTGCGGAAATGGGCCTTGAAATTAAGGTGGGAATGGAGTGTTGGGTGGAATAGAGGAGCTAGGGGAATTGGGAAGGGGTTGAAGAGGTTTTGGATGGGCGTTTTTGAGGTTTATATATTGTTTTACACAGAATTTCCAAAAATTTGAAGATTTTTTGCGAAAAAGATGTAAAAATCGATTGTTTTGTGATTTTTGAGTGCTAGAAAGGACATCTCAGGGTGTGTAGAGACATTTACAAAGCTTTTTTCAGACCGACAACAACAAAGTTCTCGCAGAATCCCTGGATAAAGCCGTGGATCCGAAGAATCCGAAGGCAAATCAAATGCTTCGCATGATGGCTACGAGATGTATGACTCAAGCCCTCTATTTCCCCGCAGGAACAATCCCAGCCGATCAGTACCGCCATTACGGACTTGCCATCCCAATATACACGCATTTCACGTCGCCAATTCGAAGATATGCGGATGTTGTAGTACATAGACAACTTGCAACTTTATTGGGAGTTTTCAAAAACACGGACATGCCGAAAATGTTCAGCAGGTCGGCATTGGTCTTCTTGTCCGATGAAATGAACAGAAAGTGAGTTTTAGGGAGGATTTTTTGGGTTACGGTAGTTTTCGTGGTGGGACCAAAATTGATGATGGATGTTTTGGTCTTTGAAGGAGATGGCGGTGAATGAGGATAAATGAAGATTGAGCCTTGTTCTTTCAGGAATCGTCTCGCTCAACGCGCCAATCGCGCCAGTGTTGTACTAAACACCCAATTCTTGTTGAACAACAAACCAGCCGAAGATGATGGATTTGTAACTCAACTCAAGGAGAATGGTGTCTTGGTATGTTTGTTAGCCCATAAGGGATATTAGACAAAATGATATGTTGACGGAATTGAAATTTTTAGGATTTTTTGATAATTTTTTTGACCTGACCTCTCATGGATAATATAATTTTTTAAAGTTTATCCCGATTTTTAGGTTGTGGTGCCGAAGTATGGAGTGGACTCGGTTGTGGAGTTCCCACCAGGCTGCAACGTCAAGCTGGCGCTCTTCCAGAAGGTGAAAGTTCGTCTGTCGGTGGAAGAAACGAATCAGCGACGATTTTTGAGAATGCAAATCATTGATCCCGATCTTGCCGAAGGGGCTGGAGATGCGGAACCAACAGAAAGTTTTATTTAAAAGTAATTATAAGTAATTATCATTTGTTGAATTTTTGGATTTCTGGTTGTTTTTTCATTGTTGATTTTTTAAAATTTTCGAAAAAATTCCAATAAAAAATCAAAAATATTTATTTGCAAGACGAGTAGAATTCTTCACAGGGTATTTGACCTCTCATCCGCAGTTATTTTCCTCGAAATTTTCTGAGTTTTTGTCGTTTTTTCGACTTTTTTCTCCTTTTTCGCCGGCTTTTTTTCCTTCCCTTTTATGGCCTCATTGGCATTCAAATTCCAAACATTTGAAAGCTGATGGAAGTACTCATTGGTTTGTTGAACCGGGTCGGCTCGATCAATCGGCTTGATTGTGTTCGCGACGTTCTGAGGGAGCAGACAAAGCAGTCGCAAATGATTTCGAAGCCGTTTTTTCATTGGTCGAAAACGAATGAAAAAGTAAACGACAAAGTAAATTCCGTAGAAATCGGCAATCATGTAGAGGAGCTGAAATAATTTTTTGGATTAGGGCGTTAGCTCTGATTTTTTAAAATTTAATTTTTTTTTTTTTTTTTTTTTTTTTTATTGTTTACTTAGGGCATATTTTTTTCACTTACCTGAAATGCCATTTGAACGTCAAACGAGTTCTGATTTGTACTCAAAATCGCATACACCGAATAAAACGAAAAAATGACTCCAATAACAACCATAACTCCATAGCCAGCAATCGCTGGCAATAAGGCTCGCAGAGTCTCATTGCTGGTTGCATATTGATATCGAATGGCCAGCGGGTCATTTAGATGCTTTTGTAACATTCGTTTGTTGTGGCGATAAACGTAGTAGAGGAGCTAAAATTTCGAGAAATTTTAGTTGAAATAGGTAGTTAAATTTTGATTACTCTAGGATAGATCGGGACGTCTTTAGTCGAGGAAGAATAATTGGGAAATGGAAAACTTTTTTGTCACACTGTTGGCTAGCTGAATCATTAATTCGCAGTTTCAACTTACCACAACCCTGATTCTTCCCATTTTCGGCTTGCCGTGCCTTCAGTTTGCTCAGCAAGTCCCTAAAAAAAAGACTTTTTAAGGGCTGAATGGGCTAGCTGAATGCACGGCTAGCTTAAGATGGAAAGAATCATGGTTGTGGTATGTTGAAACTGCTAATTAACGGTTTGCCTAGCCAACAGATTGGCAAAGAAGTTTTCCGTCTCCCATTTATTCTTCTCCGATTAAAGACGTTCCGATCTATCCTAGAGTAATCAAAATTTAACTGTCTATTTCAACTAATAATAAGGCGTGACCTTCTTACCCACACTCCGATTATAAAAGTCACGCCTGCGAAGCACCAGCATAATGGTAGTATCAGCGGATGTGTGTACAAGTTTTGACACGAGGTTGCGGTCGTGAAAACGTCGAAGGTCTCGGCGATGAAGATATCATACAGTAATGTCGACAACGAAAAAAATATTCCGAAAAGAACCTGAAAATGCAATGTTTCAAAACTTTTAATTGTGTTTTCAGTTTCAGAAAGCTATTGTCTTCCGCTGTAATTTCTACGGAAGCAAATCCCGGTATAATACGGCAAATTTAAGCGCCCGATTATTTTCGCTCCATAATTAAAGGATTGAGGGATTTCGTAGGGCACGGTTTCGGAGTTTGTTGTAGGCATGGCTCCGGGCCGGGCTTTCCAAAATTTTCCGGCCCGGGCCGGGCCGACTAATTTCTCGGCCCGACCCCGGGCTTCGATTTTCAGGCCCGGCCCGGCCCGGGCCGGCCCGGTTTTTTTGAAATCTGGATTTTGCCCGGAAAAAAAGGAAAAATAGGGTTTTCGTTAGATTTTTTTCATTTTTTCGAACACAATGCTGATAGCGAACGTAAAATGACCTTATTTACCACTCGCCCAAATAAAAAAATAATTTCCCAGTCTATTTGAAAAAATTTTCAAAAATTCTTAAGTGCGACCTCATAGTTAATACGCTGGCAAAAAAGGAAAAAGGAAAAATTTTCAAAAATACGCAATACCCTTGTAGGTTTTTTCAGATCCGACAAAAGATCTGTGATAAAATATTTTTGCTAAAATTTGGGTGACTCTACACAAAAGCTTATGATTTTTTGTAACCATATGGTAAGAAAATTTATGGCGACTTAGTAATTTATAAAAATAATCAGGCGGCAATTGCACTATGTATAGGTTTTGCTAAATTATTGTTTACATTTTGCGAAAATGTGCCATAATTTTCCATTCATTTCCTGCTTTCTTTCTTTCCAACCTAGTACAAAAATTTTCCGGGCCGAACCGGGCCGGGCTTTCCAAATTTTCCAAGCCCGGGCCCGGGCCGGGCTTGGAAATTTAGGCCCGGCCCGCAGGCCCGGGCCGGGCCGGGCCGGGCTGGCCCGGTTTGCAGCCATGCTTAGTTTGTTGTGAGGGAGGAAAGAGCCCCAAATCTTCGAAAGTTAGTGGAATTTTCTGCCTTACAAGTGTTAGGCGCAAAGCGAGATAAAATTTGCAGGAGTTTGCATTAGGCCGGCCAAAAAGTCTTGACATGTTTGGACTGTGCGCCGTCGCGTAATTAGCGCGAACTTTACGGTGCACGCCGTACATGCTCGGTCAAAATGAGTCCCCTTGGAAAGGGCAATCATTTTGGAGACGTTCAAAAAATTGTATTTATAATACTTGGGCAATTTTGCACTTACAGTGGAGGACCTGATCCAGTGGCAAAAAACGTACCATTTTGCATCCAGGAAGTATCAAAAAAATGCAGCAAAATACTTCCATCTCCAAGTGAAAAAACTCTGATTTCAAAAGCGCGGCCGCTTTTTTTGTGAAGGAGAACCTTCAAAACGGAGTTTTTCACTTGGAGAGAGAGGCGTTTTGCCACATTTTTGATACTTCCCGGATGCAAAATAGTACGTTTTTTGCCTCTGGATCAGGTCCGTCAATGTAATTAAGACCAGGCATGCCTCTCGCACGCCAATTTTTTCCGAATAAGTTCCTCACCATAGATCCGAGCATTGCAAATCCCAACACTCCATTCGTATCGATCCTCCCTTTTCGCTGCACCATAGTCACGACTCTTTCAACTCCCACCAACAGTATAGACGTGCACGACGTTATCATAGCCGTGTCCGTCAGGACTTTGAAGAAAATGCAAATTGTATTCGTCACAACGATCGGTTTGTGATCAAACACTTTTGAATTCAAAGTTTCGCCTATTCGGCCTAAGGCAATGACCGAGTATTGTGAGGAAATTGTGATCTGGAAAAATGGTTTTTCTCTGATTGAGAGAGTCTTTGACTTACGACCAGAATTTTCATATTTGGATGCATCAGAGAGGTCTTCAGGATCCCATAGTTAAAGTAGAGATTAACAAATAAATGGAGGATATTTCCAACGTATTGAGCGGAGGTTAGATTCTCAGTAAAACGCTGGATTTTCAGCTGCGATAAGGCCGAAAAGTTGTGGAGATCAATGCCTGAAACGTTGAGATATTTGGTTTGTATTACACTCCGTTCAAAAAGTGTACCTACCCATAATGACTTGTCGATTTCTGGATTCTGGCAAGCGGTATGCAAAAGCGAATGCTACCGTTTGAAAGAGCGTGTAAGCAAACCTAAAAGAGTTGGCAATTCAAAAGTTCATTCCTAGTCGACCGGTCGGTATAGGCGAAAGAAAAATCTCTATGTACACTTTTGAAGCGGCAAGAAATTTTCTTTTGGCTATGCCGACCGATCGATTAGGGTTGGACTTTTGAATTGCCCACTCTATCCGGGTTTCTTACACGTTCTTTCGAACGGTAGCATTCGCTTTTACGTAACGCTTGCCAGAATCTAGAAATCGACAATTCGTTAGGGGTAGGTGCACTTTCGGAAGGGAGTATCAGTCTGTCGGAAAAATAATAAGCGTAGCCTTCATCGTCCGCCTGAAAAATGAATTGTGTTGCGCCAAAGTAAAATTTGCTTTTCACTCCAGCGACGCGATTGGTGCCGCGACATAGCGCTCATTATTTTGCTGACAGACTCAGAAGATTTGATTTTCCATCATTATTCCATCTCTTAACAGACTCACCATCAATCACAATATCCATCTCTAGTCCTCCACTCTGTCAAATATTAGAAATTCCACTCAGCTTCAGCAGTAGGATCTCACAAAACCGACAGCAATTTTTTGCACCACACTTTTCCACTCGAATTACCGTAGCCCAATCAACGCGAACGGCCACCCTCTAATCGGCAGGTCGCCTGACAACTCGTAAAAAGACCCTCCTTCTCGGAGCCGACTTCCTAATTGCCAAAAAGTGAAAGATTAATTCCCCTTAGGGCAACAGGCAGATTACTTCTTCAAGCCCAGCCGAAAACCCGTTCATCCGTCCGCCGATTCCAAGGCCGTCCTGGAATACAATCGGGGCCGGCCCGCTGGCGCGGATTATCGCTTGTGGGAGTGTATTACTCGGCTTACCCGATGAGGTAAGCGGCGTCCAAAATAATCCTATTTGCCGTGGGATTTCTGAAGGATTGCTGCGGCCGAGTGCGTAAGAGATTATGGCCGCCGGGTTTGTATGTGTATTATTCTTGATTCCTCGGATGAAAAGGATCCGAAGACTAATACAGAAACAAAAAAAGTGTAGCATATCAAAACTTAAAGGACCAGAAAAGGTATTTTTTGAACCGATTTTTTTATCGGCGTAATCAGGCAATTTCGTGGCGGGACCATCAAGGGATAGATGTGTTCTCGATTTTTGGAATGGAGAATAAAATTCTCCTGCGAATTTTAAATGGCCGATTGGCCAGAAACATTGCTTTACGTGTTCAATAGGATGGGAAATGTCCAGGAGCTCCATCTGAAACGTCTACGTAAGTTTATTTCATGTCTTTTAGGCTTGTATTTGACTGTTTCTCTTAGAAATACCAGAAAACAGTTCTATGCATGTTTATGTAGCAAGAAAACCTAAATACGACCACATTTTGATCTTGATGTTTGCAACTTGATTTAGCGGAGCTCCTTTTTCCGCCGTGATAAAATTTTAAACATTTCTACAATTTTCTTTTTAGGTATCTAAAAGAAGGTTTCGATAAGAACAGATTAAGATCCGGGATTCATGGATGACCGAGAGAAAGAAATATGGTGGACAGGTGAGAAATTTTATTTTTTGTTCATTTTTTAGATAAAACAATCGACAAATTTATCCATTGGACCTGAGGGAGAAATTTTAGATAGAATTTTGGATATTTTTCCGCTTTTCTTGCGCAAAATTTTGTGAGATGTTGACCTGGCACGTAACGCTTAATTCTACTGCTTTTTTATAAGCTGCAGTTCTATAGTAACACAAAAAATAGATAAACTGAGGTCATGGATAATATCGAGATTCGGGCTAAAATATCTACTGGACCTTTTGGGTTTGTAAATGTTCTGTCAATTTCAGATCCGTGCTACGTCGTGAAAATACAACGAGGCTGGCCATGGCAAGAACGGAGCAATCAGTACGGACAATTTCCCGCGTAGTTGAATCATTGTTTCCATCTAATCTTATTAATAAAAACTTTGTTGGTCTGCGGATTGTGTTTCAGCTTGCTAAAGCGATTGACCCTTGTTCGAAGGAAATTTGTGGTTGGAGATACCTAAAACTGAAGAAAACTGGACAACAGAAAGAACTGAACTAAACACCGAATAGATAAATCAAATACTCAACTTTTATAACCTTTCGGAGCCTGAAATTTCAAATAGGTCCTGAAAGACGAAAAAAATGTGATTTTGCAATTCTCCATCAAGTACAACATCAATTTTGCACTTATCTGAGGATTCTCCATGGGGTTCCTGAAATTACGCGCCTTGTTCAGCACGTTTATCAATGATTCTGGGCCAATTGGCCATTTAAAATCCCCATGAAGATTTTACTCTCCATTCCAAAAATCGAGAACACATCTATGCATTGATAGTCCCGCCACGAAATTGCCTGATTACGCCGATAAAAAATCGGTTCAAAAAATACCTTTTCTGGTCCTTTAAATGTCAAGTGGTCTCTTCAGAATGCTGAAAATATCAGTCTGTCGGGAAAACAATGTGGATTGTCGTGCCTTGGAATCGCCTATAGTGACTTTGCGACGGCTAGCTGAATATTAGGTCCACGATTTCTGCGAGGCGATACAATTTTCTGCCACAAATCCACATGATTTTTCCGACATACAGATAGTAAAATAACATCGGTCTGTCGGGAAAATAATGTGGATTCGTCGCATTTTGGAATCGCCCATCATCGCTATGCGACGACTAACCGCGGCTGGGGATTTGGTCTCTCGCAAGCGGAGTCATTTTTGCTGCGACGAATTCACATTATTTTCCCGACAGACTGATATAAAAACTCCAAACCAAAGGTTAGAATGCAAAGGTTGACCAGAAGTACAAATAGTTTTTTGTAGCTCCATGCTACAAAAAAGTGTATGTAAAATGCGTTCGTGTGGAAGGATATAAATTGAAAAGAGGATTTCTCAAACGCCAAGGTTTATATTTTCCTCAATTTTTGCGTGTGTAGTCTGCCACATACTGCTTGGCAAGTCAAGCCGAGGTATCAAAATATTTTTTCATTCTATAAAATGTCAAATTTCTGCATTTTCCGGCCTTAAAATCTGCATGGTCTCTGCAAAACGCGGGCTAAAAACCTCTGAGAAGGCCAAAAAATTTCATTCACGTCAAATTACTTGAAATTCTGGGCTCCAAAGTTCGAAATTTTGCGTTTCTTCCAAGCTCCTGCTTCCTTGTCATAAATCATTTTTTCCCTCTGTAAAAAGTGTTATTGACAAATTGTCTTCTCTGAATTTTAGCTCTCAGTCTGTCGGGAAAATACCGTTGGTTTGTCGCGTCTTGGAATCGCCCAATATTGCTTTGCGACGGCTAGCCGCAGCTGGGAATTTAGTTCACGAATGCCACGAGGCGAGACATTTCGGCTGCGACTAATCCGCATTATTTTCCCGACAGACTGATACTTACTACATACAGTAGTTGACAGCGAATTGTCAATTTTTTTATTTCGTATGTAACTTCACTCAGACTCAACAGAATTTGATGAGACTAAGAGCGTTTAAGAGGCTGGGAGACACGCTTTAACCTTATGAAATTGTTTTATTTCATATCGGCCACAGGCGTGGTAAAAATTTCAAAAAAAATTTTTTTGGGGGACAACGAATTGTCAATTTTTACATCTTGAGGCATAAGATCTCAATAAACCAGCATATAAATACTAGAATGGAGAGTAATCAGTTGCCAGCAATCATAGAACAGCATACAACGGGTTTCAGCCATTAGTATAATCTCCTTCGCTTTCTATAGGTCGGGCACTTGGGGGTGGACCATGTACAATATAATGTCAGCCTGGGGGCTTCCTAGGCCGAAATTATCTTATATTCCGGTTTTTTATGGAAGATTATTGCATATATTTAACACACTTGCACCGGATTACAACTTGGAGGGGCTACGGGTCAAAAATTCGTCAGATAATATTATTTTTGGTCATTTAAACTCTGTGTTTCGCCCAAAAATCGATAATTTTTTGCCGACAGGGGGCATAGGTTCATTTAATCCTCCTTTACGGCCAAACTAACGGCATTCTGCAAATTATTTCATTACCTGTCTCGACGCCCTGAAATTTCCGGGTGAGATTCTGACGGTCCAATTAATTCTTGTGCCACACTAGGCTGATGAGTAAATTAATGATTTTATTGCACGTCTTCTGCGTTTTTAAACGTTAAAACTAATATTTTTAATGCTTGCAAAAATCTCTAATATGCTAATAAAATGTCTTGGAAGTTGCAGGCTTGAAGAAATAAGAATTTTTCTGGGTGTTGCAAACCCGACGTGAAAATTCATGTAAATCCAAATATTTCCCTCTGCATACCTCTTCCATGAGTGCTGGTACTGACATGTGAAAGGCACTGAATATTTGTCTTTTAATGTAGTTTGTTTTCAAATATAGAAGGTTTCTCCAACGATCTTCATGCGCGACATTTTTTGATTTTTGATACTCTGACCAACAGTATGAAAGGCCATGATTAACATATTCGAGGTAACAAGGCGCAAGTGTAACCCGTTAGGTGTAATTTTTTGACTTGCCCTAGCGTAGTAAGATGTAACCGCCCATAAAAAACCGGAATATAAGATAATTTCGGCCTAGGAAGCCCCCAGGCTGACATTATATTGTACATGGTCCACCCCCAAGTGCCCGACCTATAGAAAGCGAAGGAGATTATACTAATGGCTGAAACCCGTTGTATGCTGTTCTATGATTGCTGGCAACTGATTACTCTCCATTCTAGTCTTTATATGCTGGTTTATTGAGATCTTATGCCTCAAAATGTAAAAATTGACAATTCGTTGTCCCCCAAAAAACTTTTTTTGAAATTTTTACCACGCCTGTGGCCGATATGAAATAAAACAATTTCATAAGGTTAAAGCGTGTCTCCCAGCCTCTTAAACGCTCTTAGTCTCATCAAATTCTGTTGAGTCTGAGTGAAGTTACACACGAAATAAAAAAATTGACAATTCGCTGTCAACTACTGTATATACTTATTTTATGGTTGCTCTTCATTGACTTGCGCCTGACCTGTTATTTTTTGTAAAACGGTTTAATTCCTCTGGGTTGCTTGGCGACCCTCGAAATAACATCAGGATTACCTATGAATTAACACCGACAAACCGGCAATTAACAGCCCATCCCTTCAGGCAAGACGAGGTTAGTTTCTTATAAAACTTTGTAACGGACTCGTTTTCAACTCAATCCATTTTATACATCTTCCTTTCTTTGCTCCCAAAACTGATGTTTCGTCTATAAAAATCTCAAAATCGAAAGCTTTGAATATTTTCAGTCCGGATGAAAAAGATCACCGACTTCGTTGAGCGCTGTCGAATGCAGGGAAAGAGCTTTGGCTGCAATGAGACCAAGGTGAGGAGAGAGCAGCACAGGGCCGAGTTTTCGGAGGACGCCGAACACGAGTACCTTCAAGGGCCTTCGACCCGGATCCAAGAGACCAATGTTGATGATGAACCACTGGATATGGAGGGAAGCCGGTCTAGTTCCAGACAACAGGTCAGTTTAAAGGCGTGTTGCAAATCGCGGCAGGGCCAATGTGCTATCTGAAAGTTTGCTGAAAATCATAGGGCGCAGCTCGCGTCTTGGGCGCAGCTCGAAAAGAAGTTGAAACTTATGTCCGGCGAGCTGCGACACGTTGTTTTTCGGGCTGCGCCCTATCTCTTTCGGCTAACTTTCAGACAACTTTCAGTTAGCACTATCTGAAAGTTTGCTGAGAATCATAGGGCGCAGCTCGCGTCTTGGCCGCAGCTCCAAAACAAGCTGAAACTTAGCTCCGGCGAGCTGCTAAAGCTTGTTTCCGAGCTGCGCTCTACCTTTTTCAGCTAGCTTTCAACAAATTTTCAGTTACGTATCTGCCCCAAGTCTGAAAGTCCGCAGAAAAGACTTGGTCGCAGCTCGGAAAACAATCTCGCGCAGCTCGCCTTGTTAGTATCCGAGCTGCGCCCGAACTGCACTCAATGGTTTGGCTCTTTTCCGAGCTGCGCCCTATCATTTCCAGCTAACTTTCAGAAACCTTTAGATTGCGAATTTGCACCAGTGCTAATTTGTTTTTGAGTTTTTTCAGGTTGAAATAAACTTTGGTCATGCTGACGTCGCTTTCGGGTTGCATAAAAAGATGGCCAGCCTCGACAAGGCGTTGAGTCGGCGAACTGAAAGCACTGATCAAGAGGGGGAGCAGCCACAAGAGCCGTCGGAGGAGGCGAATGATCGTTTAGAAATCGACGATATTGTAATTGAAATCAGAGATGACTTGGAGGAAATTCAAGACAAAAAAGATGACGAATAAATTTATTTTTTATCCAAATGGAGATCAAGCTGATAGTCAAAAACGTTAAAATTATCATGTACATAAAGTGGAAAGCAAAGTATATAAGGATGTTTCACAACATCGAACTCATATTTGGCTTGAGTTCGGTGGAAAACGCCTTTGAACCCGAAACTCCTTTGATCTTTCCACTCTTCTGCAGCTTCCCAAGAAGCCGGTTGCGAAATGAAGGAATAACCAGCATCACGGTTATCGCATTGGCCATCGGAATGAGTGACGCGCTCGGAACTAGATATAGTCCTGCCCAAAGAACGTCAACTCGAAGTTGGATGCACAGAGTGGCCACAAGGATCGGTAGGCCAAGAACAACCGCTGGATAGGAAGCCTGAAAAACGAGGAAGTCTACAGCTGCAAAGTAGACTAATATAGGGTCATAATTCCCATAGAAGTTCCCAAGAATTTGCATAAATGGCCCGGATGTCGCGACACTTGCGGGAAACCACTTTGCGGGCAACCGCTTTAGGGGCAAATTTGTTTGCGGGCAGCCGACACCTGAGGGCAGCAGGGTGGAGGTGGAAAAATTTCTGTGATATTTTGGAAATTTGCCAACATTTAATATTTTTCTCCATCTCCACCCGGCTACCCTCAGGTGTTGGTTGCCCGCAAACGTCGGCTGCGGAAAAAATCAGTTTTTTTATGAAAACACTACCGTCTGTGGAATAAACAACCACGAAACTTGCCAAAATTTACAAAAAAATCACTGCCTACCTGGATGATCATCACTTTGTTGAGCTGTTTATGAGCGGCCCTCGTAGACTCGCTCATATCTGTGGAAACATCTCGAAGCTTTGCGTTGATCTTTCTTCCCGTATAGATGATCACAGCGTAGACGCAGATCACCGTTGATTGACTGAAAGCGATATGAAGCCGGGAGTGAACAGAGCCCTGAAGTTGAATACAACTGAATTACTACCTTTTTAAAACATTAAAATGTGATTTTTAAGGCTTAGCTCTTACACTTTTTTCAACATTTACATTCTTACCGGATCGACCGCCATATAAATTGGCGTATCATAGGTATAAGCCGGATGTCCTTTTAGCAGCTCCGTATCTTCCTCACTCATATCTCGAAACGCAAAAAACGATAGCAGCGCAATGGCGAACATCGAAAATACCCCGCTGAAATACATGCCTGCGAACTCGGCCACGGTCAGTGGATTCCGGCAAAGGGCGAAATATCTGTAAACGAATTGCATTCCCAGTGTAAAAACGGTTGTATACAGGGCGCCCAGGAACAGAGAGGCCATCAAGAAGTTGTACGGGTATCCCGTGTGTTCGAAGGGGCCGAGGGTGATAAAGAAGGACACCCCTCCTTTCACTTCTACTACCTGAAATGTGGAAGGGTTGAAGGGTTTTATGTATGTATACTAGGCGTTCCAGAAAGTGCATGCACCTTTCGTCGCAAATTTTCCGCACTGTGCATTTGACCTTTTGCACCGTGCAATTCAAAAATCGCAGCGACACAAGCTTTTTTCAACTCTGTCGCCGCGCATTTTGGGCGCGCGACGACAATTGCACAGTGCAAAAAGAAGAAAAATGCACTGTGCGCCGCGAAAAAAAGTGCACTCACTTTCTGGAACGACTAGTATCAGTCTATATATGAGTCTGTCCGGAAAATAATAAGGATTCATCGCAGTGAAGTGTCTCGCTTCATTGTAGTCGCACACCAAATCTCCGGCGGCGGTTAGCCGTTGCAAAGCGATGGGCGATTCCAAGGGGTGATGAATCCACATTATTTTCCCGACAGACTGATACTAGGCGGACCACGAAATAGTCCTGACATGTTTTCGCACTGTACGGTTTCAATCCTTCTCGAAAGCATCCATTTCGCACTGTGCGTGGTCGGCGTGCGCCGTCAAACTTTCCTCGTCTCCGTGCGAGAGGTTTTTTGCGCGGCGGCGCACGTCAAACTGAGATAAGCTAAAACAGTCCGGTGAATGGATTGGGAATATGCCAAAAAAAGACGCGAAAAAACGTTTTGTCGGGGGAGAAATGGGGAATTTTTGGGGCGAGAGAGTACGCTTTTGCGTGTCTTTTTTCTCTCTTTCTCTGGAAATCAAGACGAAATGTAAAACACCGATAGCGAAGAGTCTATTCCGGTCACCGGGCTCCTCAGTTTGACGTGCGGCGCTCAGTGCAAGCTTGTCAAAACCTTTTGGCTTGCTTATTGTGAGGCGGAACGACCGAACTTCGGGGATTTTCCCACGAGGAACGATCTACATTTATTCAAATTAGATTTCCCACGTGGGGCTTCCCTATAAAAGGGCCTCCTTTTCCACTGAATAAATCACTTGACTCTTGAGCTTCTCGTCTCGTTACTGGGTTGTCGGGCCTTTCGACACTTATCAATCTGTCGGGAAAATAATGTGGATTTGTCGCAGCAAAAGGTCTCGTCTCGTCGCAATTGCGGTCCACGCTATTTTCCCGACAGACTGATACAGGCTTTTTGGCCGGCTTATCAATCTGTCGGGAAAATAATGAGCACTCTTTAGCTTCGAAAATTGCATCGCCGCCGAGAAAATGAATTCTATCGCGGAAGAAGCAACTTGCATTGCACTTCAGCAACGCAATCGGCGCAGCAATATTGCGCTTATTATTTTTCCGCCGGAGCGATAATTGGCCTTTACAGATTCTGTTGAGAGCCTACCTCCATGGTGACGATATTGACAAAGGTGTAAATCAAATCCCCAGCCACACTCATCAGCACGATCCACCCGTAACTTCTCATCACACTATTCCTAGTCGTCAAAACCAAATAAATCAGTGTGCCGTTGAGAACGCACGAAATCCCTGTCAACCACAGCTCATAGTGCAGATGGTATTCTCTGAACGTACGGTAGATATTCATCTCATGTGGCATTGCAACAAGCCGTAGTGAAAGCGCACTTTTATACGGACTCCTTCACGCAATAATTTTTACATTAAACAACCACACCTTACTCTCCGAACTTTGAAAGAGTGCAAGTATTTACAAGAACTCGTTGTAAATCGTGGTGTCACAAGAGGAAAAACGTACGATTTGCACTCGCTGTACCTTGCGAAATTTGCGGTGGGTTCAAGTTGCAGCTAGTTGAACCTCCTGTTGTAGTAAAAATAAAAATTGGTAAGCTTCAGTTTAATGTTCCGTCCTTTGAAGTTACAATTGTGGTGTACGTGTTTACTGGTAGGTATATACAAAGTCTATTTTGAAGACAACAGAGAATGCCAACTGTTTCAGAATGGTTATGGTAATGAATCAAAAGATCGACAAAGGTTAAAGTACGACCACACGAGAAGGAAAGTAAGTATCATCCTTATCTTTTTACTTTGCTACGATTTTTTGGGAGAGCTACAGTTCGTGCCAACGATATCATGGATCGCGTAGGGTCGTCGTTGTATGCATGTGCTAGGCTAGGCAAAGGCTTGGTTAGAGATTGCCACGGACAAAATTTTGGCTCCGGCTCCGCAAAATTTGAAAAGGGTCCGGTGCCGGCACGGGCTCCGTGCAAAACTTTTTTTTAAAAATATTTTTCAAAAATAAACGTTATAGTGCCAGAGATGACACACCCAACGTTTTGAAGCCAAGTGGTAAGTACGCAACACATTTTTTAAAAGTATTTTTCAAGTATTATAATAGGTTTGCCAAGATCACGAAATTTTTACTTTTCTGAACGCTGAGAAGGCTTCGACTTTGGGCGCGGGAGCCGGAACCAAGAGCCGGCTCCGGAGCCGTGGCAATCTTTATTAGTAGAAATAACAAGATTGGTCTGGTTCTAGGACAACTTATCACCTATTTTGAGGGGTTATTTTTACATGTGCTCACATCAATAACATCTATTAAAAGTTATGGATCTTAATTTTTTGCCGCAAATTTTGGTCTTCTATATGCTACAATAACTCAGGGTAAACAAAACGAACGTTGGTAATAGTTAAAATTAGAGGAAGAAGACATGTTGCAAGTCTCCGCCAAGTCTCCGCCGAGCGTCCGGTCACCATCCAACGACTTTGCTAGGCCTCATTGGCAGCTCTTACAGCCTTCTTTGAGCATCCACATGTCCTACGCCTCGTATTGATCGATCTTTTGTTGACCCAAACTGTCGTCGATGCAAAAAGCGGGATGCGATTTGTACTGTAGAAAGTCATGTTTCCACAAAATTCACTTTCTCGGCCGCGTGCTCGGTCCCGTCGATTCTCGATGAGGCCGAGGGCTCATTAAGTTCCCGGCTGACTGATGGATATTTCCGTGTCCGCCCTAGCCAAGAACTACGGGATCAGACACAAAACTGGAGCTGCGACGACCACTGACATGGCAAATGGAGAATCAATGAAAAAGCGAAAAAAGTGCCGCGAAAAAAGTCTACGCACTTTTGAAAAGGCGTAGTACGGTAGAAAGGTACTGTAGTAATATCTGTCTGTCGGGGAAATAAGATTGCGTCGTTGGAGTGAAAAACAATTTAATTTTAATACGACATAATTAATTTTCCCGGCGCCAGTGCGATTTTCGATCCGACATTTTGCGCATTATTTTCCCGACAGACTGAAAAACCACCGACGCAGGTGGTTTTTTTCCACTAATAATGTTATAACAACACGACGAAGATTGTCTTTTTCGAAAAAAGTTTTTCTGTAACCTCATTTGGGCACCATTTTACAATAAACTGCACTTTCCCAACACTTGCGTGCGTGGTGTTATGTTTCACTCGTTGTATTCATTTCGGACCTGCCCTCCATATAAATACTCACTTTTATCTACAGTCATTGAATCTTAAGCCTGCGAGCTGCGGGGCTGATGTTAAATGAGACGACGATTTACGGCGCTTTCAGAGACTACCATGCGTATTATGAGGTGGTGGTGGCGGTCATCTCTAGCCTGCTTAATGGACTACTCATGTATTTGGTGATGACAACAGAGAACCGGGTAATGAGGAGCTATGGGTGGATTGTGCGGATGAGCGTGGCTAGTGACTTCATTTTCACCATCGTCAATGTGGTTTCAATGGAGGTGAGTTATGGAGCACACTGCAGTTTATTGACCATGTCATCGTGTATACATATATTAGGTTGTCCAACAAATAATGACCCTCTGTGAGAGGGGAAAAGTTTAAAGCCTCTAAAAAAGGCAAGCGATGATGGAATTTTGAAATATTACAACATTTTGTAGCTGAGATTTCAGGCTTTCGTTTGATGTATCGTTTGTCATATTGGGACCAAATTCCAGTAATTTAGCCCTAATCGAAAATTATCAAAAAAAGTCGGTTCGTGCTGTCATCTTTTACGGGCAAAAACAGGACGCGAAAGTTTCAGAAGCTACGCAAAGTATCAACGCTGTGTTCGACTAGTGTGTTCTGAGTCTGAACACGGTGAAACGATGGATTTAAAAATTACGATTTGACGGCAAGGGACCCAAAGATAAAGTACGGAATCCGAACTTTATCAATTTACCCTGAGGTCGTCGGTTGGCGAACATCCTAGAATCAACATTCAACGCGTCTCTGACGTCGTCTGGCTGTTGAAATAATCGGCGGCTAACCATTCGATGTCGATGGAATTCAAAAAATGCTCGGCAAATTTTTCCCATTTTATTGGATCAAAGCAAAGAGTGGAAGCATTACATTTCTCGCGTTTGCGTGCCGTTTTCTGGATCGAATCGTTGCCTCTGATGGAAAGAGGACCTACTGGGACAACCAGACCGGATATGCTGAACGGAGGCCTCCTAGGGTATCACTGCGGGACTTGTCAAAGCCCGACTCTCCCCAAAACAAGGTGATAACTACTTCTTGATGGTGCAGCATGGGAATAGTACAATACAGCTTCTTGAAAGCTGGCCAAAATGTAGATACCATACCCTACTGTATCCAGATAGACAGTTTTTTGGCAGCGTCTGTCTTCAACGATGCGCCGCAGAAGTCCAAAAATTGTTAGCGGCTACACGGAACCTCCCCTTTGAAAGATGACCCTCCAGAAGCGGATTTAATAGAGATAGGAGACTGTCCCTTGTCCAGCCTTTTTGTCAAAGCTGGTCTATACACATTACCATCAGTTCAAGAATCTAGGACGTTTCATCAGTGGTAGAGAATTCGACAATCAAGACACCCTTGAAAAGGCCTTCAAAAGTTTCATCGGCTCCAGAAGCCGGGGTTCCTAAGCTACAGACATAAAAAACTTTTTGCCACGTTGTAACAAGCGTGATAAAGCACATGATAATTTTTTTGATTAAATACATCGCAGTTATTACGGTAAATTTTGCCGAAAAAATAAATTTTTCAAAGAGGGTCATTATTTGTTGGACAACCTAATATAAAGCTCTAATCCCAATTTGAGCCAAGCGCAATCAAAAATCGATTATTATCAGTCTGTCGGGAAAATAATGTGGTTTCGTCGCGCCTTGGAACAAGCAAAGTGATGAGCCCATCATCACTTTGCGACCTTTTTTGGGTACGGTGCGGGCCGCGACAAATGCCCATGCACTTTATAAAAAAAACTATCAGTGTGTCGGGAAAATAATGAGAACAATTTCGATGCGCAGATCGTGTCGCTGGAGTGAAAAGAAATAAAAATTTTTGTCTGGATACAATTCATTTTCTCGACGGCGATGCGATATGCGACTGAATGCTCATTATTTTCCCGACAGGCTGATTTGAAAATACCAACAAATATTGTAAGGTACTAAAGGCACTAACATCCCCTCTAAAACCGACTTACCGACTTGCTTTCAGGTCGTTGAGATCAAAGGTGGGGTCTGTTTCTTTCTGCCCCTCGGGCCCTTCCGCCACAGCCCCTATCCCTACAACTTCCTGATGGCGTCGCTGTTTCTTGGCGCCGTCTACACGACCGTCCTAACGCTGGGCATGCAATTCGTCTACAGATATTGCGCCCTTTGTCGGACTCCACTCACCGTCCCACAGTTTGCTGCCATGTATTTCGCCGGAGTTTCCTCCATGTTCGCCGCGTCGTTCGCGTCGTTCTTTGTGTTTCGGGGCGTAACTCCGCAAGATACGGAAATCCTCCGGCAGCATCCGGCGTATCAAGAGGACACTCCCGTTTACATGGCGGTCGATCCGGTAAGTTGTGTAGTGGAGTGAAAAGAAAAATTTTAGTGTGAATCTTACTAACCGCCGATTCTTTAGACTTCCGTGCGCTCCACAGCTCATCTCATCTTCACACAGGTGATAATCTTCGGTGTTTACGTTGTTATTGTTTATACGGCGTCAAAGATCAATAAAAAGGTTCGCGATGCCACTGCGGGCATGAGCAAATACACCCGGAAGGCGCATCGCCAACTCAACAAGGTCATGATTATGCAAGTGAGTCGAAAACGTCTAGTTTTCTGTTAAAAGTTTTTTCTGAAACAATATCAGTCTGTCGGGAATGTAATGTGGACATTGGCTTGCGACGAGACGAGAGATTTGTTGCGACGACTCCATATTATTTTCCCGACAGACTGATAATGAGTGCTCTGTCGGATCGATAATTATAGCGCTGCCGATAAAATAAATTGTGTCCCAGCAAAACTAAGTTAATTTAAAAAACTTTCACTTTTGCGATCAGCGCTGCGACGTTGAGCTCATTATTTTCCCGACAGAACGATAATATTTTATGAGCGAAACATATTAGCAAGTTTTTCTACACTACTTCGATCCAGCCACACCTCTTCTTTCAGGCGCTATATCCAGGCATCCTTCTCGGCACCCCAGTCATTGTTGCCTGTGTGGGCGTCGAATTTCGGCTGGACGTTCCGTGGCTGGGAATCTACCTTGTTCCGAGTGCGTCGTTGCTCCCCATTGTCAATGCGATCACCGTAATGACGGTTATTCCGTCGATCCGCAAGCGCGTCTTCGGCCGAGGATGGGCGGACGCTGGGTCGACTTCGAGAGGGGTGTCAACGGAACTGAAGCAACGAAACCTGTCGAAAAGCTTGCCGAATGTTGAATTTTGATTCGAATAAACAGTCTACGAAATTTTTAGTTTCTCGTGGAATTGTGTGCGGTACAAACGGCAGAGCAATGTGGCTTACTTCCAGCAGAAAGCAGGGACCAAATGTAATTGAACAATTTGTTCTCTCAACATGTTTTTTTGATTCATGAACAATCTTTATGCATTCTTACAAGGGAATGGACTTTATGTGTAAATCGATTTTGGCTTGGGACATAGTCAGATCGAAAGATGTGTGGTAGTCGATTATTCACTTGGGGGGAAATCTCTGCGCGAGGCTTCAAAGCCGAGAAAATCGGCTTCAAAGTTTGGACGAAAATCAAAGGAAAAGGATAGGGATCCCGGAAAAGGAGCCATAAAAAGTGTGAAGCAGTGGCCGAGTGGTCAGTGCGCTCGCTTTTTGCGCAAAAGGTCGCAAGTTCGAATCTGCTTCCATTCATAACTTTTTTAAACAAAAACTTCTATAAATTTTTTCCCCTTGAACTCGATTATCGATGCAAGAAGTATATTTTAAACGGAACCTTTCCATTTTCAACGGCTTTGCACCTTCCCTTTACAGTTTTAGAGCGCAGAGCACAACATCAACCTGATGTATTCAAAAACAACTTTCCATTATGTTAACTAGAAAGCAGAAGTAAAAAACGATAATAATGATTTGAGCTTGGAAAGACTCGAACCTGCAACCTTTTGCGCAAAAGGCGAGCGCACTGACCACTCGGCCACTGCTTCACACTTTTTATGGCTCCTTTTCCGGGATCCCTATCCTTCGATTTTCGTCTAAACTTTGAAGCCGATTTTCTCGGCTTTGAAGCCCCGCGCAGAGATTTCCCCCCAGGTGAATAATCGACTACCACACATCTTTCGATCTGACTATGTCCCAAGCCATAATCGATTTACACATAAAGTCCATTCCCTTGTTAGCAACCCCTAGAGTGCAATCATAAGTTTTGGGCCTCGTCTTTAGCCATTCAATGATTACCAAACGACCCACGGAGTACGGTCGATCCTATTTGCAAGACAAGTCTTTAAACTACAAAAATATTCCCCCCTCTATTTCATACTCATTTCGTATCGGTTGTAATAGCGTGAAGTGCACCGGACAAGATGTCAAAATTTATTGTAGTTTGACAGTGGACATACTACATCCGTTTAGCTGTTGAAAAGAGCAAGATTACTATATAGTGTGGAGCTCATGCGCCACAAAAGCGGCCAATAACAAACAATTGAAGAGGTCTGAAGAGTCATTTTTTTATAGATGATCATATTCTTTAGTGTCAAAATCATATGGGCTTTTCGTCATTGTACTTTTTGACTTTTGTCCCAGAAAATTTAAAAAACATAACATCATTTTTCATTTAAGTTTTCGAAAGAACATTGTGCTTTTTGATCGTGTTTTTTCAACAGACAAAGCATTCCACACCCTCTAATTGGTGACGGAAATATCGCTTGGTCTTGGGTTCAGTGAAATTATCTTCGAGTCCATGGTTGTTTGTCCCACTTGCGACTTCCTGAAGGGCAATGATCCGAAAAACCTTCGGCGGAACGATGGGATCACCAGCAGCAATGTCACAGAGTTTACGAATGGAACTAGAGTGGCACAAGGGACCATGTAAAGGCCGGCCCAAGCTGCATCCATTCGAAGCTGCGTGAAGACTGTGGCAACCATCGTGGGGATGCAAATAATGATGGTTGGGTAGACGGCCTAAGAGTGGACCAAAAATGACAAGGTATATACTCGTAATTAAGTCTGTGACAAGACAGTTTACAGTATATGTCTGCCGGGAAATAATGTGGGCTTGTCGCAGAAAAATGCCTCATCGCAGCCGCGCATCAAATCCCCAGACGCGGCAAGCCGCCGCAAAGCGATGACGCGCAATTCCAAAGCGCGACAAATCCACATTATGATCTCGACAGGCTAATACTAGGCATTGAGCGGTGCGTGATGCCTATGGCGATTCGTAAATATGAATTTTTGAAGGGATAAATTTTTCCTGATGTGTTGAACCCTTTAATTCGGGTGACAACCGGACTGGAGAAAAAAAAACCTTGCCAGAAATAACGGGTAATTTAAAGAAGCTCAGCGGATTTGTGGGATTTTTTTGAAGTTTAAGGAAAGTCTGCGGGAGGTTGTCCCGGACCGTATTTGAAGTGAATCTGTGTGTGATGTCAACCAGGATTCGTAATATGCATTCTGTTCATACGTTGGGCGGACATATTGGAACGATGGATCCAGTTACCAAAGGTCATAAAACCAAGGTACCCTCACCGATACTGGAAGAAAGCAGGCGCAACTCGAGCATGTGAACCACGGCAAATTATGTGGAAGGTTTATATGGTGGACACAACGCATTTTAATGGCTGTTGACAATCCTGCACTTTCCAGATTCTTCAAACTTTTTCAAACAGAAGTGTTATGAAAGAATCAAGTCAAGAATGCAATGCGCAAGAATCAACGAAAGGAGAGCAGACTCCTGGCCATCCCCAACGCCACTACCCTGAACCTATTGGCGTTCGTAGCCAAGATTAGACGCATAAAAATATAATATACTATTATTATTTCATTGTTGTGTATGTTGTTACTGTAATATATTTGTTGTTTTGGTCTTTCAATAAAAACCCTCACGGCCGCCTTGAATAAGAGCCAGTTTCCCTTGGTTATCTGCCCTACTATCCGAACGCCTGGCCGGATTACATAATATGAAATAAGTGTCATATTATGTAAATGAGTGGAGCTTTCAGGGTTCAGGGTTCATAAAAAATTATGAAATAAGTGCTATAACGTCTAGCGCGCTGGAAAAGTGCAGAAAAAAGATGGATTAGGGACGCAACTGGGTTTGTATCAGAGTGCAAGGCTGATAGTTCTCGACGACAATCCGAATGCGAGTAGCTCCAGCGTCATCGAGTCACAAATGGAATTGAATTACGATACTGGTCCGCCTGGAGAGCTCATGAACAACAGCGCCTCAAAGTCTCAAGACACAATTTTTATTCGCTATAAGATAATATTCCTTGGAATTAAAATCATACAGACTTTAGGTATTGCAAGAGCGCTTCAACGGAAAAAATCTCTCGGCTTCTTATTGGTTGATCTCAGCTTCTTATTGAGATGCCGCTACGCCTCCGATAAAAACATTTTGATATACTCCTTTGTTGCTTGCTCCACCTGTGACTTCCTATAGGTCCCCCATCTAGAAAGTCTTCGACGGAATGATGGGATAGCCAGCAGCAATGTCACGGAGTTCGCGATTGGAATTAGAGTGGCACAAGGGACCATGTAAAGGCCGGCCCAAACCTCATCCATTCGAAGTTGTGTGAAGACTGTGGCAACCATCGTGGGGATGCAAATAATGATGGTTGGGTAGACGGCCTGAAAATAGACATGAGATTGGGAGGGTACTGTATAATTTTCGGTCTGTGACATGACTGCACGTTATGGTATGAGAGGTTTGTCATCTTCAGACAGTTTTTTTCACAAGAAGTGCTGGGAGTACTTCCGTTGACAGTGGATCCCAAATATGAATTTTTGAAGGGACAGACTCCCCTTGACGTGTTGAACCCCTTAATTCGGGAGGCAACCGGACTGGGAAAAAACAAGTCCCTGCCTGTCATAACGGATAATTTAGAGAAGCTCAGCGGCTCCCTAAAAAAACTCACCTGTAACACCATGACCCTTGTCAGTTGTCTCTGCGCATTTTTCGTTGATTGGCTCATGCTCTTCGAGGCTTCCCTTAGCTTGGAATTGATTTTTCTTCCAGTGTAGAAGATGACAATATACATGAAAATAACGTTTAGTTGAGTCGACAGAATATGGAGTTTTGCTGCGGGTTTTCTCTGAAAAACACGTGGTAAGCATCAAATAAGGCGCCCATGAATACAACGACGCAGCATGCACCCGAACTGTTGCAAAAACATGTCAAGCCTTTTTGGCCCTCCTAGTATCAGTCTGTCGAGAAAAAAACCTCAACTGTTGCAACGGGATGCGCTGAGCTGATCATACAATACAATACAACATAGCAGACGAAGTTGCGGCGCGACAAACTCATTTACAGTGTGCCGAGATTACTCCGTCGAGCGCTCACCGGATCCACAATGATGTACGTTGGAGTGTCATGCATATACATGGGATGTTCACGAATCAGTTCAGTCCCCTCGGGCGTTTCCCCATCAAACACAAGGAACCCAGTGAACGCCTCGAGCGCACAGTAGGCGGTTGTGGCAACGAAAAGCATTGAGAATTGGAATATAGTCAAGTGGCTGCGACACAGTGCAAAATACCGGTAGATAAATTGCAGCCCAATACTGAAAAAGACCATGTAAAGGCCGGCCAGGTAGATGGAGCACATCAAAAAGTTGTAGGGATATCCGCTGTGGGAGAAAGGGCCCAATGTGATGAAATAGAGAAGACCACCCTTGACCTCGACAACCTGAAATTTAAAAGGTCGGGAGGTGTGTTCGCAGAGTGACGATTGATTTTTAACTGTCCGAACGCCTGACCGGAAACGGGCTTGCACTGCCGATTTCACTCTTACCATCATCGAGATTACATTCGCAGCGGCATAAATGATGTCCGAGATCAGGCTCATGATGACCACATAGCAGAAGCTTCCAATTACTCGATTCCTCGTCGTCATCGCCATATAAACAACAATCGAGTTCAGAGTGAGTGATGTGGCGCCAAGAAAGAGCTCGTAACACCAATGGTACTTCCTGACTATAGCATAGAACTGGATGACGTCATCGCTGATGTTCATATTAGAAACTCTCAATCTGCAGCCGTGACTAGTAAATTTAAAGGAGAAAAATAACGGCTGGTTGCGCAGCAAGTATAAAGTAAGCAAAGTAAATATGGCTATACGACTATAACAAAGCGTCATTAAAGCCCGAGTTTCTTGATTAGTATCCCCAGACAAGGATTGTTTTCGCGTGTATAGTGCAGTAAAAAATTGCTGTAGAGACAGAAATTAGATTTAAGTGCAAACAAGGATCATTGTTCTCGATGACATTTCTACATGCATTCAACTGAAAGGAAAACCGGGATTTTCAGGGGGAAAAGTTGGAAGCGCTAGCTATGATTTTCAGGAATTTGTATGCGGCCTATATCCTAAGTGTGTACAAAGTCTAATGGGAATCTGAGCGTCGCACTTGTGGTACGAGAGAAATTTCGGTGGGAAAATAAAGTCCAAACTAATGCCAAATTTGGTGAAAACGCGAGCGTCGTACTTGGAGAACTGTCCCTGTAACTCCAAAAACAAATCCAAAGACCAAAAAGTTAACCTCTGTTTTCTAAAGATCAAAAGAGCCCACAATTAGAGTCGTTTTTGATTGAGTTCCAGGTCACCCACAAGTCTCCCCTCCGTCTTCTTGTTTACCATGGCCAAGTTTGTTTTCGTCTATACCATTAGCATCATAAAGTGCAAGGACGTTTCCTCGTTTTCGGATAGTGCATTTTTAGCTTTCTCCCATGCTTGTCGTTCTTCCCAGCCGTGACTAACCATCGCATAGCAATGATTTCCAGGCGCGACCAATATTGTTTCCCCAACGGACTGGTATTGTGAACAAATGACACTCAAATTGACTGTCCGATTTTACCGGATTTATTCAAGTTCATTTCATATCGATTTTTTCAAATCAGGCGCCCTTCGTAGATTTCCATCCGACTTTCTGACCCCACATTCGAGATCCTTTTAGTTATTTCGGTTGTTGTGAATGGTTCAGGAGATATGATTCCAATCTTTCGAGACAGTAGGCAGCTCAGTAATCGCCTTCGGAACGTGGGAATCACAAGAATCATTGTCAAGGCGTTTGCAATCGGGATGAGAGAAACGCTTGGAGCCAGGTATAACCCACACCAAAGAACGTCCAGATGAAGCTGAACAAAGACTGAGGCGATTAGAACCGGACAGCCAACAATGATCGCCGGATACGCAGCCTGGAAGCGGAAGTGGTTGGGATGGTGTTAACATGCGAGGAAACATACTTGGTGTTAATAAAAGATACATAATTCATATTATAAAAATTACAAACATAAAGATATCGTATTTTACCCACCTGTAAAATCATAACTCTGTTCAGTTGTCTTTGAGCATCCCTAGTCGATTTACTCATTCTCGCTTAAGCTTCCTTCAGCTTCTCATTGATCTTCCGACTCGTATAGATGACCACAACATACACCACGACAACAATCAGCTGACTGAAGACAAGGTGGACACTATGGATGGGTTTTCGCTGAAAACAAGAGCTGTGTGACTCTTCTGGGTCCACGTTTTGTAATGCCACTAACAAAGCCCCTACCGGATCAACAATCATGTAAGTCGGAGTGTCGTACATGTACATGGGGTGCTCTTGTATCATCCTCGTTGCCTCCACACTTTCACCATCAAAAATAAACCCGCCAATCGCGGCGTCGATAATGCAATACACAGTAACAGCAAGGTAAAAGATAGAGAATTGAGTCAAAGTCAGAGGTGTCTTGCACAGCGCGTAATAGCGGTAGATGAACTGCATCCCCAACGTGGCAATGACCATATAAAGAATGGTCATGGAAAGGGCGCCCATCACCTTTCCAGTGGGATTTGGGCCATGGCTGAAGGGTCCGAGGGTCAGCCAGTACATGAGACCCCCTTTCACTTCGACCACCTGCAAAATACTGAAGATTACATATCCCATAGGTGAAGTGGTCCCCTGCAAGACGCGAGAGAAGATTTTTTAAAGTGGCCTGCAAGATAGAGCGAAGATTTTCAAAAATGGACATGTGGTGTATGTCCAAAATTTAAAAAAGATCTGAGCGGCCCAGTTATAGGTATTTCAGTTGTAAGACAAACATGCATACCGTCATCGCAATCATATTGGACAAGACGTAGACAATGTCCGCGAACATGCTCATCAATACCACCCAACAGTAACTTCTCATCACTCGATTTCGCGTCGTCATGACCATATAAACTACGAATCCGTTCAGACTCAAAGAGATCGCACCCAATGTGACCTCGTAATGAGCATGATAGCGACGTAGCGTTGTGTAGAATGCAACCAGTTCCTGGCTAACGTTCATCCTAAAAGTTAGCTGGATGGTGATTGGAGAGACACGCCAAAACAAAAAAAACTAACAATAAAGAGAAGTATAACTTTTTCCAAATCCACGAACAGAAATTTACGAAGACGAGTCCCTCGTGGTCTCGTGGTGGCATGTGTCGAACATGTTTTACTTTTTTCTTACCTGAAATAACTTGACTTTGAAAGTGGAAGGTAGCAGATGTGGATTGGGTATACGATATGACGCGCCCTCAAAATGGCTACGCAAATAAGAGGTTTGACGGCTCGACTACACGAGATTTAAGTCATTAACGGTGATACAATTAAAATGAAAGGAAATAATAAACAAAGACAACACGCAATTCTCTGCAACAACAACCTTCCAAAAATAACACCATCAACAACTCCAACTAAAAACGGGAATAAAAGCTAAACATTACGGTTCCTTGAATCAGGGGCTTTGCTTCGCAACCATCTGCATAGAATATTCTCGAACTTTGGGAGAAAGGCAGGGAAACAGTTCAGCTTACAGTAGTTTTTGTTCACCAGCAGAAACATGTAAGGCAAAAATTTTTCATGGGTAAGAGACAGCACCAGAAATGCGGAGAGCAGTTATAGAGAAAAACACTTCCTGGCTGTCTCCTTGCCAGTCTCGTGCGGAAAAAATGGATTTTCTGTGGAAACATCGCCCTCTATGTAGACACTGAAACTTTTCATCTCTCTCTTGCGGAAAAATTGATTTTTTGTGGGATCATCACACCCTACGTTTGAGCAGGAATGAATTTCATGTGCATTTATTCAAATTTTATATCAATCTTTTCAAATCAGATGCCCTTCGTTGATTTCCATCCGGCTTTCTGAACCCACATTCGAGATCTTTTTTGTCATTTCGGTTGTTGTGAATGGTTGAGGAGACATGATTCCAATCTTTCGAGACAGTGGACAGTTCAGTAATCGTCTTCGGAACGTGGGAATCACAAGAATCATTGTCAAGGCGTTTGCAATCGGGATGAGAGAAACGCTTGGAGCTAGGTATAACCCACACCAAAGAACATCCAGATGAAGCTGAGCAAATACTGTGGCGACTATAACCGGACAGCCAACAATGATCGCCGGATACGTAGCCTGGAAGCGGAAGTGGTTAAGATGGCGCTAAATACGAGGCACCATATTTGGTGTTAAAAAAGATACGAGGATCCGTATTGTAAAAATTGAGGACCCGAAAGTGGCGTATTTTACCCACCTGTAAAACCATAACTCTGTTCAGTTGTCTTTGAGCATCCCTAGTCGGTTTACTCATGCCCGCCGAAGCTTCTTTCAGCTTCTCATTGATCTTTCGACTCGTATAGATGACCACAACATACACCACAACAACAATCAGCTGACTGAAGACAACATGGACGCTGTGGATGGGATTCTTCTGAAAACTCGACCTCTAGATTCTTCTGGGGTGCTTTTTTTGTAATGACACTAACAAAGCCTTACCGGATCAACAATCATGTAAGTCGGAGTGTCGTGCATGTACATGGGGTGCTCTTGTATCATCCTCGTTCTCTCCACATCTTCCCCGTCAAAAATAAACCCACCAATGGCGGCGTCGATTACGCAATACACAGTAACAGCAAGGTAAATGAGAGAGAATTGAGTCAAAGTCAGAGGTGTCTTGCATAGCGCATAATAGCGGTAAATGAACTGAATCCCCAACGTGGCAATGACCATATAAAGAACGGTCAAGGAAAGGGAGCCCATCACTTTGCCAGTGAGATTTGAGCCATGACTGAAGGGCCCGAGGGTCAGGAAGTACATGAGACCCCCTTTCACTTCGACTACCTGCAAAATACTGAAGATTTTACATCTTGTTGCTATATGTCATTAGCAAACATGCATACCATCATCGAAGTCATATTGGCCAAGACATAGATAATGTCCGCGAACATGCTCATCAATACCACCCAACAGTAACTTCTCATCACCCGATTTCGCGTCGTCATGGCCATATAAACTACGAATCCGTTCAAACTCAAAGAGATCACGCCCAACGCGACTTCGTAATGGGCATGATAGCGGCGCAGCGTTGTATAGAAGGCAACCAGCTCCGGGCTAACGTTCATCCGGAAGGCGAGCTGGATGGTGATTGGAGGACACACGCCAAAACAAAAAGCAGCAGAGAAATAGCTCTTGTCCGAATCCACCTGCGTTTATACCGAAGTACAAAATGAAACTTATGAAGATTGGTGGCAGGGCTTGGAGCGGCGTATGTCGAACATCTTTTTCTTTTTCTACCTGAAATAACTTGACTTTCCAAGTGGAAGGTTGCACATGTGGATTAGGTATACGATACAAACGTTCCCTTCGAAATGGCATGGCGGATAAAAAACTCTCGGCTCGAATATGGAAGATTGAAAATTAACTCGATTAACGAAAATGCAACTAAAATGAAAGGACATAGTAATAAACAACCACAATTCTCAATTCTCTATAACAACAACCTTCCACCAACAACTAAAATTAAAGCTGGGAAAAACGCAAAAATTACGGTTCCTTGAATCAGGGGCTTCGCTTCGGAACCATCTTCATAGAACATTCTCGAACTTTGGGGGAAACAGTTGCCACTTGGGACATCTCTCGCTCTCTCTAACTGCTGGAACCAAGTTCGAGTATAAATCTGATTGATTGTGAAACCTGTGAATCCGACAACTCCTCAGGTTGGCTTTTCGCCAGAGACAGAGGGTCCAAGGAATCTTTTTTGTCCGATTATTTACCAATTTGGCAAAAACCAGGACTTTTTGAGAAAGTTGACCATTTTCAGCATGGGAAAAGTTCAAATGCAATGTGCAAAGGAGAAAAAATGCCTGTGCATTTCATGAAAATACCGATATGAATGTTCAACAAATATTCTTTCCTTTATACCCCATTCAAGCATAAATGCCGTTTTAAGGAAGTTCAACGTTCAAGACGAAATACAAAAATATTGACAACGTCAGGAGTGCCACTAGACCACCAAAACAATTATGTTAACGACATTTCGGGGAACTTAAATAGGAGACGGAAGTGTTGTGTTGGGTTTAATGCGGTAACCCTAAAAAACTTTGCAGAAAGGTAAAAAGAAAAGTTCTCGTTGTACTCAAATGTCGGCGATTGAAGGGCCAGCACAGAATTGAGGAAAAATAAAGTCAGCTGAGGCAAGGACCCTCTAAAAGCGTGATAACTCTAGTTGGTAAACGTCGCTAATTTTGAATTACTTCCGTAAGCTGATACCAGTGGACGAAACTGCGAGTTTTTTTACCGAACACCTTCTACTTCTTCTACTGCGGTAGAAATACGCATAAAACTTCTCATAATGATTTATTCATATTTGAAAGAAATGTTTCAAATCAGATGGGTTTCATTCGGTTCCATCCGACTTTGCGGTGGCGTTTCCGTCATCTTTCTTGTTATATCTGTCGTGGTGAATGGTCCAGAAGACTTTACTTCAATCTTTCTATATGGGAGACAGTTCAGTAGTCGTTTTCGGAATGTGGGAATCACAAGAATCATTGTCACGGAGTTAGCAATCGGGATGAGAGAACCGCTTGGCACTAGGTATAACCCACACCAAAGAACATCCAGACGAAGCTGGGTAAAGCCCGTGGCCATAAGAACCGGACAGCCGACGATGATCGCCGGATATGTAGCCTGAAAGCGAAACTTGTTGAGATGCGGTAAAACACCATGTAACTAGCTTAGACATTCAAGTAGACTTCTGACATTTACAGTTTATTGGTCATACTACAAGCCTAAATTAGACATATCTTACCCACCTGTAAAATCATAACTCTGTTCAGTTGTCTTTGAGCATCCCTGGTCGAACTACTCATTATCGCTGAAGCTTCCTTCAGCTTCTCATTGATCTTTCGACTCGTATAGATGACCACTACATACACTACTACGACAATCAGCTGGGTAGAGACAAGGTGGGCACTATGGATGGGTTTCCGCTAAAAACAAGAACTGTGTGACTCTTATGGGGTCCACGTTTTGTAATGCCACTAACAAAGCCCCTACCGGATCAACAATCATGTAGGTTGGAGTGTTGTGCGTGTACATGGGGTGCTCTTGTATCATCCTTGTTCTTTCCGCATCTTCCCCATCAAAAACAAACCCACCAATGGCGGCGTCGCTTACACAATACACAGTAACAACAAGATAAATTAGAGAGAATTGAGTCAAGGTCAAAGGTGTCTTGCACAGCGCGTAGTAGCGGTAGATGAACTGCATCCCCAACGTGGCAATGACCATGTAGAGGCCGGTCAAGTAAAGGGCGCCCATCACCTTGCCGGCGGGATTTGGATAATGGCTGAATGGCCCGAGAGTAATGAAGTACATGAGGCCTCCTTTCACTTCGACTACCTGAAAAATATTGAAGATTTCATATCTCATAGGGAAAATGGTGTTGTTGTTATATGCCATAAGTAAATATTCATACCATCATTGAAGTCAGATTGGTCAAAACATAGACCATGTCCGCGAACATACTCATCAGCACGACCCAACAGTAACTTCGCATAACTCGATTTCGCGTCGTCATGGCCATATAAACTACGAGTCCGTTCAGACTCAAAGAGATGGCGGCCAAAGCTATTTCGTAATGAGCATGATAGTGACGTAGCGTTGTATAGAAGTCAACTTGCTCTTGGCTAACGGTCATCCTGAAAGCTAGCTGGATGGTGGTTAGGACACACGCCAAATCGAGAACCAATTTAATGATCTCCGTTCCACTATAAACGTGAATTCGCACAATGGATTCAGCAACAAACAGTGAAAGGGAATTAAAAACTGTTGTATAGTTATATCACGTGTCAATTTAAGCCATTACACTATGGAAAATTTAAACATGGCGGTCACATACGTAAAATGCGACAAATGTCAGGACTGGGCACGCGAGCGTCGTACTTGGAGAACTGTCCCTGTAACTCCAAAAACAAATCAAAAAACCAAGAAGTTAAGTGCTAAGGAGCTCTCAGCGCGGCTTGTGTTAACGTCGCTCATCTTATACACAAATTATTTCTATAATTGGCTTGCGTATGGGATAAGTGTAAAAGATGAATAAGAAATGTGTACTCTAGTATGCAAGCGCGCGTTTTGATCACCTCATGTTCCCTAGTGATGTCGTAGAGTCTGGCGTTGTTCAAGGAACTGACTTTGGACCTCTTCTTTTCAGAGGTCCAAAGTCTTTATTTCTGGGTTACAGCGGCGTGCTCGAAGTACGACATTCGATTTTTTTAAAAACCTGCACACACGTCAAGTATAGGTAACATGTCAATTCCTCAAAGTTTCTGCTCGCGCTTTGCAGGTGTAGCCGAGATATTCAACGGGTTTTTCCGTTGAGAGAGCGCGCGAAACGCGGATAGTGGTCACAGAGAAAAACACTGTTTAATGGCAGGTTTAAATAAAAAAATTATTTTTTTTGTGGGAAGGTCGTACCTGCAGAGTGCGAGCCAGGAGCCTGGCATATTTCCTAGAAGAGATTATTCTAAATTTGTGCCGAATTTCAACAAAATCCGAACCTCACACTTGGTGTACTTCCCCTGTTAATCACAGTACTTCCTTCAGCATATGAAACAGACGCGCAAAAAGCCAAGGGCGGTCCAAGTGTCCTCCTATATATTACATTTCCCTTCAATGAAGCACACTTCATTTTTTCCTGAGCATAACCACTGCGCAGTGTGCCATAAGAAAAGTATAAGAGGGTATATAACCACCCTTACCTAAGGCTGTGAGAGACCTTAGAAATAACCAAGATCTTATAATTAGCAGTCGTCACTTTGAGTTATTACTTTCTCATACTAACGATAAGAAAGCAAAGATTATGAGGAAGATGTTGCCTCTATCTTTGTCTTATCTATGGTCCCAACAATCCGTGAAATCCGCAAGTGAAACTATGTTATTGTGAAAGAGCCGGAAGGAATTATTGGAAATCTGTTTTTACTCTTTATTATTCAGGCATAAGGAACCATATATCAAGCCAGACTTTTCAACTAAAGATAGCGCATTGTTTTTTATTATCGGTTTTTCTTGTCCTCCCATGCCGCCGCGAACGCAAAGGGCTTTGCCTGGGACAGTAGCCATCAACCGTATTGGACTTCGAGTTCGTACAGTCAATGTTGATCAATTCGAAGCGAGGGGAAGCTTGAAAAAGGAAACGGCGGAGCTAATTTTTAGATACTAGTCGCGCCGTAAAGTCCGTAGAATTTTTTTCGCCGACGTCGCGGGTGCAATTGCCGAAAAGTGCATGTCGCTACTGCAAAAACGGGGAATCGCCGCGGTGCGTGCGAAAAAGGGGTTGAATGCACTGTGCAAAATTCTACGGACTTTATGTCGCGCCTAGTACTAGTCGCGGCAAAAATTTTAAATTTTGGGAATTAAAAGGTTACGGTTCCCTGAATCAGGCGCTTCGCTTTGGAACCATCTGCATAGAATATTCTCGAACTTCGGAGGAAAGCTCGGGGAAACAGTTGACACTTGGGACATCTCTCGCTCGCTCTCTCATTGTCAATCTTACGGGTTTTGGGGAAGCAAGTCCCTATGCGGTACACACTAGGTTAGAACTCTTCGTATGTATATATTTATTCATGTTTGAAAGAAACGTTTCAAATCAGATGGGTTTCATTCGGTTCCATCCGACTTTGCGATGGCGTTTCCGTCGTCTTTCTTGTTATATCGGTCGTGGTAAATGCTCCAGAAGACTTTACTTTAACCTTTCGAAGTGAGAGACAGCTCAGTAATCGTTTTCGGAATGCGGGAATGACAAGAATCATTGTCACGGAGTTGGCAATCGGGATGAGAGAAACGCTTGGCACTAGGTATAACCCACACCAAAGAATATCCAGATGAAGCTGGGTAAAGCCTGTGGCCATTAGAACCGGACAGCCGACGATGATCGCCGGATAGGTAGCCTGGAAAAGATTCAATTCCTGACATTTCCAATTTAACAAGGCTATAGATGACGTATGTATTTGACCCACCTGTAAAATCATAACTCTGTTGAGTTGTCTTTGAGCATCTCTGGTTGAACTACTCATGGTCTCTGAAGCTTTCTTTAGCTTCTCATTGATCTTTCTACTCGTATAGATGACCACAACATACACCACTACAACAATCAGCTGACTAAAGACGAGGTGGACACTATGGCTGGGTTTCCGCTGAAAACAAGAGCTGTGTGACTCTTCGGGGGTCCACGTTTTGTAATGCCACTGACAAAGCCCCTACCGGATCAACAATCATGTAGGTTGGAGTGTTGTGCGTGTACATGGGGTGTTCTTGTATCATCCTCGTTCTTTCCACATCTTCCCCATCAAAAATAAACCCACCAATGGCGGCGTCGCTTACACAATACACAGTAACAACAAGATAAATTAGAGAGAATTGAGTCAAGGTCAAAGGTGTCTTGCACAGCGCGTAGTAGCGGTAGACGAACTGCATTCCCAACGTGGCAATGACCATATAGAGGCCGGTCAAGAAAAGGGCGCCCATCACCTTGCCGGCGGGGTTTGGATAATGGCTGAATGGCCCGAGAGTAATGAAGTACATGAGGCCTCCTTTCACTTCGACCACCTGAAAAATATCGAAGATTTCATATCTTATAGGGAAATGGTGTTATACCATCATTGAAGTCAGATTGGTCGAAACGTAGACAATGTCCGCGAACATGCTCATCAATACCACCCAACAGTAACTTCGCATTACTCGATTTCGCGTCGTCATGGCCATATAAACTACGAATCCGTTCAGACTCAAAGAGATGGCGGCCAACGTTATTTCGTAATAAGCATGATAGTGGCGTAGCGTTGTATAGAAGTCAACTAGCTCCTGGCTGACGGTCATCCTGAAAGCTAGCTGGATGGTGATTTGAGGACACACGTTAAATAGAAAACCAATTTAACGATCTACTGTTAACGTAACTCGCACAATGGATTCGGCAACAAACAGTGAAAGGGATGTACAAACTGTTGTATAGCTGTACCACGTCTCAAGGCCATTACACTGCGGAAAATTTAACAGTGACGCTCACATAAGTAAAATGCGACAAATGCCAGGACTGTAAATACGTCGCTCATCTTATACACAAATTATTTCTATAATTGGCTTGCGTATGGGATAAGTGTAAAAGATGGATAAGAAATGTGTACTCTAGTATGCAAGCTCACGTTTTTGATCACCTCATGTTCTTCGGCTAGTGACGTCGTATAGTCTGACGCTGTTCAAGGAAGTGACTTTGCAGCTCTTCTTTTCAGAGGTCCAAAGTCTTTATTTCTGGTTTACAGGGCAGTGCTCGAAGTACGATGTTCAAATTTTTATAAAAATTTGCACACACGTCAATCATAGGTTGCAAAGCAATTCTTCAAAGTTTCTGCTCGCGCTTTGCAGTCGCGGCCGAGGTATCGAACAATCTTTGCCGTGGAGAGAGCAAGCAAAACGAGGATAGCGGTCACAGAGAAAACACTTACTGGCCATACCTTTGGCAGGTTCGTAGGGAAAAATTAATTTTTTGTAGGAGCATTGCTTCCTACGGCAGAAGCTCGCAAGAAATTGTCGCATTTCTGCCAACATTCGGTCCAGAGATCTCGGTAATATCTGCAAAGTGCGAGCTAGGAATCTGACGCATTTCATCGAAGAGATTATTCTAAATTTGTCCCGAATTTCAAAAAAATCCGAGCGTCACACTTGGTGTACTTCCCCTGTTAATTGCACTAGTTCTACGGCATATCAAATGGACGCGCAAAAAGCCGAGGGTGTTCGTATACGTCTTTGATAGCTTTGTTCAAGCGTTCGGTCGATAATTCAACTCTACGCTATAAGTTTCTATTCAACCGCGGTATCCGACGCCTTCCTTAATTCAAATCAATTAAAGTCAGCTCAAAAAAAATACATTGAAGCATCGCAATAGCGATCTGTCCAAATGTCCTTCTATAACGCTTCCCTTCAATGAAACACACTCAATCTTTTTCCTGAGCGTTATCACTGCGCAGTGTGTCATAAGTAAAGTGAAAGATAGCATACAACCATCCTTACCTAAGGCTGTGAAAGATCTTAGCAATAACCAAGATTTTACTATTAGCTGACGCCACTTTGAGTTATTACTTTTTCATACTAAGGGTAAGAAAGCAAAGATTATAATTATATATGAGGAGGATGTTGCCTCTATCTTTTACTTATCTATGGTCCCAACAATCCGTGGAATCCGCAAGTGAGACTATGTTATTGTGAAAGAGCCGGAGGGAATTATTGGAAATCTGTTTTTACTTCTTTTTATAAAGGCATAAGGAACCACAAATCTCGATCTAGACTTTTCAACAACAGAGAGCGCATTGTTTTTGGCCGCAGAAATAAAATTATGACTATAAATATAACAATTAATTGGTGTCCTTAAGACTATTACAAAACCTATGGCCTAAGAGTGCAATAATTTCGCAGAATTGGAAATAATGTTTTTCAGTATTTCAGGGAAATCATGTGGATTCGGGGCGTGTTGGAATTTCCCGTCATTGCTTTGCGGCAACTAGGGAGGATGGCGCGCGACTTCTCCACGTTATTTCCCCGACAAACGGATATATCAATACTAGTCGCGCCATAAAGTCCTGACACATTTTGTCGCGGGTGTCGCGCGAGAAAAGTGGCAAGTGTGAAAGTGCATGTCGCTAGTGCAAAAACGGGGAATTGCCGCGACGGGTCCGAAAGAAAAACAAAATGCACTGTGCAAATGTGTCAGGACTTTATGTCGCGACTAGTATACCAGTCTGTCGGGAAAATAATGAGCTCAATGTCGCAGCTCCAATCGCGTCGCTGAAGCAGTCTGATTTTGCCGCGACACAATTCATTTTCTCGGCGCCGATGCGATTTTCAATAAGACAGAGCGCTCATTATTTTCCCGACAAACCGATAAGGTCATGTTGAGTTTTTCGAAGCATATTTATTGCGACATAACCCCTTGCAAGACAAAAATTTGCACACACAAAAAAATTCGAAAGTTCGTTACAATCTTAAACTAGGTGCTCGAAAGTATCATGATTATCCGATTCCGTATTGGTCTTGAAAACGTTGGACTGCTCCGTAGGGAAGGGTTTGGACACTGATCGGACAAAGATCCGGTTTTTGAAACTCCCAAGAATCCGCCGACGGAACGAGGGGATCAAAAAGAGAATGGTCAATGAATTGGCGATTGGAATCAGGGAGATGGAGGGTACCAGATACATCCCACACCATCGCATGTTGAATTGAAGTTGAGCCAGAATCGTCGCCATAATTATGGGCAATGCGACGATGACGGCTGGATATGCGGCCTGAAATGGAGGGACGGTATGAGCGTCTCGACTTTTCAAGTAGACGACGTATCATAATCGTTCGATACGAAGCTTAGGAAAGGTGGAGAATAAAAGAAAAAGTTATGGGAGGTGATTACAAGGCCTAGAAAAGCCGTATGACCCTGAGCGAAGGCTCGGTGGAGAATCGGCAAAGGATTACAATATGACAACTTATGCTAGCGTTAGTTAGGTCATGGGAGGTGTTTACTCGGCCTGGCAAAGCCACAGGACGCTCAGCAAAGGCTCGGTGGAGGCTTACGGTATGACCAACTTTCTAATTTTAGTTATTGCTAGACTTAGTTTTCTTGACCCTGAACGGACATACGCTGTTGAAAATTTCGCTCTGTGTGCCTAATTCCTCGCCATGAGAATAAAAAGCAAAGGGGTTTTGCGTACCTGCAGTATCATAACTCTGTTCAGTTGTTTCTGCGCGTCTCTCGTCGAGGTTGTCATAACTCCATCCGCCTCTTTCAACTTTTGCCCAATTCTCTTTCCAGTGTAATAAATCACGGCATACACCCACACGACAATCATCTGACTGCAGAATGTGTGAATCGACTGCGCCAGTTTGCTCTTAAATGTATTAAGACATGGATTTTTCAACCTATCGCGCTTACCGGATCGTCAATCATATAGCCGGGCGTGTCATTCGAATACATGGGATGCTGTTGAACCATTTTTGTGTTCTCCTCGCTAATACTCTCAAAAATAAAGAAACCGCTGAAGCTGTCGGCAAAGCAAACACACAAGCCAACCATGTAAATCATCGCGAATTTTGTTGGAGGAAGTGGCTCTTTGCACAATGCATAATACCGATAGATGAACTGCATTCCAAGCGTGAGGATTGTGGTGTACATCCCGCCCAGCCATAGGCAGCCCATGATCATGTTGAAGGGGTGACCGTAATGCTCGAATGGGCCCATGTTTAGAAAGACGAGCTTTCCACCCATAACTTCTACGGTCTGTAAAGTGGAATATCATCCTGTCGGGAAAATAATGAGCACAATTTTGCAGCGTCAAAAAAGTGAAAGGAAATTTGATTTTGCCGCGACACAAAAATGTACCATTTTGCATCCGGGAAGTATCAAAAATGCGGCAAAATACTTCCCTCTCCAAGTGAAAAAAAACTTTTTTTTGAAGGGCGAGCCTAAAAAAGAACGGACGCGCTTTTCAAATCTGAGTTTTTTCACTTGGAGAGTGAGGTATTTTGCCACATTTTTTGATGCTCCCTGGGTGCAAAATGGTACGCTTTTTTGCCACTGGATCTGGGGCCCCACTGTAGTTATTTCATAATTCAACTTACCATCATTGTAATAAAGTTGATTCCAGTGTAAATAAAATCGCCGCACATGCTTATCAACACCACCCAACAATAATTTCTCATCACTCGATTCCGTGTTGTGAGGACGAGATACATTACCCAGCAGTTGAGGATCACCGACAATGCGGCCAAAACGATCTCGTAGTATAGATGGAATTTCCGAACGTTGCTGTAGAACTTGAGGGCAGCCTCATCATCTGGCATAATTTCCATTCGAAATCCCGGAGGAAGTACTGTAATTTAACCGAGGCAAAGCTTTTTGTAATACTGTAATGAAACCGAGAAAAAATTCTTATAGTAAGACTGCCAAATCTTCTGATATCCTTCATTAATAAGTCTGATTATCACCAGTATAGCTTGTTTCGATAAAGGAAATAAAGCCGGATTAAGAGTTTCTTACCCTTACTGATCCACCAAAGATCTTAGCCGGAGAAAGGAATTGTTTACTTGCACAGAACATAGTATATAATACATAATATAAGCGCCTTATACCTTTATAAGGTATTAGCCCGGTCTATTCAGAAGGTTAGTAAAGATTCAACGGTGTCTTGTGACTCAATTTTTTCCCGTTCTCCGTACTGTGCGTACTCTCTTGTTGACGTATCAGTCTGTCGGGAAAATAATGAGCAGTAGAGCCTTTATACCATCAACGAGACAAAGGCAAGTGTACTAAAGAGAATATTCCAAGTGAGACGTCCAAATGACCGGTCTTTTCATTTGATGCGGAATGCCAATTGAGGCGGAACGACCGGGCTTCGAGGATTTTCCCGCGAGGAACGATCTCCATTTATTCAAATTTGATTGTACTTTCCTACGTGGGGCTTCCCTATAAAAGGCCTCCTTTCCACTGAATAAATCACTTGACTATTGAGCTCTCGTCTTGTCTCGTTACTGAGCTGTCGGGCCTTTTGACAGCCAATTAGCGGGGGTGTTTTCGTGGCGGTATGCAAACGAGAGCTGGCTGGCAGGGAATTAACTGAAGGTCCTGCTGGGGTGTGTCTGTTCCTGCTGAGCACGCCGTCGCATCGAACATCGCGTCATCGCCGGGAAAATTAATTGTATCGCGACAAAATCAAATTGCTTTCCTCTTCAGCGACGCTATCAGCGCAGAAACTTTGTGGTCATTGTTTTTCCGACAGAATGATAAGAAGATATTTTTTATAAATGAAACCAACGATTGCAACTTTATTTTCACCCAACAAAACCTATATAACATGTTCGAACGCATGGCTGACGCCACTGCCAGCTTCCGCCGTATGTCCCTTCGACGCGTCCGTGGAGCCCAGTTTCGAGACGGATTTGGTCTGGATCCGGCTCTGGATCCCTCCCAAAATCCGTCTTCGGAACGAAGGGATAAAGAAGAGTATCGTGACCGAATTAGCGATAGGAATTAGGGATATGGAAGGTGCCAAGTACATGCCGCACCAAAGAACGTCGAAGCGGAATTGCGCCAATACGGTGGCAATGACAATGGGTAGTGCCACGATGAGTCCTGGATATGCGGCCTAGAAAAAATTTTTGAAAGATCGTATCTTATAGTTCACAAGGGAAGTGAACCAAGTGCGACGCTCGGATTTTCTTTATACTTTTAACACATAGCAGGCATAGGCTACATATAAAAACTTTAAATTTTTAACTGGCGCTTTGCAGAGGCTGCCGAGATATTCAACGATCTTTAAGACCGAGAGAGTACGGCAAACGCAGAGAGTGGTCAAAGACAGCCCAGTTGTTGGTCATACGACTTTGTAAAGGCGGAGAAGGGTCATAGAGAAGGGCCTGTTTCGTGTGTAAAAAATTGATTTTTTGTGGAAGCATTACCTCCTGCCGTACGAAACAGGCTTTGATCTTTTCATGCCAAAATTACATAGCAAAAAAACAGGCGTTTTTTGTCATCATTCGACCCGAAAATCCCGGTAGTTCTTGCAAAGCACGAGCTTCAAGTCTCGCATATGGCTTAGCAAAAACTATACTAAATTTTTACTTGTTGTTATGTATAATAGTTTTATCAAAATCTGAGCGTCGCACTTAAAGCACTCCCCGATGTAAATACATATTATATTTAGATGCATCGCCTACCTGCAGAATCATGACTCTGTTCAACTGCTTCTGAGCATCTTTTGTTGAGCTGCTCATATCACCCGCCGCATCGTTCAATTTCCGACTTATTCTCTTTCCAGTGAAGTAGATGACCACATACACGAACACGATTATCAGTTGACTGCAGAAGGTATGAGCCAACGCGGCTGGTTTGGTCTGGAAATTGGCATGCTTTTATTCAGTCGGAATGTTATGAGTGCAATGTCGCTGCCCCGGTCGGCGAGCGCACACTTGCGGGCAACCACTTTGCGGGCAACCAGTTTGCGGGCAAATTTTTTTTTTCCAAAAGTTCCTATACAGTCTGTGTGACTCTTTTTTTCTGTTGCCCGCAAATGTCGGCTGCCCGCAAGTGTCGGTTGCCCGCAAGTGTCCCATGCTGCCCGCAAATGTCTCAGCTGCCCGCAAATGTGACCCTCCAAATTTTGCCCGCAAAGTGGCTGCCCGCAAGAAATCTGCCCGCAAAGTGGTTGCCCGCAAGTGTCGCGACGCCCCCCGGTCGTGTTGCTAAAGCGAAAAACAATTTGTTTTTGCCGCTTTTCAATGCGACAGCGTGCTCATTATTTTTCCGACAGATTGGTAGTATTTTCACAAAGTTCTTGGACATTTGTCGCCGCGCTCATTTTGCACCAAGCGTTTCACTTTTTTCGCGACCGTCGCGACGACACTGCGGTCATTATTTTCCCGACAGACTGATATGAGAATATTTACTATTACAGGGTGTTTCAAGAAATTTGGCAGAAACTAGTTGCGAATATTTTTGAGCTCTTGCTAGTTATCGCAGAAATTCTTTTTGTTTCTAAAATTTGACAGCGGGCGGTTTTGTACTGAACAAAAAAAATTTTTTCGTCGGCGGAGAGGCCAGTTCTCGGCGGAGGCATTTGGGGCCTTTTTTAAAAATCACACCTTATTACATCGTGGAAACTCTGTTGCAGTGGCCAAAATCATGTTTACGTTAAACCTCCGTGGATTTTGCGGTATGCTTTTTTTGTTTTCGATTTTCGCTCATCCGCGGAGGCACGGCGGAGACCTCAGGTTTCGGCGGACGTCGTTTTGAGCCTTTGGATCATTCAATTCAGGTTGGAAAAAAGTGTGGGGTGATTTTTTGTTGTCACCCGATGCACAGATGCAAAAATTTCGCACTTTTTTTCCCCGGCGGAGGATTCGGCGGAGGCTTTACCAAAGGGTCGGAACAGTCTTAGGAGTCCGGGAAAAAACTCAGCTACAAGAATCCATCACAGCAACACCATTTTTCTTATTTTTTGATCCGGCGGACACATCGGCGGAGGTTTCGGCGGAGGCTTTATCAAAAGAGTCAAAATTTTGTTTTGACCCTTTGAGAAAGCCTCTGCCGAATCCTCAGCCGGGGGAAAAAAGTACAAAATTTTTGCCCTCTGTGCATCGGATGACAACAAAAAATCGCCCCAACCTTTTTTTCAACATGGATTTGCAAAAACCGAGGGCCCAAAACAAAGTCCGCCGAAATCTGCGGTCTCCGTCGCGCCTCCGCGGATGTTGCGTAAAATCGAAAACGCAAAAAAAAGCATACCGCAAAATCCACGGAGGTTTAACGTAAACATGATTTTGGCCACTGTAACAGAGTTTCCACGATGTAATAAGGTGTGATTTTTAAAAAAGGCCCCAAATGCCTCCGCCGAGAACTGGCCTCTCCGCCGACGAAAAAAATTTTTTTTTTGTTCAGTACAAAACCGCCCGCTGTCAAGTTTCAGAAACAAAAAGAATTTCTGCGATAACTAGCAAGAGCTCAAAAATATTCGCAACTAGTTTCTGCCAAATTTCTTGAAACACCCTGTATAATACACGCCGATCACGTCGGCTCCCTACTGGTTGCCAATGCCCTCCCGCTTACCGGATCCAAAATCGCATATCCCGGAGTGTCCTCCTTGTACATGGGATGCTCTTGCAGCAATTTTGTCGCTTCCAATGATATCCCGTCAAAGATGAAGAACCCAACAAATCCGTCGCAGAGACAAATTATCAGTCCTACACAATAAATTGAACCGAACTCCCAAGGAGTTAGACCATTGCGACAGAGCGCAAAATAACGGTAAATGAACTGCATTCCAAGTGTCAGAATGGTGGTGTACATGCCGGCAAGCCACAAACAGCCCATGATCAAGTTGTAGGGATAACCATAGTGCTCGAAGAGGCCCATTGTTAGAAAGACGAGCTTTCCACCTTTGACTTCAACGGTCTGTAATGTGAAATAAATTTTACTTCTTTCACAGATCGAGCCATCCAAGGTTTTTGTGAGCACTGTTGTGGAGCCTAAAAGGTCTCCGAAATTCCCACGGAAATTAGCATAAACGGCGTTATACAAAAGGAACACTTTATCATCAATTAGCTCATTATCTTCTCCGGTTGTTCCCGTAGACGTGAATAAAAGAAACTTGTGTTTTCGCGTGTGTATTTGTCCCCAACGATCGGTGGTCTAAACGTCCCCCGACACCCCTTCAACGTTGAGCTCCACTTCAACACTATGACGGACAAGACTTTAATGGAATGAAGGTTTCACTTGCATACTTCATCGGACGCGGAAACGGACTTAGCTTATGCAAATTCCCATCTTCTATAGCTTAGTATTTCAAACGGCCTTTCAATATAGCTTATTTCAAATAGGCGCGGCCCGATAACTAGTTTTACAAACTAGCTGAGAGTTTTAATATCGATCTGTCGGGAAAATGATGAGCACTTTGTCGCATCGAAAAAAATGCCTAAAAATGAATTGTGCCGCGGCAAAATCAAAGTGTTCAGCGACGCGACTGGCCCAGCGACATTGTGCTCAGTATTTTCCCGACAGACAGATATGCCACACCGCGCGATGCTCACATTTTTTCAAAACTATCGGTACATTATACTCCCTATATTTATCAGAAGCTTACGTAAAGCCTTCGCCAAAATTTTTAAAATACGTCCATGTCGATATAGAGGAAATTTCTGATATATATATATATATATATAACATTCCACTTACCATCATAGTAATAAAGTTCAGCCCAGTGTAGATCAAATCGCCCATCATGCTCATCAAGATGACCCAACTATAGCTTCTCATCACTCTATTTTTCGTTGTAAAAACAAGATATACAACCCATCCGTTGAGGCACAAGGAAACTGCGGCCAAACCGATTTCATAGTACAAATGAGATCGCCTGGCGCTGGCGTAGAATTGCTGTATCGCCGCGTCGGTGACTATAGCCATCGCAGAATGAGAAAGTAAAAATTTCAATTGAGGTATTGGCCTTGGTAGTAATTTTTCGAGATTACTCAATTACTGAGAATTAAAGTACCAGCTCAGACGCTACTTTCTGAAGACATCCGAGAGTTAAGAAAGTAAGAGTTAAGTCGACGAGGACTAATCTTACTTGTTAGGGCTCGTAATAGGTTACTCACTAAAGGCAGAGAACCAGCACTTTTGAATCGCACTTTTTACGGCGTGGGAGACGAAATGCCAAAAAGTTTTTTATGTTATTTCCTAAAAACAGTCTACAAAATCGTCTACAGAAAAATAATTATTAGTATGTGCGCAGAATTCAATGAACCGTTGTAGTTTCGGACTTCAGATCGGTCGCATTCGTCGTCAAAACTGAACCCATCGACTTGCTGCCAACTCCGATTCGCTTCCGGAACGATGGGATTACCAGCAGGACTGTGATGGCGTTGATGACGGGGATTGTGGAAACAGAAGTCACCAGATACATCCCAGTCCATGCGGCGTCCATTTTGAGTTGCGCCATGACTGTGGCCACAACCACTGGGAGGCCGACGATAACTCCGGGATATGTGGCCTTCAAAAATGGATGTTATAAGTTTGCTATCAGTCTGTTGGGAAAATAATGAGCAATTTGGCGCAGAAGAATATCTCGCCTCATCGCTCACCAAATGCCCAGCCGTTTCTACCTGTCGCGAAGTGATGATGGGCGATTCCAAGACGCGACAAACCCGCTTATTTTCCCAGACTGGTCACTTCGTGTCAGACTGTCGGGAAAATAAAGAGCACTCAGTCACATCGAAAATTGCATCGCCGCCGGGAAAATGAATTGTGTCGCGGCAAAATAATTTTTTTCACTGCAGCGACTCGATTGGCCCAGCGGACTTGTGCTCATTATTTTGCCGACAGACTGATAATGACCTTGACGTGCCGCAACTTTTCGGGTTGACACAGTTCGGGTCAACAAAACAATTTGTAGAAGATGCCTACGAGGCCTGGCAAGCCGTTGCATGCCGTATTTGGGCTTGGGATCTTATACAAAACCTAGAATAGGGACCCTCAAACTACGTGTTCTAACCCAGCTCGTAACACTAAGCCTACTGATTGCCGTCGCCATCATGCAACGACAAATCGAGGCAACCCAAAGTACAGTCGAACCGAACTGGCATTGATCCGGAAAGCCGTAGCGCCGGCTTTTGACATCAAATAAAATGAATCCAAAGCAGAAAATTCCACTTGCCTGCAAAGCCATGACCTTGTTCAATTTTTTCTGCGCCTCTTTAGTGCTTTTGCTCATACTGAGGTCACCAGAATGCAGGACCTTATGAATCTTCCTTCCAGTATAAATGATGATCACATACAGAACGACGACCGAAAGTTGACTGCTCGCAAAGTGGACAATAGGCCCCAGATTTTCCTAGAAAACAATAATAATCCAAATTTTGCCCTTTTATGACAATGTATTCGAAGAAATGCTCCTACCGTATCACCTGTGACAAAGGTCGGGGTGTTGAAGGAGTACAACGGATGCCCTTGAAGGGTTCTGGTATCCGCTTCGTTTGCCGGCTCAAAACAAAGGAAAGCCGCGAATCCCTGGCCAATGCACCAAGTCATCCCCAAGCAATATGTGAACACAAACCTGGTTGCGCTCAGTCCACTTTTGCACAACGCATTGTACCGATAGACAAATTGAACCATGATTGTCATGATCGTGACGTACATTCCAGTCAGCCACAGCGCGCACATCAACATGTTGTAGGGGTAGGCGCTGTGAATGAAGGGTCCGGTGGTGATGAAATACATCTTCCCAGCGCGAATTTCAACAATCTGAAGAGTAATGGGGATGATATGGGGAAGTCCTCTCAAAGCGGCAATAGTACGCTTTGAAGTTAAAAGCGACTTTTCGGGTCAGCGACAGTTCTTTCGTCGTTTTTTCATGGCGGATGCTAGGAACGCGTGAGTGATAGTGATGATAAGACAAAGTCACGTTCTAGGATAGTCTGACACGATATTTTACCTGTTTCTACACCTATTAGTCCCTTTGGGGCTAGGGTAGTACAACCCCAGTCCAGTTCAGCCCTCACATGACCCAGTTAAACCCCTCGATCCAATCTGAAGTGCCTACTCGGGATTGGGTTCTCTCGGCTACGATCATCGTTGCCTGAACTACAAGAACGAATTTGGACAGTAACTGGGGGTTTGAGCTAAACGCCGCGGGTCGTTTTACTCAAATTTGCATTTTTTGTATTATTCTAATTTTTTCATTATGGGGGGTGCGAAATGGACAAAACAGTGGGGGTTTGAACTACCTTTCATCGGGGGCTGAACTACCAAAGCCCCCGTCCCTTCGCAAAAATCGCTGGAGTGATTTCCGCCATTGACTTGCAGACTTGTACAATATCCAGGAAAAAAACTTACGGATGTTTGTGTAAAACTAGGATCAACTATCGAAAAAATTAAAGAAATAGTCATGTTATGTATTTTCCAAGTCTCCGCGGAGCCTTTGCCGACGGTTCGCAAAGCTTCCAACGGCTTAGCCAAGCCTCGTAGGCACATCCTACAACATTCCTCTGGGCCTACGCCTGCCCTACACCTCGTAACGATCGATCTTGTATAGACCCGAACTGTTGTCGACCCGAAAATTCAGCACTTAATCAAACACACCATCATAGTTACAAGGTTCATTGCGGTGTACAAAATGTCGCCCAGCACACTCATCAACAAGATACGACAATAATTCCTTGTGGTTTGGTTCTTCATCGTCAACGCCAAATACACCACGATGCCATTGAGAGAAAACGAGACTGTAGCCAGCACCAGTTCGTATACGAAATGAATCTCTCGTATCGCTACAAACAGTCGGTCATTCTCAACCATTTCGCTGACATTCATTCTGAATGACTCACAAAGATGTCATGTACAAGTATGAATAAATTGAGACGATGAAAATAGCAATGAAATACTTTCTTCACAATCTCACCTAATAAGATCCTCCCTAGTACGACCAACAAACAGGATGAGAATCTGTTTTTCGAGACTTATCGCGTGTGTCTTGGACATGTTTTTCCTCCCTGCTTTTGTCTGCAGTTGTTACCGGAAAGTATTTGCATGGATGACAAAAGTGTGGATATATATTTACATGTTTGTAGTAGCTTATAATAGTCCGTGCAAAGTCATTGGAGCCTTTTTTTGCACTGTGGAGTGAAGCCGCGGCAACAGCTCTTGGCCCGCAGCTATGTAACAAAAAACAGGGGAGTTTACTGTCTTTCATTGTTATGCGGAATTAGCAACAGTAAAAAGCATCCAAATCGGTTGTAAAGTATCAGCCTGCCTATTAGCATTTTCATAAAGTGCATGGACTTTTGCACTGTGCATATCGCTTTCTTCGCGCGACACGATCCTTTTCAAAACATTTTTGCACGGTGCAATTGTCTCAAGTTTCGCGGCGGCGCAATGGAAAAAAGCTTGTGTCGCAGCGATTTTGTTTGAGAAATCAAATTGCACTGTGCAGTCGACCTTTTTCTTGCACAGTGCGGCGAGCGACGAAAAGTCCATGCACTTTATGAAAATGCTAATAGAAAATGTAAGCGCAAAGTCGCTGCGCCGATCCCGTCGCAACTGAAAGACAATTTGCTTTTATCGCGAGACAATTCATTTTCTCGGCGGCGATGCGATCTTAGATGCGACAGGATGTTCATTATTTTCCCGACAGACTGATAGTTTCAGAGTTATTAAGCTGACGTGAGTTCGACTTGTTTAGTTTTTATTATCTTTCGTTTAAATTGTATATAAATTAGTTTGATTACTCTCTCAATTCATTTAGTACAACTCCTTACTGGCCTCATTACGTGATCGACGAGAATAGTTGGGCAGGTAAAAATAAGAAAGAAAGATTAGAAAGTAATTCTTTGGGTTACATACATACTAGTCTGTCGGGAAAGCAATGGGACTGCGACAATTTGCTCATCATTTTCCCGACAAACTGATAATATACTTAGAAATCAATATAAATGATAAATAATAGACCAGATGTTAATTACTGCAACGTAGACAAAAATATTGCGCTTTTACCAAGCTAGCCCAAACTTCAATGCATCATGGTGTGATCAGCTCTAGACGAAGTCTCTGGAACGGTCGAAATAGCTGAGGTTGTGACATTGCCACTGCCCATAATCCTCTTCCGGAACGATGGGATAACCAGAAGAACGGTGATGGCGTTGATGATCGGGATTGCCGAGATTGATGGGGCAATGTACATCCCGCTCCAAGATACGTCCATTTTGAGTTGAGCCATAATCGTGGCCAGCAAAACAGGAAGGCCCACAATTAGACCTGGATAGGTCGCCTAGAATAGGTTGAAATTACCAACACTTTCTTAAGCTTTGGCAAAGAATGACCATTTTTTGCAACGAACGTCTTACCTGCAACGCCATGACTTTATTCAACTTCTTTTGGGCGTCTTTCGTATTCGTACTCATATTGAGTGTGTCGGAATTCAAAACCTTTTGTATTCTCCTTCCAGTGGTCACGATTATAACGTATAAAACTACAATCGATATTTGACTGCAGCAGAAATGCAGAATCGGTCCCAAATTGGCCTGAAATCAAAGATAAATACAAGACGAATTGGTAGTAAAAATCTACAAAAAACTCTTTAAAAATTCGGCATGACTTTCGTACCGTATCACCCGTGACAAACGTCGGTGTGTCGAAAGACTATAACGGATGTCCTCGAAGGATTATCGTGTCCGCTTCGTTTGCGGGCTCAAAACACACAAAAGACGCGAATCCCTGGCCCACGCACCAAGTCATTCCCAAACAGTACAATAATGCAAATTTGGCGACACTGAGCCCATTCTTGCATAATGCATAGTATCGATAGACAAATTGAACCATGATTGTCATGATTGTGACGTACATGCCAGTCAGCCAAAGGGCACACATCAACATGTTGTTGGGGTAGGTGCTGTGAATGTAGGGGCCGGTGGTGATGAAATACATCTTGCCGGCGCGGATTTCAACAATCTACAAAGAGTGGGAGTTTTAACGCTGATGATTGGAAGAGGCAAAAAAACAGAATTTTTTGAGCTTACCATCATGGTGACAAAGTTGAGAGCCGTGTAAATCATGTCCCCCATGACGCTCATCAACAGGATACGACAGTAATTCCTCGTGTTTTTGCTCTTCATTGTCAAAGCGAGGTAGACAACAACTCCATTCAGAAGGAATGAGATGCTAGCCAGAACCAGCTCGTAAAGAAAATGATAATGCCGGATGGCGGCAAACAAAGGGTCAGGTTGACTAGCCGGTGAAATTGTAGAGTTTATCATCTTTGACTAAGACTGAAAGTTGCGGTTATTTGAACGAAGTGAGACTAGTGTTGAAAGGCCCGACAACCTAGTAGCGAATCAAGGCGAGAGCTCAAGAGCCAAGTGATTTGTTTAATGGAATTTTGAAGCACACGTTGGTCTTTTTTTTATATGTTAAAATAAGCTAAAATCAGAAAGAGTGGACATATTGCAAGTCTCCGCCAAGCTTTCACCTTGCGTCCGCCGAGCATCCAACAGCTTTGGTAGGCCTCGTAGGCACTTCATAAACTTTTTTTTGGCTATCCACTATACTCTCTGGAACATACAGGCACGATTGAAAACAATACACCGTAAAGTACACCTAATTTTTCCCATCTTTTTACAGATATAACTTCGAGAACGTCCTTAGAAAACAAAGACGACACCATCTCCCTCTTACTCACAGTCCCCAATTACGACACATCCATCAGCATCTGCTCTTATATACGTACCACACATGTGTTGTTTGACGTTCTTAGAATATTGGACCCGTTCGTTCACCATCCAACACTAACGTCAGTGTAGCGGGTAAAAGAGATTATCTGTCGCAAAGAGAAAGTACTTCTTGGGGGAAGTTCTTAGACGTAGGCTTCCGTTATATACCGCAGTAATAATTTTTTAGCTACAATACAGTAGGAGATGCCAGATTCCACGGAAGCTGGAGTTATCCACGCTGTGTCAACTTGATGGAATTTATGGAGAGAGAGACGTCCCCCGTGTCAACTGTTTCTCTAGCTGATTTTCCCCGATGTTCGAGAATGTTCGATGGAGAGATCCCGAATCGGAGCGCCTGAATCACAGCACCGAACCATCTCTGAGGTTTTATCCCGTTTTGATCAGTGGAGGTAGTAGTTGTGTAATTGTATTGAAGTTTGTATTGTGTGTTGTTGTTGAGTATTGTTGAAACGTTGTGTTTCGGTATTGCATTGTATTGCTATTTTAATCTATTGTATTTGTTACTCTTTTGATAAATTGATCTATTCGAGTTGAGTATCATTTATTCTCGTGTTTATTTCCAATGGGAACGAAATCATTCGATTACCCGATTTCCACATCCGCAACCTTCTACTTGGAAGGCCAAGTATTTTCAGGTGGAAGGTGTTGGAAGTAATCGACTGCAGAGACCACCGCAGGACAACTAGCCAGCCCGTTATTTTTTCTATCCGAAGGTGGAAACGGATAGGAGACATTAAATTAAAGCATTTTTTGGGTTGTCCGGCCATAGGTTGAGATACGGCGCCAAATAATAAACAAAATTCCAGACGAATATTCAATTATGACCATGGAAAATAAATTTGGCACTCTCGACAAGCTGTAACATCAAGAAAACGACTGTCCTGTACTAGCCCGTTTGCAAAGTTGCTGGAGTGATTTTCGCGACATGCACTGTGCGAAACAAAAGCTTATCTTTCACTTTGCAATTTCTTGCTTTTTGCAATCTTTTTCTTCCCGGACATCGGTCCGTTTTTCCTGTCAACCCATATCGTTGCGGCCACAAATGACTTCGCCTGGGACAGTAGCTGTTCATCGTAATGAATTTTAAGTTCCTACTGTCAATTTTAGATCCATCTAAAACGAGGGAAAATTGGGGCAGTTCAGGAAATTGTTGGAAACGGAAGTGAGCAGCATGAATTCGATATCGCCTTATACACGACGGCTTGGGCGCTTCAGGATGAGATAGATTGACGATGTTGGCAAGAATTATGGCCTCTGCTAATTTTTGCCCTGACTGGACAGTGGAAACCATTATGATTCGCTTCACGTTTTTCTTGCAATGGTTAGCATAAATAAATATAAATAGAAATTGCGGCTTTTTGGGCTGTCGCTCGCACACTGACTTTTTCTGCACAGTCGCAAAAATCACTCCAACGACTTATGACTTGTCGGGAAAATAATATGCACTTGTCGCAGTAAAATTTCTTGTCGCAGTCGCGCACCAAACCCCTCGTCGTTGCTAATCGCCGCAAAAGCGATGATGGAGAATTCCAAAGCGCGGCGAATCCGCATTATTTTCCCGACAGACTGAGAATAAAAATAGCTTTTTTTAGCCACAGTGACATGCTCTCTACGCACTTTATGAAACTACTAATAACAATTAAGAATATTCTCATCATTCTCAGCTCTGGCGTTGACTTTCGCAATTGATGTCCAATGTAAATGTAACACCTTGTGATCAACCTTGGAGGAGGTATCATGGCCGGTGGAAGTCAGTGCGGTCGAGACTTTACTGCCCAGAATCCTCCGTCGGAACGATGGGATGACCAACAGAACGGTGAACGCGTTGATAATTGGGATTGTGGAGATTGATGGAGCAAAGTACATCCCGCTCCAAGACGCGTCCATTTTGAGCTGAGCCATCGCTGTGGCAAGCACAACGGGAAGGCCTACAATTAGACCGGGATAGGTCGCCTAGAACACGATGAAATTATTATACAACCGCTTTCTTGAACTTTGACCAAGAATGAGCCGTGTTTTCCCAACAAATATCTTACCTGCAATACCATGACTTTATTCAATTTCTTTTGGGCGTTCTTCGTATTCTTGCTCATATTTAGTGTGTCGGAATTCAAAGCCTTATGTATTCTCTTTCCAGTGGTCACGATTATAACGTATAAAACGACAACTGATATCTGACTGCAGGCAAAATGGAGAATCGGCCCCAGGTTGGCCTGCAAACAACCATCATCAAAAAATCAGCGTTTTTTCGGTGCAAAATGTCTCGCCTCGCCGCAGTTCCGCACCAAATCTGCTAGCCGCTAGTGGCCACAAGGCGATGATTATAAGTTTCAAGAATCCACAAAATTTTCTAGAAAGTGTGATACGTGTTTCCTAATAATTATTTTACTGTTTGCAAACTTGCCGTTTTTGTTCTATAGGACATAAAGAAAGTTTGCCATTTCGTTTCCTAAGCCGCAAAAATGCATTTCAAAGGTAGTTGTACTGGACCTTTACGTTATGAAAAGTTCAAAATTCGTGCTTACCGTATCACCCGTGACGAACGTCGGGGTATCAAAGGAGTACAACGGATGTCCTTGGAGGATTATCGTATTCCTTTCGGTTGCGGGCTCAAAACAAAGAAAAGCCGCGAATCCCTGGCCAATGCACCAAGTCATCCCCAGACAATATATTAACACAGATCTTGTCACACTCAGTCCACTTTTGCATAATGTATAGTACCGATAGACAAATTGCACCATGATGGTCATGATTGTAAAGTACATGCCGGTCAGCCACAGAGCGCACATCAACATGTTGTTGGGGTAGGTGCTGTGAATGTAGGGCCCGGTGGTGATGAAATACATCATCCCAGCGCGGATCTCGACGATCTGGAAAGGTGTAAGATGATGACATGTCTGATATACATATGTAGAATCGAACTGAGTTCTTAGAAACAAAAAATATCAAGCCTTACCGTCATGGTAAGCAAATTTAAACTAGTATAAATGAGATCTCCCATCACACTCATCAAAAGAATGCGACAATAATTCCTCATGGTCTTGTTTTTCATTGTCAGAGCCAGGTAGACCACAACTCCGTTGAGGAAAAACGAGAGCCCAGCCAGAAGCAGCTCGTATATCGCATGATAACGCCGAATAGCGACAAATAAAGGATCCGGCTCGCCCAAGGTTGGGGTTGTTAAGTTCATTGTGGCTTTAGCAAAGGCTAAAAATTGTGTATGCTGGAAGAAGATCAGCCTCAAAAAATGAGCATTACGCGGAACTTGTTCGAGGGCTTAATGCCCATAAAAGGCTGTCTGTATACTCCCGGACGTATTATATTTCGAAGCCCTTTAGCTCGGTTATTCACTGTGCCACATTCTCCAGATTTTAACTGTAAAAAGAGAGCTGCGAAATAGTCAGTAAAACGAATTTTTTATATTAATTTCTGCCTGTCATGACTAGTATATCTGCCAAGTTTCAATGTGATTCATTTATTTTCACTTGAGATTTGGATGGTCAAAAATTTCTACTGGAAATTGTAACAACTCCACATAAAAAATAATTTTTTTTCATGGCCAACTAGCAAAAATACGGCCCAAAAGAGATGTTTTTCTCTTTGACGGCTCTCCGATTTATGCGTACTCTCTCGGCGGCAAGATTCACTCTTTCACATTGAAAATCGCATCGCCTTAAAAAGAATGAATTGTGTCGCGACAAAATCAAATCGCTTTTCACTACAGCGACACGATGCAACGACATTGTGCTCATTATTTTCCCGACAGACTGAGATCAACAAATAAAAAAAATCGCTAGCGCGAGAACCGTAACTCACTGAACTTATCCTATACATTTTTCAGCTCAAGGCGGGACTAAATGCGTGCTGTATCAGGAAATTTTCGTTTGGAATGCTCACTAAATCAAATTTAAGAGCGGAATTTGATTACTGATTCAATAAAAAGTCACAACATGGACAGTTCTGTCTCAGCTAATTCAGTTTTATTTCGAAAACCTCACAGTACGTTTTGGAGTGCACAATTGTGCTTCAGAAAGGAATGATAAAGGCGCGTGAAATAGAGAAGGGAACTGTTCAAGTGGCTTTTCGTCCTCAAAATTATCGCAAAAACTACATATTTTAAAATTTTCTCTATAATTTTTACCCCATTTTTGAAGATACTGATATTGAAGCGTTCCAGCCCGAAAACACAAATATTGATAACATTGGTTGTGGCCAGAGATTGCCACGGCTCCGGAGCCGGCTCTGGCTCTGAGCGGCTCCGGCTCCGAGCCGGGAGCCAGAGCCGGAGCCGGAAATTTTGGGCGCGGCTCCGGCTTCCGAGCCCAATGTCGGAGCCAGGCATCTCAGCGTTAAGAAAAGTAAAAATTTCATGATCTTGTTAAACCAACTTGCACAGGACCCGGGATTCGGAGCCGGAGACCTTTTTAAAGGTCTCCGGTTTTTTATGGGAGCCGGAGCCGAAATTTTGACCGTGGTAATCTCTGGTGGTGGCTTGAGTTCCAAAAACCGTTGACTAGACCGCCAAAGCAATCGTATTACTTATTAACGACATTTCGGAAAATGGAAATAGGAGACGGGGAATGTTATTTTGCTTTTAATGCATTAACCTAATAAACTCTGCAACAACGTGAAAAGAAGAAATTTTTTATGGTGTTTTATTTTTACGTCTACTGTCCAAATGTACATATCAAAAAGGAATTTGATTTTGCATCGACACAATTCATTTTCTCGGCAGCGGTGCAATTTGCGCTTACAGAGTGGTGATTATTTACCCGACAGACTGATGTCCAGTTCTAATTTCAGCGGCAATAAACTTCCTCTTCAATTGTTTTGTCTTTTCAATCGACCACACTTCTTTATAATCCTCTTATTTATGTTGCTATTTTTAATCCGAATTTTTTGTGCGGTCTTACTACATGTTGAAAGGCCCAACAATCCAGTAACGAGACAAGACGAGAGCTCAGGAGTCAATTGATTTATTCAGTGGAAAGGAGGCCTTTTATAGGGAAGCCCCACGTAGGAAAGTACGATCAAATTTGAATAAACGAATACAATTCCTTGTGGGAAAATCCTCGAAGCTCGGTCGTTCCGCCTCACACTACATATAGGTGTACAGTATGAGTATATATTATAGTAAGGTGCCTTCACCTGAGAGATATCAATAGCAAAACAAATATCAACCCATTTATTACTCGATACTCTCAACCTTTTCTTGAAATAAATCGCACCCAAATATTTGCATATTAGCAAACGATAAAAAGATTTACAAAATCAATATAGAGCTTCCTGAACAAGCCGCACCTTCTCCGCAATAGTCTGGCCTATATATAGGTAAATCTCCTGATTAATGGATCTCCATTCCAGTGTGCGTGTGCTCCGAAGTCTCTTGAATCGTGGACTTTGTGTAGACCGTGGCCTTGGCTATGCGCAAAATGCGCTTCCGGAACGACGGGATCACCAGCATGACCGTTACGGCGTTGATGATCGGAATGGCCGAGATCGACGGTGCGAAGTACATTCCGGTCCAGGAGGCGTCCATTTTGAGCTGAGCCATCAGAGTGGCCATGACAATGGGAAGACAGACGATAACGCCGGGGTAGGTTGCCTAAAACGTATATAAGTAAACGTGGCGATTAGCGATTGATCCGAAGGCGGCGCCTGGGCGAAGAGGTTGCCTGGGGGCACTTATTTTTTTCGCTATGGGCCCCTGGCGGAATAGGGCGCCTTGAGGGAAATTTACTTAGAAGATGGTACCTAACAAAGATGAAAGTGAGCAAAGAGGGTCCATGAGCAAAGAGGAGACCTTGAGGAAAAAATCTTTGTGGTAAGGGGGGACCAAGACCTATTTTTCAAGGTTTTTTTGGGTCGACAAAAAAAAATATAGGGTAAGAGGGGCCCAGGTCGAATTTTTTAAAATCATTTTTTTTTGACAACCCAAAAAAGTCATCCGAAATCTGCCTTGTCCCTCCTATATACAAGGTGGGGCATCTTTGTGGCCCGATTTGAATTGGCTATAACTTCTTTAGTTCTTGGCCAAATCTTAAAATTCTTTTTTCCCTGAATCCTCAGACAACCCCATTTCGGATCTGACCTGCCACACAACCCAATACGACAAATGCCGAGAAAGCTAGATATAATGTCTTACCTGGAGCACCATCACTTTATTCAGCTTCTTCTGCCCTTCCTTTGTATTCTTACTCATGTTGATACCGTCTGAGTTCAGAAACTTGTTGATCCTTCGGCCCGTGACAATGATTATCACGTAGAGAAAAGCACAGGCACACTGACTGCAACAAAAATGGACAACTGGCCCAACGCTTGCCTAAAAATGCGCATTGTAAATTTTCAGGCGCAAGAACAGTTATCTGTAAGTCTGTCGGGAAAATAATGTAGATTTGTCTCCGCAAAATGTTCGCCACGTCGCAGCACCAAATCCCAACTCGTGACAAGCCTTCAAGAAAGCGGTGATGGGCTTCAAGGCACGATGGATCCACATTATTTCCCGACAGACTGATACTAGTCGGCGCAAAAAGTCTTTGGAATTTTTCGCGGCCCCCAAATCCCGTCGCACCCCGAAATGTCGATTTGTCGCTGAGAAAAATGGGAATCGCGCGCGACAATAAGGCAAAATCAACGAAATTGCACAGTGCAAAAGCACTTTTCGGGTTCATGCACAGTGCAAAGTCGCAGAAAATTCCAAAGACTTTTTGCGGCGACTAGTACCTATTCAATATAATTTTCCAGCCCTACCGTATCTCCTGTCACGAATGTCGGAGTGTTAAAGGAATACAATGGATGCCCCTGTAGAATCTCCCTATTCTCCGGAGTCTCGGCTTCAAAGCAGAGGAACGCCGCGAACCCTTGGCACAAGCACCAAGTCAGCCCGAGGCAATACAACGAAACAAACTGAGTGATGCTCAACGCTGTTCGGCACAACGCATAATACCGATAGACGAACTGAACCATGATTGTCATGATCGTGACGTACATTCCACTCAGCCACAGAGCGCACATCAACATGTTGTAGGGGTAGGTGCTGTGGATGAAGGGCCCGGTTGTGATGAAATACATCATCCCAGCGCGGATCTCGACGATCTGAAAGGGGAAATGAAACTTTTTTTAGCGCTTTTAGGGTGTTAGGCTGTTTTCAGTATTTTCATAAAGATGGACATTTTTTGTCTTTCGCACAGTACAAAATCCAAAAAAGGTGAAATGCACGGTGCAAGATGAGGGTTCTTTGTGCACAGTGCGGAGCGCGGCAAATGTCCATGCACTTTGTAAAAATACTAACATCAGTCTGTCGGGAAAATAATGAGCACAATGGCGCATCCCAAATTGCAACACCGTCAAGAAAACGAATTCGCGACAAAATCAAATTGCTTTTCACTTCAGCGAAGCGATCGGCGCAACGGCATTGTGCTCATTATTTTACCGACAAAATAATGCGGAAATACTATGATTAGTCATGTCCTCTCCTACCATCATAGTCAACAAGTTCAGGCACGTGTAGATCAAATCGCCCGCGACACTCATCAACAAGATACGGCAGTAGTTACGGATGGTCCGATTCGCCATCGTTAGCGCCAAGTAGACCACAATTCCATTCAGAAGGAACGATATACTCGCCAAAAGTAGTTCATAATAAAAATGATAATGCCGGATTGCGACAAAAACGGGGTCGGGTTCAGGGATTGGATAAAGCGTGACGTTGCTAGCAAAAGTCTCGGCTGTAGTCGACATCTGCTGAAAAAGGAGGCAAGATTATGGCGCCATGACGTGTCAGAGAATGCAAAGAAATTTAAAACTCTTATTATTAAGACTGTGAAAAAAACGGTAAAGGTGGACCAAGGTAATAATCGCGCCGCAAGGAGCGTGGGAGAAGTCCTGAAATGCGCTGTGCGGAAGCGAAACAATGTCCACGCACTTCATCAAAGTACTCGACGGACCAAAGAGTCATGTCTGCAAAATGCGTCATCGTACTTGTCGCATGCGACGAGTAAGTTTACGTGTACGTCGACCACCCACGGTAAAGAATTATTGTCTTCGAAAAGGGCGATCAAAGCACAGTACACTCTTTCTTTGCACCCCGACAAATTTCATTTTGCCCGATGTTACAATTTTTCCAAAGTGTGCAGAGCTTTTGTCATGGGCCACATAGTGGACAAAACCTCTTTTGGCCGCGTGCATTTGCGCGCGGCCAAAAGAGGTTAATTTTTTGGTGCAACCGGATATCGCTGCGACACAAGCTTTTCTCACAGAGCAGGCTCGAAGTTTGGGCGTACGAAAGAAATTGCACAATGCAAAATGTTTTGAAAACAATGGTTTGAAAACGAGCATGCACTGTGCGATGCGAAAAAAAGCCGAAGAAAGTCCGCGAACTTTTGAAAAAGCGTAATACCTCGTCGCAACGCCGAACGCATACGCCTTCACATTGCGAAAACGTATCAATACTACTGTATTAGACCTGTCTAGAAAAAAACCCCAATGTTAATACGTGCTACTGACAAAAAATAATGCGTCCACTCCCACTTGTAGAACATACCCAATTTTTACTGTTATTTCCGGTATCACGCACTTTTCCATACAATCAACAACTTAAATTCAAATTATCTACTTGAGTTTCTTTCTGACTCGCCCGCGCGGTGGTAACGGTAATGGACACTTGGCCAATTTCACACGCCTAACACTAATAATAAGCACAATGTCGCTGTGCCGTCGCTGAAATAAAAAGCAATTTGATTTCTTCGCGACACAATTCATTTTCGCGGCAGCGATGCGATTTGCGATGCGTCGGTGTGCTCATTATCAGTCTGTCGGGAAAATAATGTGGATTAGTCGCAGCAGATGTTATGCCTCGTCGCAGACGCGCAGAAAGTCCCCGACTAACCGTCGCAAAGCGATGATGGGCGGCGATTCCAAGGCGCGATGTATGCATATTATTTTCCCGACAGACTGATAAGCCTCTGGGCGCAACCGCATCAAAGATCTCTAACAATGAGCGATTAAAACTTCGTTCCCCTCTTCATTGCCCACATAAAAAATGGCACACGCCCAATTTTGAACCCTAATTTATATACTGTCTCACATCAACGACGAATTTGACCAAACGTGGGATACCACAACGCATTAACAACTAATTATAACAAAGACCTACGTACTTTGGCCAATACTTTGAAGGAACCCGAATTCTTGGGGTAAGATTGTAGACCGACCGGCTTAACGTTGTCCTTATCCGCGTTCTTAGCAACAGGGGCGGTATAACGAATGGTCAAAAAGAAAGCTCAAGAAGCCAAGTCTTCGGTGAAGTAATCCCCTGATTACTTGGATTTCAACATGACAAGTAAGAAAATGCAGGATATTGGGCAAGATTAGCAGTTTACATACAAGATGTCAGACATCAGAAGTGTAGCACAACATGTAAATTATGATCAAAGGATGTAAATATATCAGTCCGTCGGGAAAATAATGTGGATTTGTCGCGCTTCGAAATCGCTCATCTTCTTTTTGCGATGGCTAGCCGCGGCTGAAGATTTGGTGGTGGCTGTGACGAGACGACCATTTTGATGTGATAAAACCACATTATTTTTCCGACAGATTACTAATTATCAATTTTTGCTGTAAAATTGCAAGAAAACAGGTTTAAAATTGAATGATAAATTTTTTCGGAGACGCGATGGACGCAACGACATTGTGCTCATGATTTTCCCGACAGACTCATAACTCATTTTTGTGTTATTTTTTCAAGACTATTGCTTATGGTAAAGGCTTTATTATATATGTATACAAAAAGATATAAATAGAATTGAATAACTTTTACCTTCTAATAAACCCCGTGGACCACGGCCGCCTTTGGGCTGCGCTGATCCAGTTATTCTGAAGACATGCCACCCCATTGCAGCGCGTCAAATTCTTCACCACGTTCCTCAACACATACGTTGTTGTCAACGCGTCAATCACGAACGACATTGCGTAATAAACATGGACGAACGCCGAGCGTGACGCGTCCTTGTCCTGCAACATGTAACGGATGAATTGCGGCATCACACAGCACGTGACTTGCGTAATTCCCGAACAAACCGCCACTTTTTCGATGAAGGCGTTCCGACTTCGTGGACGTCGAATCTTGTAGTGAATCGAGAGCACAAAGACGACCACTAAGATCAGATTGAGGACGCCAAGAGCGGCGCGCACCTTGAACAAGTCATTCGCGTGGTTGCGGAAGGCCGTGGCGTAGAAACTCAACGTGTCTGGAATCATGGAGAGATAAAGCTCGTCGCAAAAAGTCCTCAAAAGTTTACAGTGCGGTTTTGGCGCGTCGCTCCAAAAATCGCGAAGAAAATGCTTTGAATCGGGTAGTAACAGTGCTATCAATCTGTCGGGAAAATAATGTGGACTTGTCGCAAAGAAATATCTCGTCGCAATCGCGCGCCAAATCCTCAGCCAACCTTCACAAAGCGATGATGGGTGATTCCAAGCCGAGACAAATCCATATTATTTTCCCGACAGACTAATATACATGATGTTGTCAAAAACTTTTTTAACGAAAATTCAAAACAAACTGAAATTTTAAGCCCAAACGTACCACTACGTCGGCTTACAGGAAGTTCGGTTGCAGCCGTTGTGATCATCAGTGTAGCGCCTGTCAGTAGTGAGAAACCAATGAGGAAGGGGAAAAGGCTAACGCGATCGAAGAGAGGTATGAGTACGGCCATGATTCGGTCTGTGACGAGGAAGACGACTGAAAATCCAATCAAAATCAAGCCAGTATTGTAAGCAGTTCCAAGCCAGAAAAGAACAAGGCCATCAACATGAAGTGGGGCTAAAAGATGTGAAAGTTGAGAGCGCTTGGATCAATCGAAATTATATAGTTTTACAAGTGGAGTACCCCAAGTGCGACGCTCAGATTATGATGAAACCTGAGACAAATTTAGGTTCTTTTTTCTAGTTATTGTGTGAAACTCCTAGTTCGCGATTTACAGAAACGACTGAGGTTTTAAGACCGAAAGTTGCAAAACTGTGATACTTTTTAGCGAATTTTGGCATGAAAAGTTTCATGCTTATTTCTACCGTAGAGGGTAATCTGTTAACAAGGGGTCAATTTTTCTCCCCGAAACTAACAAAGTCACCGCCAAAACATGTTTTTTCTCTCTGACCGCTCTCCGTATTTCACCTTCTCTCTCGGCGGCAGCGATCGTTGAATATCGCGGCCGCCCCGGCAAAGCGCGAGCTGAAACTTTTTTTTCATGCCGGATGTTCGATGTGTGTGCCATGTTTAAGGAGAATCCGAGCCCCGCACTTCGAGTACTTTCATGCTACTCAATCCTACCTCCAGTCTGACGCCAACACGACAAAGAATACCCATCAGACAGCACTGCCAATGCAGCAGTAAACAACCAAACAGTGATATGAAACACCAGTGTCATCGGCGCCCGGAACTGACAGCCCTGCCGTTTATACAACAAGTGCAAGTTGTTGACATGAGAAACAACCGTATAGAGGCCAACAATTATCCGAAACGTAAACTGGAACAGCTTCGCCTCGCGGATTAACAGCATTCTGAGAGCAAAACAAGAGTTCACCGAAAAATTAAGGCTGTTTTTATACGCTCTAATTAACTCATAATCCGATTCTTGGCTATTGCGTTAAAAACCGAATCCTACGTGATTTGCAGTGTTTTTAAAAGCCCCCAATCCTACATGATTTTCACGGCTTTCAAAGGGCAACTACATATAACGACATTAAAGGACAACTACAACTTGAAATTTACGGCGTGGCAGACGGCCTGCCGCACTATTGTTTGTTCTCGCATGTCTTGAAAACAATCCAGAAATAATTTTAAAACTGTTGAGCAATGGATTTTCGCAGGAAGTATCAAATGATGTGGCAAAATGCCTCCCTCTAAAAAACTCCGATGTCAAAAGCGCGTCCTCCAAAACGGGGTTTTTTCGTTGGAGAGGGAGGCATTTTGCTACATTTTTTGATACTTCCCGGAAGCAAAATGGTACGTGTTTTGCCATTGGATCAGGTCTGTCACTGTACGAAGAAAAAAATTTGTAACATTCCGCCTTCCAAGTCTAAAAGCGAAATTCAAATGCATATACCTTGGTTCTCACAAAAATACGACATAGCAGTAATAGCTTTATTTCGACATTCGTCTTTCGATTCCAATCTTATTCTTCAACGTTATACACGGGCCTTTGCCGTTGCCAAAATACAACACCGTCGTTGTTCCCTTTGTCAACTTCAAGACTACATAGCGCAAGACGTAGGTTGTGCTTATCGCGTCCACCGCATAAGAGAGTATGTAATAGGAGCGGGCGAAGCTTTGACAGGCTTCATCGTTCTGCAGCGTTTTCCGCACAACAATCGGGAAGACGGTGCAGAGGATTTGCGTGAATGCGGAACAAATTGCCACTCTTTCGATGAATCTGTTGCGCCTTCGCGACTTGCGTAGCTTGTATCGGATGATATACATGAAGTTGCTAATTAGGATGAGGTTAATTACACCCAACACTGCTCGCAGTCGGAACATGTAATTCCCATGGTTACGGAAGGTGACATTGTAATAGCTGAATTGGCCTAAAAAAAGGTTTTTGTCCTGAATACGGTAACACAGGCGTACCAGACTCTAATGGAATTGGCAGCTCTGTAATGCATGTTACCATCAACGTAACGGAGGTGATGATGGCCGCGATGGCGATCATTGTCCTTGTAGCATTGTATTTGGTGGCCAGTGGGGCGATTACAGCGATAACTCGGTCGGCTACTAATATAGCAACCGAAAATCCGATTAGTACCAGGCCGATAATGTAAAAGGTCCCAAGCCAGAAAACTATGTAGTTGTTGGAGTGGATAGCAACTAAAAAATATACAAGGTTTAATTACAAGGCAGGCCAAAAAGTCTTGACACGTGTTCATCATGCGCTGTCGGGCAAAAAATTCATGGTGCACGCCGACCATGCAGAATGCATGGTTTTGAACAGGGCAAATCAAAGCGTATATCGCGCGAAGAAACTGCGCCCTAGACATGGCTGGCGCGGCCCATTTGAGCCCCGGTCCCGTGGTAGGTTGAAATATGTAAAGTGGCCAGTCTAGGCCGACTTTTTTGTGGCCGAGCCTAAAAAATCAGCTTGGACTGGTCACTTTCCAGATATTCACCTCCTAGAAGTCCGAGAAGGGCCCAACCGGGCCGCGCCAATGTCTAATTCGCTAAGTACTGATAGTTTGTCGCATAAAGCCACTCCGCGACGCCAACCGCACCAAAAAAAATGCCAAGACTTTTTCGTCCGCCTAGTATGACACTCAATACGACAGAAATTATACGCCGTATATTAAAACATGCCTCCATCCGGTCTCCAGACTAGGAAAATGTAGACGCAGTACAAACTTGCGAAGATGGACGCGAAAATCCAAGAGCAGATATGAAAGACCAAAGAAGTTGGCGCTTTCTTTGCACTTTTGTTCCTTCGATAAAGTAAAAACAGGTTACGAACTTGCAATACAACTGTTCCAGTGCTGACATTGAAGAAGAGCAAAAACTGAAAGAGCGTGGTTTGCCGTTGGGAGAACATTTCTGCAAAGGTAAATGTAGTTTCCAACAGAATTCCAAAAGCGCAAATACCAGAATCGAACGTATGCACCGAGCCCATGCAATTACACACTGCACTAATTAAGCGTTCATGTGGTACTTTTATTTGTGATATATCGCTGTGTACACGCTTAATACCATGTTTTCCAACGACCCATAATTGCAACCCTACAACATACCGGGAAGAAGGAAGTCGATGTGCGTTTTCAAATACTTTCCGTTACATGTCATTATCATGTTGCTGGGGAGAAAATAGTTTCTTCTTGGCTAAATTACGTGTGCTTATGCCTACATGTAGTGTGTACAACAGGGCTGGAAATTAATTGTTTAGCGGTGGAACAGGAGTGAATCTGACTGCTCAACGAAGTTATGAGGCGCAGTAGAACACAAAGAAACGTACTACTACCGGCCAGGAAAATCTTGACATGTTTGCAGTATGCGTCGTCGCGCAAAAAAACTTGTCGCACGGGGACGAGGAAAATTCACGATGCACGCCGACCACGCACGGTGCGAAATGAATTCTCTCGAAAATGGCAATAAAACCTTATGTCGCCCGAAGAAACTGCGCAGTGCGTTTTCGTTCGCTCTGTACTCATTGTTTGTCGCGTAAAGCCACTTCGCAATACCGACCGTACTATGCGGACTGTTAAGTTTTTTTCATCCGAGCGACATAAGCTTTGATCGCCTTTTCAAAGACATTGATTTCACACTTGCGTGGTCGACGTGCACGTAAATTTTGCTCGTCGCATGCGACAAATTTTTCACGCAACGCGCACAGTGCAGACATGTCAAGCCTTTTTGGCCCCCCAATACATGTGATCAATAATGGCAATCTCATCGTCAACGGCTTTCTTCCAGCCCGGGTTGTTGGCATAACTTTTATCGAAAAAAAGACTATTTCTTTAAAAACTATTTATTTTCAAAATCAATCGTACGGAGTGCTGAAGTGAGTAGAGCCCCGTTGCGGTGGCTTAGCGCTCTGCGGGATAACACTGTTCTTCATATCTTTCAACACTTTCCAATGCGCGTGCACCGTTACCACACTCTCCAGCGACAGTCCAAGAGCATTATAAATGTGGACAAAGTACAAGTATTTTGGAAGGAAGTACTGAAAAAACAACCGGACCATTTGTGGCAACACCCCATGAATCCCTTGAAAAATTGTCGCCACAATCAAGACTCTCTCTGCGAGTTCGTCGCGGTTTTCGAAATGCGAATAATGGGAACGCACAGCGGCGACGAGACGGAGAAAGAGGCACAAATTCACGATCCCAATAAGAACCCGGCCAGCCATTAGGGCCCACATATGGTACTCCGGAACGAATTCGTAAAAAGTCAAACTTGCTGGAACATAAAACCTCAAAATCTCTTCTGGGCCCAACTTACAGCTATCCCATTCAAGAGGGAATTCGAAAATGCCAGTTCCGAGCAACACGACTACAACAAAAGCCACCCAAATTCGATAAAAGATCTTGGGAAGTCGGGTGACATCAAGATAATTTGGATTCACCAGCAAAATTGTCCGATCTAGGATCATTAAGGCAATACACATTCCGGAAATTGCAATTCCGTCATACACGCCAGTGCCAAGGAAGTACATAATCCAACCGTTGGAATGGATTCGGACTGAAAGAAAAGGAAAACTGGAGCTTATGCCTGATGGAAATCGTCATTTCCCCCAATTCACGACAAGTAACCAAAATGGATGCCAAAATACCCTACCTGGATATGGCCGCCATATAATCACAACATAAAACGCGTAAACCACAATCGCCGACAAGTTTCCAACCCACGTTGCCATGTGAATAATTACCACTTTCGGGGGTTTGGCTTTCTCTTTCCGCCTCACCGCAACTTTGAAATTCATAATCTCGATAATCAAAGCGGGAAGGGAACACAAAAACAACGTCAGATATTCGATATATTGGATGTAGCGAATCTGCCAACTCTCCATTTGTAGAAGCAATGGGATACCGTTTGTGGGAAGAGTCCCATTCGAATGGTGGGTAATGACAGTCTTCATTGGTGTGAATGTGTGAGAAAGTCAAAGTAATCAGAAAGCGAAATTTTGAGGGAAATTACAGAGTAATTGGCAGGTTGTGAAGAGTTTTTTCCCCTGGTTTATTTATCCTAATTGGTGTATCTGCGAGTGAAAGAAAGTGTGCGGAGAGAGTGGATGTGTAGCGAGCATATATTACTAAAATTAAACGAATAAATTGCCGAGAGACAACACTGGTCCGTCCGCGAAGTTGCTAATTTATTGTGAAACAAAAAACAATATTCAGAATTAATCCTGATAAGCGGTTCTGTTCAATACATCTACAAAAGCTTGTTTTTGGATTCCCGGCGGGTCGTAGACGTATGATCCATTAACAACCATCGTATTTGCTGCCCTGGGAATGCAGAATTGACGACGGACACAGAAGAATACGTACAAGAGGACTTGAAGTATAACCAGAACGACTGCATAAAACAGGTATTTCGTGTTGTATCTTTTGGCTGAGAAAACTAATAGTAGGTCAGTCAGGAAAGTCGCAGTAGTGATTCTAGGCGTTTGCACTGTATAAAAAAATCAGAGTGTGAGCGACAGCCCAAAAAACCAGTTTCACGGTGCAAAAAGCATGAAACTGCAATGAGCAAAGCAAAATTCTGTTTTCGCACAGCGCATTTCGCCGAAAATCACTTTACGGACGGATGTGTGATAAAATGATTGTCTTACATTCCATGCATTCATCTGTCAGACGGCATTCACATCCTTCTGGAGCGTACGGGACTTTAGAGCAATCGGAAACTGTAGGGCACATTTTATTTTTGGAACTGTCTGAAAACGGCAAAGTAACACAATTGGCATAAAAATCACGATTGTTTCTGTACTGCTCGCTAAAAAATTGCGAAGATAATCTAAAAATTTCAACCTTTCTAAAAACCTCAAAAACTTACAAACAATAACTTGCATTGACGCCAAATCATTCTTGTCATAGCACAACAACCTCAGCGTCTGTTTTCTTGCGACCAAAATTAGCTTATTCGTCAAACAACAGCTCGCATTTTTGTCCTCGGGACAAGGAAAGGCTTGTTCCTCACTGACTTCGCTAAAAAAATCACGTGAAAAAAACAGAACGCGGAAAAAAATTGTTGCAAAACGCGGTAAAACTTACACAAAATCTTCGCAATTCCTCGCTATCTCCTTCTTGTCCGCGGTGATTTCCATGATTGCCCAATAATAGGGCTGCAGATTCTCGCCCACCGTAGGCGTGCAATCGACCATGTAGATCTCGCCCGGTCGCACCCACATGCTATGATATACACGACAGTTCGCGGATTGAACGAAGAACAGCAAAAAGGCGAAAGAAATCCTCACCATTCCGAGGGGAATTACAAACAACCAACTCCCAAGATGCGGTTAGAAGAAAAAAGAAAAAAATATGCAAGTTTGCATAAAAAATAAGCTTTCTCCATGAGCTTAGGCAAAGTTCATGGACAGCAAAATGCAAATAAAATATGTCCTTTGGGACAGATCCATTCTTATCAACAAACTGCAGGCCAAAACACGACCACTATCATAACTTTGCATTTCATCAGCATTCCTTATCAAATATTCGCTTTTGGCTTCAGCGCCGGGGTCAGCGTTAATTTTTTAGAGCGATAAGAGGTTGCTCACCATTTTTTGAGGTATTCGAGCGTCGATTTCAGTCGCGAAAGTCACTTGCTTTGAAATTTTCGAGACTATTTACGCAAATGTCGTAATAAAACCCGTTTTTGGTTATTAGATGGTCAATTTCTTGACTAAAAAAGAGTGATGCACCTTTTGTGAGTGAGTAAATGTTGTGATACGAACTTTTTACATTGTTTTGAGCTCTCTCTACGTGTTTTTTACCTAAAATATTCCTAAAATCTAAAAAAGAAGTTGTTTTTCCCTTTCAATTTGATATTACTAAAGCTATTCGTCATAATTCTACGAAAATATTATTTGTCACCCAATGTAGCTACTCATGTCGCATAAACTTTTCTGATTTCACCACCAAAACACTATTCTTTGATCAGGTGAAACACTTGACGCTGATCGGGTCAACTGTTCCCCTAAATGAGAAACCCAAAAAGTCTCGGGAATTTTTTCTTTTCCAGCCGAGTTGCTCTTGTTTACGTTTGTAACAAACTGAATTTTTAGGATAGACTTGGTTTTTATGAACCTTTCTGCCTTCTCCACTAATTTGCACTTGGATCAGACCTAGATTTTTTATTTTTATATCAAAAATCACTTATTCTCCCCGAAATACTGGTGTTTTTTAATTTGGTTTTCCCGAAGTTCACGTGAACTGTCTCTTTGAACTCGTCTTTCTCTTGGCGGGTCTGATATTTGCTTTTTGAGCGGGTAAATTTAGCTGTTTTAGGGTGCAAACCGATTGATGCAAAGCAATGTCCATTTCTGAAGGTTCGCCGCGTCGACGATTGTTCTCAACCGGTGGAATTGGTGATGCGTAAGTTCTTGCGCAATTTTATGAGGTTTTCGATGTCATTTCGTAACTGTTTCTTTTGGAATTTTACGGAAAATCAAGGGGTTTTGACTTTTTTCGACATGGATAACATTTTGGCTTATTTTTTGTCCAGAAAGGTTTAAAAACTGAGCGAGAGTTCTTTGTACAGCTAAAGAAACATCTTGACCGTTTATTTTTAGTTTTTTCAACTGTTAAAACATCCAAAATTGTTATGGTTTTTGACCTTATTCATCAAGACCTCATGTATAATATTTTTAGTATCGATTATGTCTCAAACGCTTCCGGAAGAAGTTCAGATGGGTTCCATTGCCATGAGCTGACCAGTGAGCAGGTGGAGACGAAAAAGCGAGCCATTCGAGTGCTTTGGGCCAGCGTGGTGGTCTGTATGTTGTTCATGATCTGTGAGATTGTTGGTGGATGGTGGGCCGCGAGTTTGGCCATTATCACAGATGCGGCTCATTTGGTAAGTTGTGAAATTTAAATTGGGAAGGGGTTTGACAGTTTCTGTTGATTAATTCTTTATGTTTTGGCTTGTTTTATATTGCACTAGACATTTTCAGCTAACAGATCTGGCCAGCATGCTGATATCTCTGTTTTCTCTGTATCTGGCGTCGAGGCCAGCCTCTCAGCGAATGAGCTTTGGTTGGCATCGAGCTGGCAAGTTTTTTCCAGCAAATTATTTTATCTTTTCGGATATTTTTATATCATTTTTGCGAAGTAAATGTTGATAATTGTTTTAGAAGTTGTTGGAGCTTTCGTATCCGTCTTCATGATCTGGGTGGTCACGGGTATCTTGGTGTATTTGGCAATCGAGCGAATTATCAGTGCCAAGTACGAAATAGACGGTGAGATTATGGCAATTACTGCGGCAATTGGTGTTGGCGTAAATATTATGTAAGTTGGACGTGAATTTGATAAAAAAATGATGGGATTTATGGGCTATACAGTAAAGTTATTTCTACAATGGGAATGAACTATAATTCTGTTGGGAAAATACAGTGGCTTGGCAAAAAAAAAACTTACCATTTTGCATCCGAGAAGTATCAGAAATGTTGCAAAATACCTCCCTCTCAGTTTTTTTTCACTTGGAGAGGGGGGCATTTTGCTACATTTTTGCTGCTTCCCGGATGCAAAATGGTACTTTTTTCATTGGATCAGGTCCGCCACTCTAATCTGGATTTGCCGCTCGGCGATAATGGTCGATTTCCACGCGCGACGAATCCACATTATTTTTCCGACAGACTGATAAAACAAAAATATCGTCAATTTTCAGCATGGGTCTTCTCCTCTATTGTGGCGGGCACGGCCACAGTCATCTCGGCGGCGGCCACAACCATTCCCACCCGCCCACGGAACGGACCTCCCTCCTCCGGTCTGCGAGTGGCACCAGTAATGGCTACGCACCAATTGAAGAAGATGCGGAGCACAACAGCGACGAGAAACGCGGCCCCGAAGTGAATATCAACGTCCGCGCCGCCTTTGTTCACGTTTTGGGGGACCTGTTGCAAAGCTGTGGGGTCCTGGTAGCCGCTTTGATCATCTTGTGGAAGGTAAGACGGTTTAGAAGATAAAAAAAATTTTGATTTTAGCCACAATGGGGTATTGTCGACCCAATTTGCACCCTGATTTTCTCCGTCATTGTCATGTGCACCACTTTCTACATTATTAGAGATGCATTGGTCGTTCTTTTGGAAGGTAAGAGTCATGGTTAATATAATTTTTTTGTTTAATTTTTAGGAAGACCCTCTTCAATCGACTTCAGCATTGTTTTCAAGTCCTTGGAGAGCATCGAAGGCGTCAAAAAGGTCCACAATCTCCGCATCTGGGCCCTCACCATGAACAAGATCGCGCTTTCTGTGCATTTGGAAATTGATCCCGACACTGATGCTCAAGCCGTCCTCAAAGCGACCAGTCTCATGCTCAAACAGAAATTCGGCGTCCACGAATCCACCATTCAAATTGAGGACTTCCAGGCCGATTCCGCCGAGTGCAATGAATGCCAGCCGCCAGTTGCCTAAGGCAATAATTTTTTAGCTAACTGTTAGCTCAAATTCTTGTCAGATTTACATTTTACAGCCTTGTTACGAGTTATTTTTTATTATTATTTTCACTTATCTTGTGATTTTTTATGTTGTACATCTTGTAGCAGTTTATAAAGCTAAGTAGAATACGATTTTTTTGGTCTTTAAAAAAAGTATTAGTCTTTATTGCTATATTTACACCATTTTAAACCCGTGGTCATATGAATTCCACTCTTTTATCACATGGGAGACGCGGTAACCACGTCCATAGCAGGTGTAACACTGGGTTTCCGGCTATGCGTCGTAATTGCATATTGTGTAGAGGATGTTTGCAACGCCAGACGTTTCCCTTTCGCGCAGAGAATGCACAGAATCGTCTGATTTAATGTTAGGTAGACCACGGACGGCGCTCCTTCCACTAGAATCCATAGAATATGCGCAGCCTTTGTGAATTCGGCCGACAGATTGAACAGCTCCAAACATGCGTAAGAACCGGCGCATAGAGCAACAGAACCAGTAACCAGCATGGACTGGGTTAGCAGCTGAAATGACAGAGATTGGGGTTAGCTAACGTGAAGGACCGGTCCGTGGCAAAAAAGGTACCATCTTGCATCCGGGAAGCATCAAAAATGTGGCAAAATGCTTCCCTCTCCGAGTGAAAAAAAAAACTTTTTTGAGGGGCGCGGCCTTTGCCTCACAAAAAGAGCGGGCGCTTTTCACTTGGAGAGGGAAGCATTTTGCCGCATTTTTGATATTTCCCGGATGCAAAATGGTAGGTTTTTGGCCACTGGATCAGGTCTCCCATTGTATTTTATATTTACAAGGGAAGTACTTGAAGTGCGACGCTCAGATTTTGATAAAAATTGAAATAACGCACAATATTCCACATAAAAGCAACAAAATAGTGTTGAACATTATCAAAAAAAATTTCTTGCCACGGCGGTTTCACACAACAGAAAAGCGGGAACCTCGTTTTGTCCTTTTTTGAAGCGGGGGCGCAGCTCGCGGAGGCAAAAAATGACGTTTTTTTACTGTAACTTTTAAACTAACAGTCGAATCGAAAATCGACCAGGGATTTAGAAAATAGAATTTGTCTTTTATCTAATGACGTATTAAACACATTGCAGAAGTGAAATCGGAGACCAATTGTCTGTGGCGCTAAATTTGCCTATGTTGAGGATACCGTATCAAAACCAAAAATCAAAATGGGAACTTGATATGAAGAAGTGGATATGTAAATACATGATTCCGAGTCGATAGACACCGAAAACGTCGAAAAAGGTTGACTGAGCGAGAAGTTATGACACCCAAAAAACATGCTGATTTTTGACAATTTCGAAAAACTACAGTATCCTTCGAACAAACAGTCGGATCAAAAATCGACCAGGGATTTAGAAACTACTTTGTCTTAGCTATATTTTGGTATACAGCATGGCTAAGTAGGTGATCAAATGAAGAGACTTGTCTGTGGCCGAAAGTACATTGGTCATGTTGTAGTAGGTCAAAGTTGATCGTGAGACAAATGCAAAGGTGGTTATGAGGGGTTAGGGTGCTACAACAACTCAGTAAGCAATAATCGTTTAGAATCAGCGTCGATTTTGCATTAGCGAGGACTTGTGGTACAGTACCCACCATCACCTTATCCACTTTAACTATCAAGGCTTAAGCTACTAAAAGACCATATATTGCGCTTAGACTGTGCTCCTCCATCTCTGTGTTTATAAATTAAACATTTAACAATTATTTTAGCCTCATATAACCATAGTTGGTTTTCATCAGGTATGCCACAATATGTACAATATTGCTGTAAGCAGCGTTTAAAAAAAGTTTCGGTTTTTGTTGGTCCCATAGGTTCTAATGCTTCCTCTACATCTTTAAACGGGTTTGCTTCCTCTGTTTAATTAAAATACGGCCTGATTGCTGTTTTAATATTCATTTAAGTAATCATGGTAACCGTTACCTCATTTGATGATTTTAGAAACTTTAATGTGGATTCTGAGTTAATTATTGGTCTGAAAAGATCAAGAAAAATGTTTTTTATTCTTTTAGTATCAATTACATCACACTTCTGATGAAACTGTACGATTTCTTCCTAAACATGTTTCATCGTATACCTTCCTCCGCAAACTGCGCGTTCTTTATTTTTTTCCCCACCACGAAAGAGACCTTTGAAACCGCCGTGTTGCGAGAAAAAATATATTTTTATCCTGAAACGGAATGCCAAGATCAATGGAATCAGGGAAAATTCGCCGGCTTTTGAAGATTTTTTTCGATATTCCGGCCCTTCTTTTTCGGCGGTTACTGCAAAGCGCGAGCTAGAAAGCTCGCAATCGAATAAGAAAATTCCAATCTCCATCTATGCCAATTTTTATCAAAATCTGAGCGTCGCACTTCAAGTACTTCCCTTGTTAGTTTAGAAATCGGTCATTTTCGATGGCATTCAGCGAACTTAGCACCGTTATGACCAGAGAAGTTCTCTCGCTTTGTAACCGCGTTATAGCAAAATACCTCCCTCTGTAAAAAACTCCGGTTTAAAAATCGCGTTCTCTCTTTTTGTGAGAGATGCTCTTCAAACCGGAGTTTTTTTAGTTGGAGAGGGAGGTGTTTTGCTACATTTTTGATACTTCCCGGATGCACAATGGTACGTTCTTTGCCATTGGATCAGGTCCGCCACTGTATAAGTGCCCGAAACGCGGTCACAGAGAGAGAAAACTCCTTCTGTTCATATAAAAACGTTTTCAACAATGTTGTCATTATAGTTTAGAGGTTGTACCCCTCGAAACATGTTTAAACGTTCGAACGCGTTCGGTTATTTGGTTATTTTTGGTCAAATAAGATTACTGAATTCTCAGGAAACAACTTACGCTAATGTCTCGCCGTGCAAAATTGGCCAACCGACCATTACCACCGCGCGGCCGAGTCAGAAAGAAACTCAAGTAGATAATTGGAAGAGTAAAGGCCAAAGTGAAGTTGTTGATTGAGTGGGCAAGCGCGTGATACTATAAATAACATGTAAAATTTTGTTATGTTGTATAAGGCGGGTGGTGGGCGCTTTAACAGCGGGTAACACGAATTAACATTCGGGTTTTCTAATTAGCGGGCCCCATAGCCTTGACATGTTTCCGTACTGTACGGGCGCATGCTTCTTTGGGTCAAAAATTGTCAGAACTTCGCACGACATTCTGTACTATACTTTTTAGCAACAACCGATCTGCGCGACGTTAATTTTTTTCGGAATGCGCTTGCTTTTTCTGTCCGTATCTGGCTAGCTGTTTGTGCTGGAAGGCTAAAATTTGGTATGGCAGTGAAATAAAAAATTGTCATTTACTGCCGTGCCAAATTTTAGACTTCCAACACTAACGGTTAGCGAGATATGAAGAGAAAAAGCAAGCGCATTCCGAAAAAAATTAAAATGTTGCGGAGACCGGGTGTTGTTCTAAAGTACAGAATGCCGTGCGACGTTCTGGCAATTTTTGACCCAAGGATGCATGCGCTCGCACAATGCGGAAACACGGCAAGACTTTTGAGCCCGCCTAGTGAGAAAACCCGAATGTTAATTCGTGTTACTCGCACATCCAGCACCCGCCTTGAAAAAATTTTTTCGTTGTTGCTCTAAAGTACAGAATGTTTTGGAAATTTCTGACCTATAGACCTCATTTGTCAGTCGTTTCTGTCCCGCACCGCACATGTGGATGAGGCAGGTCCGAAAATTTAGAGTACAACTCACATCATCCCTATCGACAATTGCTAACTCTAGCGGATGCGGAGTGAACAGCCAAACTCCGTTGAAGGAGTGGTAGAAAAGCGGATTGACAAACCAGACTGTCGTGAACAGAACAGCAACAGTCCCCAATAGCCAAATGGGATGGTCGAAGACCCTTTTGTAACTGCCGAATGAAAGGCATCGATTGAGCGCCAGAATTAAACTTGTATACGTATATGCGAACCACAATCCTGAAACGCATTTTGTGTGAGATTGAGGTGCCAGTATGTCGGGAAAATAATGTGGATTTGTAGCAGCAAAATGTATAAATGGGAGGTACCAATGCGCGTCGAATCCACATTATTTTCCCGACAGAGTGATATAGACGTTCCAGAGGGCTTACCGAGCACCAGACAGCCTTGAAAATACAGTACCATCCGTATTGTGTCCGAATCCGTATCACAATAATGCCATCCCATTATAGTCGCAATTCCCGAATAGACTGCGGTGAACGAGAGTTCCAGCACGTCGAGAATGGCCATAATCAGCATAAGCCGATAGCAGGAGTTGGCTCTTAGGCGTTCACTTGACATTGCGTACAGGCATGGCAAGTATAAAGTCTAAAGAACATAAAAGCTTAACTTTTTGACGCTGAAATTGGCTAGTTTAGAGTCTCCTACGATTACGACTTACCATAAAAACAATTCCCATCATCAACAATGCCGTACCATGCAATATGCTTTTCCGTTGCTCTATTGGCAACACAATGTTGACCTCGTAAAAACTGCAGTTGTATTTCCCCAAGAAGGTGTTGTTGTAATCAAATACGAGTCGGTTCATCGTCTAGGTCCTAGAATTTTGCTGGATTGGCGAGCAACTCCAAAAAAATTTAAATATAGGTCTTGGAGACAAACTTCAAGTATACTCGCGTGAACGGGCCTAGGAATTTTCCGCGACTTTTCACTGTCCATTTTGTGCGATAATTGGGACAAAATATTTTTTAAAAGGAAAGTACTTATACGGGGTATGGAGTTACAGGTCAAGACATCAAAAAAATCACAAAATTTTCCTGATTCAGAATATGTAAAAGTTAGCTGCCTAATTTTGGTCTGTAAGGGTGAAAAAATCCTCAGAACTTTTCACGCAACAAGTTCCCAGGATTTCTTCACCGTTACAAACAGAGGATTTTTTTACCACTACAAACCAAAATTAGGCACGTAACTTTTTCATATTCTGAATCAGAAAAATTTTGCGATTTTTTGATATATGTCTTGACCTGTAACTCCATACCCCCATAGAAGTACTTTCCTTGTCAGAAATTTTTTTGCAAAGCATTTGAGTCGACCAGCTACATACTCGAGTGTCGACCGACTGTTGTAGCCTTAGGGATGGCGTGAGTTGTGCGGCAAGCAGCAAAATTTCCCGCACGAATGTAACATGCGGGTAAGCAACGCCTTCGAAAAATAAACCAAATACATTTTGCACCGTATGAAGCGGAGTGTCGGGAACAATATTGCTTACAAAATCTTTTGAAAAGCTACAAACCCTAAAAAGCAGACCAGATAATATAATGTCATTTCAACATTGCCAATTAAGAAAAGGTTTTACGCAAATCGAATGAGTCAAAATCATATTACGCCGGAATGGAAATATTCTAGAGACCGAATAATTGAAAGCTTGTGAAATTCTGGTTTGGAGTGTGATATAACCTAAATTTATAGTTTCGAAGATCAGAAATTAATTGTTGATGATACTAGGCGGACTAGTCTTAATGTTTTTGCATTGTGTGGCAATCGCCGTGAACTTTGCTTGTCGTCGCCGTCGGTAAAATAATGTGGGTTCGTCGCGGCTTCCAATCGCCCTTTTTGGCTTTGCGACGAATAGCCGCGGCTGGGGATTTGGTGCCCGACTGCGACGAGACATTTTGCTGCGATAAATCCACATTATTTTCCCGACAGACTGGTACAGGAACTATCATTTTTGCGAAAAATATTTTTTTAAACTACAGGGTGTTCAGAGAATTATGGAAAAAACTATTCATTAATAACTTTGCGCTCGGTGGTCCAATCCAAAAATTTTTTTTTGCATTTTACAGAAAAACCTTGGAGTTTTTAGAATCTAGAAAAAAAATTTTTCTTTTATCGGCGGAGACTTCCGTAATCCGCGTTGAATTCGGCGGAGTGTTATTTTCACAAAATAAGGCTTGAATCGTTGTATGTGTAAAGAAAATGGGCGGAAAAGGATCCAGCAGATACAATATGACATTTCTTTCAAATTTCTGCGCTTCGGCGGAGACATTTTTTAACCTCGGCGGACGTTTTTTCTCTGACTCCGGATAGTCAAAATTGGCTGAAACCAAAGCGTATGGTATCCCTCGTGGCGTGGAGTCTAAAAATGACTTAATACGTTGCCAGCTGGCTGGCAGATGAAAAAACGGCAGTTCGGCGGAGAAATCGGCGAAGAAAAAATGAACATATTTAAGAAATTATTCAAATTTATCCGCCGAGCATCCGCCAATAAGAAGAATCATATTCTTGGTTGATTAGGGCCGTATAAGACCTACAATTTTAGTTTTCTCATCATAATTTCTTAAATGGTTTAATTTTTTTCTCCGCCGATTTCTCCGCCGAATCGCCGTTTTTTCATCTGCCAGCCAGCTGGCGACGTTTTAAGTCATTTTTAGACTCCACGCCACCAGGGATACCATACGCTTTGGTTTTAGCCAATTTTGACTATCCGGAGTCAAAGAAAAATCGTCCGCCGAGGTAAAAAATGTCTCCGCCGAAGCGCAGAAATTTGAAAGAAATGTCATATTGTATCTGCTGGATCCTTTTCCGCCCATTTTCTTTACACATACACTTTTCTTTACACGATTCACAGCCTTATTTTGTGAAAAAAACACTCCGCCGAATTCAACGCGGATTACGGAAGTCTCCGCCGATAAAAGAAAAAAATTTTTTTAGATTCTAAAAACTCCAAGATTTTTCTGTAAAGTGCAAAAAAAAATTTTCGGATTGGACCACCGAGCGCAAAGTTATTAATGAATACTTTTTTCCATAATTCTCTGAACACCCTGTATAAAAAAAATAAAGAGCATCTCCGGCTGTCTTCTTATCAATCGGCCTGGAAAATAATGGGCACAATGTCGCTGTACCGATTGCGTCGCTGAATTGAAAAGCAATTTGAATTCATTTCCTCGGCAGCGATTATCGATACGACATAGCGCTCATTATTTTCCCGACAAACCGAGATTCAGCAGCACAGTCAACATAATCTCGAAGCCAAGTGCTCCGTATGCTGACGCACTCGAGTGCAGAAGGGCAGAGTTTTTTTTTGTATATATCCTATTTCAATGCGGTGAATATATAAATATGCTACAAGGGACATAGCCAGAGTACTTTGATAATTGGGCGTTTATCAAGTCTTTCATAAATCTTCGAGTAGAATAATCGCAAACAACGAGAGTATTCCGAATTAACGTGCATTATCGGTAGCCTAATTAAAAAAATAAGCCGTTGTGGTCAGACTAATAATTGGGGGAGCGGAGACGACGCAAGGAGCAACAGACAATTGCGTAATGAACTTCCCATGAACACTTTTAATTATGTAAACCTAATCCGACCGACGACAAACTTGTAGGCATGACATTCGGTTGACGTTCAAAAGTTTTAAGACTAATTACAGACTGCGGAGACTGGACTCTGGTTCATTTTCAATTTAATAGCCGCCCACCTAGGGTCAAAAAACTGAAATTTTTTCGCTTCGGCGAAGTTGTGCACCAAATCTCCAGCCACGGCCAGCCGTCGGAAAGCGATGATGGCCGATTTCAAGCCGCTACGAGTCCACTATATTTTCCCGACAGGCTGATATCGCTGGAGTGATTTCGTGACATGCACTGCGAGACCCCAAAAGTTAATCTTGCACTCTGCAGTTTCTTGCTTTTTGCACCATGCCATAGGCTTTCTTGGGCTGTCGCTCGGACCATGACTTCTTCCGTATAGTGCAAACGCCAAAGATCTCTCCAAAGACTTTAAAGACGCATAAGTACATAATAAAGCGACAACCAGGGCATGTACTGTTAAACATATATCATCATTCTACTATATTTTTGTACCACAGTGGTCACAAATTAATACTATTTATAATCATAAACAACAAACATCAATATCTATCAATCATATGCGGCATTTATTTCCTTTAACTACATTTCAGTTAAAATAATTTTAGAAGAAGTTCTCTGCTTCTTCCGACAATATGTACTATGTATATAAATATAATAAATAATTAGAACTCGCACTTCCCGTCGCATCTACACCATGGCTTCACCAGACCCCAGTTCTCGATCTCGGTGTTCATCAGAGTGGCCATGTTGTCGGAGGTTGAGCGCGTCCAACTATTGAATACTGTGCTGATTGAGTCCAGCTTCTCATCGTAGGAGATGGTCGAGTTCCACACAAGATTGGTGATACGTTTCTTGTAGGCGAGGAAGTTGCTCTTCATGTTACTGCTCCATTCATTGTTGTAGGCGTCGTCCAAGGAATCAGTGAGCTTTGTGTGATTATTATTAAGTGTAATCCACAAGTAACGGTTGTCGCAGGTTGGTGCAACAGTTGTGGTAGTTGTGGTCGTCGTAGTAGTTGTTGTTGTAGTTGTGGTAGTAGTCGTTGTTGTGGTGGTTGGCGCTTCGGTTGTAGTGGGTTCTTCTGTAGTCGTGGCCTCAGCAGTGGTAGACTCCTCGGTAGTGGACTCGAAGGGTTCTTCGGTCGTGGCTTCAGCGGCCTCAGTGGTCGATTCCTCGGCTTCAAAAGTGGTGGTCTCGAAGGGTTCTTCGGTCGTGGATTCAGCGGCCTCAGTGGTCGATTCCTCGGCTTCAAAAGTGGTGGTCTCGAAGGGTTCTTCGGTCGTGGATTCAGCGGCCTCAGTGGTCGACTCCTCGGCTTCAAAAGTGGTGGTCTCGAAGGGTTCTTCGGTCGTGGATTCAGCGGCCTCAGTGGTCGACTCCTCGGCTTCAAAAGTGGTGGTCTCGAAGGCTTCTTGAGTCGTGGATTCAGCGGCTTGAGTGGTCGATTCCTCAGCTTCAGAGGTGGTGGACTCCAAGGCTTCTTGAGTCGTGGATTCAGCGGCTTGAGTGGTCGATTCCTCAGCTTCAGAGGTGGTGGACTCCAAGGCTTCTTGGGTAGTCGATTCAGCGGCTTGAGTGGTCGATTCCTCGGCTTCAGAGGTGGTGGACTCCAAGGCTTCTTGGGTAGTCGATTCAACGGCTTGAGTGGTCGATTCCTCAGCTTCAGAGGTGGTGGACTCCAAGGCTTCTTGAGTCGTGGATTCAGCGGCTTGAGTGGTCGATTCCTCAGCTTCAGAGGTGGTGGACTCCAAGGCTTCTTGAGTCGTGGATTCAGCAGCTTGAGTGGTCGATTCCTCAGCTTCAGAGGTGGTGGACTCCAAGGCTTCTTGAGTCGTGGATTCAGCAGCTTGAGTGGTCGATTCCTCAGCTTCAGAGGTGGTGGACTCCAAGGCTTCTTGAGTCGTGGATTCAGCGGCTTGAGTGGTCGATTCCTCGGCTTCAGAGGTGGTGGACTCCAAGGCTTCTTGGGTAGTCGATTCAGCGGCTTGAGTGGTCGATTCCTCAGCTTCAGAGGTGGTGGACTCCAAGGCTTCTTGAGTCGTGGATTCAGCGGCTTGAGTGGTCGATTCCTCGGCTTCAGAGGTGGTAGACTCCAAGGCTTTTTGGGTAGTCGATTCAGCGGCTTGAGTGGTCGATTCCTCAGCTTCAGAGGTGGTGGACTCCAAGGCTTCTTGGGTAGTCGATTCAGCGGCTTGAGTGGTCGATTCCTCGGCTTCAG